TGCAAAGTATTATGCAAGGGTATAATAAATTCGGAATTTAAACTATTTTTCGTAGAATTTAAATTTAAAGATAATGCTGTTTGCAATCTTTAATAAAGAATTTTTCTCTGTGCATACACTTTGGATTATCTATTCGTTCTCCCTCCCCCTTTCCATCCTTCTTTGCAGATCTCGAATATTTGCAAACTTGTTGCTTACATGACCAACAGGGGGCGTGGAAGGAGGGGGTGGGTTGGCGGCGAACGGTCGGTCGCTTGGTCGGTGGGTGGTTTTAGATAGAAACAGACACTTGTCGCTCTCTTATCAGTTATCGCACTTTACACAGTTGCCTCTGTGTGAGTGTGTGTGTGCCTGTGTGGCTTTTGTGGACATAAGACACTCGCGATAAGTTCCACACGCGCTCCAGCTTGACTGGCGACTGTGTGAGTGTGTGCGTGTGGATCGCAAGCCTTGGCACGCCCGATGGCTGCAAAGGCGAAAACGCAGATACAGATAGTAGCTGGCCAGGCAATAACAACAACAACAACATCAGCGTTAAAGAGACAACCCGATGAAGCCCCACACGTTGGGGCAAAAGCTATTTCTGCTATTCCTTCTCGCCCTCACCCCGTCTCTCTCTGCCTAAGTCGCTGACTCTGACTCTGCCACCTCTCTTCTAGTTACCTCGTTTACGTTGTTTAAGCGTTACTTACACGCACACCACCGCAAAAAGTCTGTTGCTTTTGCGTGCGTATGAGTAGGAATTTGTTCATTTTTCATTCTTTTTTGCTTTTCATTCCGCTTTCGTTCTTTTTGCTTGCACTACTACTTGTTGTTGTTGTATGGTATTTTATAATTAAATTAACTTATCACCCGCAATTGGCTCATTTCTCAATGTATATTCTGCGAGATGAAGTGCTGGCTTAAACGGATATATTTCACTGGAACTGCAACACACACACACACAAACACACACACAGCCACATTGAGTAGTTCACACACACTCAGATGGCATAAGCCAAGCTCGCGCTGGAAATTTTATAAATTAAACACTATTTAACCGAATTTATTTCGAAAATAGAACCCGAGGCACACGTGCTTGTGTACTTTGTACATATTTAGTGACTGTAAATTGTGACTGTGACTGCTTCGCGGTTCCCGTGACCTTTTCCCCGCATCAATTTGGTTTATTTTAAGCTGCGTACTCATGCCCTTGATTTCATTCTGAGCTACTGCTCGCTGATCAGATCAGATTAGCCAGTGTGTGACGTTCTTTATCGCGGATGTTGTAACTCGGGATCGGGGATCGGGGATCCGAATCGGAATCGGGACTAGGATTATGGCAGCAAACTGCGCGTTGGTGCTTTTATTACAATCTCAACGACTTTTACACTATAATTTACTCGTTTTTTGTGTTATTTTGTATTGTTTTGACGTAACCTCCGTAGTCGTTCCTTGTGCTTGTGCGATAATAAGTAGTGGGCGAGGCGAATTTTAAATTGAAAAAGGGGAAAGGAAAGGAAAGAAAGAAAAAAAAAAACAAAACCCGATAACGATACAACTACAATATAGCCACGATATCGGTGGAGAGCTACGGATAATGACAAGTGAAACCGAAACAGAAACAACGGCGCTGCGAACGCGACAGTGACCACACGAATGAAGTGGAACTTAATACTAAAAACAAGCTTTCGACCATCGCTGTGCTGCTGCTGGCTGCCATTGTGGACTCTGGTTGTGGCGCTTCTATGTGTGTGTGTGGGATGTTGTGGGGCTGTCGTTGTGTGTATGTGGCGAGCGAGCTTGGCATTTTCGCCAAAGTTCTGCGACTGGGGAAGGTCGTTGTTGTTGCTGATTTTATCCAAGACAACGACACACCCTACGAAGCGAATGCAATCTGCAGGTAATTACAGGTGATTCATAGCCACAGACACACACACACACTTGTAGGAACGTTGCTCACCAAACATTGAAAAACTTCGAAGAGAAAGAGAACTTAAAAGAGAGAGCTTTGACAAAGGGATCTCTAGCGAAGAAGAAGACTCAGCTCGTCTGCAAGCCGAGCTTAGCGTCCACAAAATATCCATAGCAATATGAGAAATATGAAAACAAAATAAACAATTCAGCAGAAAAATTTGAGTCCCATAGGGTTTATAACGAAAACATTGATTTAAAACAAGATACGCGGAAAGTTATAAAAAAAACGCCAATAACTAAATTTCGGAAAAGATAAATCCCGATCAAAGCTTGAACGAACTCTATACGATTGATTTACCGGAAAGTAGACTGTTAAATACAAATCTGAAGAGATCAATTGTTGACCAGCTTGATCTTTGATGGGATTTCCCAGCTTAAGAACCTTCTCCAAATTTAGGTGGTGAGCGATAATATACCAGTTAATACAGAACGTTAATACCTTCATAACTATAGTCTCTCTCGATTTTAAACCTAACACCCACAAAGGCAGCTAGTTAAGCTTATTTACAGACACCATGACAACTAACCAAGAATAATAAGTGTGTATGCTTGATAAAAGCACACACATACGTTGGAAAAATATTTAAAATCAAAACAGTTGTATGCTTGTGTTGAAAGAATTCAGAGATCTCACGGATTTGGCTTAGACAACAAAGAGAAAGAGAGGGATAGGAAAGAAACTAGAAGAGCGGGATGGAGCTATGGATGTGTTGGGAGAATCGAACATGGTTCAAGTATTATAATTGCATTTTTGAATGAATGAACATCAGCTCGGCTTTGTTGACTCACACAAGTCTCTCGAAAAAGAAGATAAATCAACACCATTTAAAAATACTGTGTGGAACATGTTGGGATTACTAATTAGCAAGTACACTAAGTTTTGTTGCCCTCCATTAGCAAGCGATACTAGAACTTAGAGTGCTAAGCCACCCAATATTTTACAGACGGTAACTAACTATATAGTAATATAACACATTACCCGAGTAATTAGCTATGAAAATAATTATTGAATGTCACGAAAGTGGCTTTGCTGATCAGTGAGGGTGAAAGTATACCTCCCGTCACAATACTGTATTACAGATCCATTTTATAAGCACAGGTCTTAATACTTATCAAATAAATGATAAGTATTCATTACTATTAATACCACACTTGAGCATTAAATATCTTAAAGTAACTAAGAAATGTTATACGTTTAGTACGTATTTATTCATATAATCTATTCATTCTGATTTGACGTTAATCGCTTTGAATACACAAATCTTATCTCCGAAATACGTCAATCTATACGGGATTTGTTGTGTGTGATTCTTTTTAGCATGAAATACATATAATGGTACAAATAAGCAAATGAATAATTAAAACAATTTTAATATTAAAACAACAGATGAAAATGATGTTTTTTTTTGATACAAAATACCGCCTCCCTACGATATACTGAGACATGTTTTATACGTCACAAGAGACAAATGGTGTTGATCCTTAAATTATCTAGCCAAGTTCGAATCCCCCCTATATAAGAATTCGTATAACGAAAATTCAATAAATATCTTTTAGTATTTAAGTAATAATCTCAAAATATTTGATCACTTTTTTGCTTTGAATATTTTTTGATCTTTAAATAAAATATAGAATATATTATTAATAATCTATTCAATAATTATTTCCGCTTTTCAGTACAATGTTAATTTGAATTTCTCAAATTTATGAATAGGTCAATGAATACTTCAGAGTAAAAATACCTCTACCAGAGTAATGGGATTACGAACATGGCTCCCAATCGAGACGATATATAGAGACGGAGACGGGTGACAGATACGGGAGTTTTGATAAAAGGATTAGGACTCACCTTGGCGGACGTGGTTCGCTGTTTGATCGCGGAGGGGTGAGCCGAGTGGGTGCTGAGCACGTTCTTGTTGACGGCAGGCGCCACACCGCTGCCAGGTGCATGGTGGTGATGGTGGTTAATCGCAGAGCCAGGCACCGCCGATGAGTTGTTGCTCGATAAACGTGCTCCATCCGTGGTCATGTTGTTAGCCACATGATGGTGGTGCTGATGGCTGTGCTGGTGCGAGTGATTGGTGTTGGCCGATGCCACCGAAACGGGCGCGGGTGTCACTGAGCCCGTTCCCGATCCCGTGTTCGTTGCCGCTGCAACTTGTACGGCCGCCGAGGCTGGCGTCGCCGTGGCAGCAGTGCTGTTGCTGCTAGCCGTATTCGAGGACGTTACGTTGGGCATCATTGTCGTGTTGGCGGCTGACGTTGTCGTTGGTGGCAGTGACACAATGTTGGCATTGACGGAATCATGCTGCTGTTGCTGCTGCTGCTGATCCTTGACAGAATGCGAAGATGTGCTGATAGAATTGGTGGCGTAGGTGGTGTTTGTGCTGGAGACGGCGGCCAACGGTGTTGCCGCTGTTGTGGCACTCGACGCTGGCGTCGCCGGTGCTGCAACGCTGGATGCCGTGCCATTCGACACGCTCTCCGCTGGCAGGGCTTCAGGAACTGGCTGCAGTGTGGTACGCATTGCAGTCGACATATTGTTGTCCAGTTGCTATTAGAGATTCTGTGCGATTGCGTGCGTCCACAACAAACGTGAGATTCGAGTATTTTCAGGGGAGTCTTTCAAGTTTCGCCGCTTAAGATTAGTCAAATGCCCAGTGTGTTTCTACCATGCATGGAGCTCCTTCACATCTGCAATAAACAAAAGCAAAAATCAATAAGAGTTTAAACAAGTCATTCACGTGCTAGTCAGACCATTGCCGTTATCAACAACCCTGAATAACTTTGATTGCCGACCTCAAGTCATTAAATTCATTTAAAGCCATAATATAAAATCTCCTTTGTCTACAGAATTGGGCAAACAAGGTATAGCACCTTAGCAATCTCTTAACAATGACATGGTAACCAAAGCTAGTAACTTCATCACTAACATTATAATTACTTTTAAGATCTTAATTAATTTTGGACATTCCTCAGTTTTCACATTGTTAATATAGCATGATCTCAGAACATAAGCCAAGGGGAATTAAAGCTTTGATTGCTTGTTTCATTATTTGCGTAATCAGTGGATTCACACTTTAATTGTTTATTCGACGATTACGCGGTTGGAGGTCCTCCTTAGCATTAACAACATATTCTTATCAAATTTCTATAGATTGTTCACTTTCAACTTAAGAGTAATGAACTATTGAGTTATCGCCTTGTCGAAAAAGGGAATCCCCTTCGAGTTTTACAAATACAATTTGCGATTGATTTTGTTCGGTATGTAGTCGTTGGCCAGGAAGTCGATGACACTCTCAATTTCGGCCTTCAGCTGAACGTCCTGCATTATGCGCAGCTCCTGGCGCACTCCCGGCTCCAAATCGCTGCGAGCGAGGAGGTCATTGATTTTTTTGTTGTCGCCGGTGCCCAAGGCAACCGCTTGGCGGCCGAGCACGGGAATCTCAGAGGGGTGGAGCCCAATCCAACGCAACGAAGGTGTGGCAAGTCCATGGCTGGAAAAGCTCATGGCCTTGGAGCCGTGACGATAGATATGCATTATCTCAATGCCAAAGGGATCGGCATCCACGAGAATATAAGCGGGCAAGCGATTCCCTTCCACCAGTCTATGCACAATCCTGCGGGTGCAGTAATCCGGGTATCCCTTGCCTGTCATGAGGATTAAGCTGCGTCCAAAGGTTGACAGGATATTCCGGGATACAAGACTCTCGAAAACCGACTCCTTCTCCACAATGACCACGAGCTCCGCGTTCGTTTCGATGCTGTCCACTTTCTCAGGATCCGTGGGCAGTGTCATGGCTCCACCGTATGAGCTGCAGTCCAGAACATCTCCATTGACCATCAGCAGCCGGACATTGCCTGTGTGGGGAACCAATGGATCAGAAACCGAGAAGAGGAGCCTTGCATCATGAGGTGCTCACCTGCCATCAAACCTTTGGAGGCGGCCAGTACACCCAGCTGCAGCGGGGAAGTACCCAGCATCCGGCAGACATCCAGACGAGCTGATGCAATCCTAGACTGAGAGCGGAAGAGCTGCAGATCGCCGTAGTAGAGCCCACGTACGGTGTAGCTGCCCCGTGCACCTGCAGTCGATGGGTCTTGGCCAGCATGTAAACTAGTAGGCAGAAGCTGTGCCGGCTTCTGTGAGTATTATACGAAACACGTCGAAATGGCCTGGTTGCGACGACCACAGTCGAATTTCGGGGAACCCTTAAAGTTGCGTCGCCACGCACCAAGTTTGCTATAAGTTCCAGGGCAATCCGTTCTAAATTCTCCGAAAATTCACCCATAATATTGAGGTCTTCAACCTATTGTTAATAATTATTTGTTGATACTAAGTACAAGTCTTGTTATTTTTTATTATTGATCTTCAAGTAAACCAATTTTAAAATTAGGCTTGGGAATGTTTATGAAGTACATTATAAAATTAATCATAGGTTCTTTTTGATTCCAGTTAACAAAGTTTGACAGTGCTTTTTCCAAGTATTACTTCTTATAAATGATTCATTAAAATTTTTCGTACCGACTTTCAGTACTTTTCGACAACGAAACTGTTGTGATTCATGTTTTAATTCACTTTTAAGTTAATGTCTAAGAAGTACGTTGCATTTAATTTATGGAACTTAACAGCAGCATTAAAGTAAACTTTTTTTTTGGGAATTTGTCAACTTAATTCAGCACTAATTAATACCTCACTCTTGCACTTAACACAATTAACACTTCCTTAAACCAAAGCACACACTTATACCTAATGAAAATTTTCGGCAACTAACCCAACTTCGTTTCCTTTGTCATTGAAGGATTTCTGGGAATAACACATTTCATTGGAAAGGGTGAAAATGGGGGCAAAGAGGTTAAAGAGTTTTTTGGCAGAGTGTTGGAAATATGTAAGTGCTTTTATTGATCGCAAATTAATTGGGGAGAGGTGCCACGCCCCCGAGCCCTAAAGCCTTGCATTTTTAATGCTTTTCCGCAAGGAAAATGTGTGTGTGGGGGCCGCCGCACACACGCCCTCCGGCCGACCTACGCACAGTTATATTTCATAAATACATTCACAAGTATGTACGTAAGCAAAATACGTAGCATGTAAGTGGGGAAAAGTTGAATCTCAGGCGGAACTTACAGACGAAAATAAGTGGGTTTTGTGCCATATACTTTGTATAGTTTGTAAAAGTTTATCGCGTAAATTGTTGCGTGGAAACATTTCGAGGGGGGTTATAAATAATTTCCGAAAGGAGCTTGCCGTCTAAAAATACTGAGGCGCGAGCAGCGCAGCGCAACGCAACGCTACGAAAATTCCCTTTCCGTGAAAACAACTGTTTTTTAAATTTTAAAACACACATTCGCACACGCACTCGCAAAAGAGATGGCGACACAGACGGTGGAAAGAAAAGAGAGTGGGTGAGGAAGAGGGCGACAATTGTACCATAAATTTATGTGAATTTCTTTATTCGGTCTTTCTTTTTTGTATGTGCAGAAAATTGTACTCGTTGTTACAAAGCACGCACACAAGAGTTTATTTTGCGTTGGGCCGCCGCGGGCGGAAGCGGGGGCGGTGGTCTGGTCGCCTCTCTGCTCTCTCTCTCTCTCTCTCTCACACACTCTCAGTGGGAGGGAGAGGGGGCGAGAGTGGGAGCAGAGGCAACGCCAACGAATGGGCAAGAAAAACTAACGAAAGAGAGCAGGCGGAATGGAACGGAATGGCAGCCCCTTAAAGTATTGATTTGCTGGCGCTGGCGGTGGCGGTGGCGCTGCCACTTCTTATACTTACCAATCAAATAAAATTTCCGATCCGATCGGCCAAGAAAAGCTGGGACGTGGTCGCTCGCTCGCTTGCTCGCTCTGGCCCCCTCTCACTCACTCTCTCGCTAGCTGGCAGCTGGGGCCATCGATGTAACGCATTATTATTTAATTCGCTGTCGTCTTTTGTTTTCCGTTTTCCGCTTTCCGTTTGCCGTTTTGCTTTTCCGTTTTTCCCGATTTTCCGAAAGTGGTTAGTGGAAAGGCCGACTTTTACCGAGCGACGACAACGACACACACAACGAAATGCAAATGCAATACATATCTTTCTCACTCGCTCACTCGCCCGCTCCCGCTCGCTCGCTCGCTAGCTGGCTCGCTCTCTCGCTCGCAGCAGCTCTGGTTTTCAATCAGATTTTTCTTTACTTTTCGTTTGCTTATATTCTTATCGCGATGATGCCTTCGAACCCGTCGTCGTCCCGTCACCGATTTTCACTTTAATTACGAGTATTCGTAGTCCCTGTCCCTTCTCACTGCACTATTGGCAACAAATGGAAATTCGCTATATATTCGTAGTAAGCTATGTATCCGCGATGGGTAACTTGATATATTGAGACGGCGACAGCAGCTGGATGACGGCCGCTGTTGGGGGCAATAACTTGACGTACGACGTTCGTCCGACACACACACAATGCAGTTAATATTACTATTTTCCTTTGGCAGCAACAATTCTGTGGACGTCTTTTTCTTTCCCCAAAAAAATTCACATTACGGCAGCCATATTGTGTGGATGCGTGTGACCAGCTGGGCTCACGGAACGACCTAAAAAGGCCAAAAAGTGCACTGCTACCGGGTTGCCGGACTGCGTTAAAATGTTGATATTTTTATTTAAAAATAACGTGATTTCAGTTATATAAAAAATATGAAAAACTAATTTAATCGAAATGTTGTGGAATTACTTGTATATTTTAGCTAGTGGCAAATTGTTTTAAATTGACTGACAAATCTTCTATTGAAGCGCATAAATATTGAAATTTGGAATGCAAACCTAATTTTAATAATTATTTTTTACACGCACCACCAGCATGGGATAACCGTGGAAGAACTTGTAAAATATAAGCAATGGATTAAAGTCGTACATGAGATAATGAGATAAGCTAATGATAATGATAAGTAATTGCAGATAATAACTAGTTTTAAATCTAACCTCCACGTGGCCCAGAATTTTAAACCCAAACGAACAGGGAATTCCCATTTCGGTTCCCTTTACCCCTCCATTTTTGCTAGATTCAAATAAATTTTAATCTAATCTGTTTTATGCTCACCACCCATTTTCCACTAAAAAATTAAGCCAAGCCCCCGGCAAGGTCGTCCGTTGATCTTATCAAGTAGTTCTAAAGCGTCGGAGGTTGTTGCACTGGCATCAGTCGATCTCAGTCGCTTCCAGTAATCAGATCAGACCAACCGGAAATGGGAGATACAATTGCGGAAAAGTACAATGCAGAGTCCTTCGAATGCGTGCTGGCCTCATTCTACGCCTGTGAAAAGCTCAGAGTAGAGGACTTTAACTTCCAAACGGTAGTCCCGAGTGGCGCAAACTTTTGCAGTGTCATCCATCGGGTGGCCTTGAAGTTTCGGAGGTCGCCCGAAGCAGATTTAGAGTCGGGACACTATATCATCAAGGACCTGATGCCAGCGGCAGCTGAGCTTGGCTCCAGCGAGAAGCTGATGTACGAAAAGGTGCTTCCTGCCATGGTCAAGGTGCTCGAGAGGGCTCCTTCCGTGCTGGTCGATCACAAACTGAGCGCAGAGTGAGTAATTTTTGGGATTTTTATAAAGCTCTTTTATATTTTCCAATATTCTTCTTCTCATATTGCTTTTTTTATCAGTTGCTTGCTGGCGAAGGTGTCACCGGGAAAGGAAACCTACATTCTGGAGGATCTGGGCGCACTGGGCTACGTCGCTTTGGATCGTTTCCAGGGTCTAGGGCTTGAAGATGCCAAGACATGTTTGCGAAAAACGGCTCAGTTTCACGGTGCCTCCATGATCCTTCGGCAAGAACAGCTCTCCTTGGTGGAGCAGATTCCACCATCTGCCTACGCAAATGGGTTAACCGACCCCATTGTGAGAGGGATACACTTTGATGCTACAGAGTTTGCGGCAGATTTGTTTGCCGGGGAACTGCCGCAGATAACCAAGAAGATGAAAGCTCAGATACCTGATGCCTATTCACGTCGCATGCAGGAGGCGGTGGATCCGAAGCCTTCGGCTTTTAACGTAATTTGCCACGGCGATGTCTGGCTGAATAATATAATGGTCATCAGGGCCACCAAGCGGGCTGTTCTAGTGAGTGGGAACCTATTTCTACTATCAGAGATGTGCCTATATCAAATTCCTTTTTTAGTTTGATTTCCAGAACTGCTTCTGGGGTAGTCCTGCCATCGACCTGCACTTCTTCTTCCACACCAGCCTGCAGCAGGACTTGCTGCTTCACCAGAAGGATGAACTCCTGCAGCACTACTTTGACGCACTCACGGAAACCCTGGAACTGTGTGGATTCAGCGGCTCCAAGCCCACTTTTGAGCAGTTAAAGGCTGAGTGGCAGCGATGTTTGTTTTACGGCTACTTCTCCGTCACCTGTGAACTTCCCACCTGCTGTGCCTCGGCGGAGGCCAGCGATGGATTCAACTGCCTCAGCTTTGCCGATTCCGAGAAAATGCGGGTCAGGCGCCGGTTGCTTTTCGAGAACGAGAGAGTTCGTCAAACAGTCAAAGCCTGTCTGGTGCACTTTGACCAGCAGGGAATTCTGGAGACGCCCTAGAGGTCACTATGGTATTTTTATGATGTTTTGTGAGACAAAAAAATACATATTTTGTGTAATTTTCCAACAGTTGTTAGCTTTTGGTACAAAATTTTCAATTTCAAATTTCCCACTCGTCTCATCGATGGATTTTATCGATTCGACAACAGTTACACCGATTCCAATCAGATAATTATACCCCGCGTAACATGTAAAATGCTGCAATCTAGACGTGTAAGATGTAAAATGTTAAGCAACCGCTTCGGAATTCAGAGTGACCAAAAAATATCAAAAATCATACAACATACACATATATTTTTGTCTTTTGATACATTTTCAAAACCAACACAGACCCCATGACACCCGACAGCACCCGAGAGAGAGCTCTGTTAATTAACATCCACCCGACAGCAAGATAGAAGCGGACATGTTATGAATGTTACATTCTACTTGAGAATTCTACCCCAATAACGAGAATTCGACCCCATGTATCTGCGAACGTGTAGAGTGTCTTTAAAACCGTGTCAGATGTAAAATGTTAAACAACAGCCAGTGTCTCCACACATCGATAGTGCAAAAATCCATACTTCGCCGCGCCCAGCACACGGTCCTACTGCCAAGTATAAAGGTACGGAATCCACTGTGAAATTCAAATCATTTTTTCAACGTGTGAATTGGACAGTTTGCTTGTGTTCGAGTGCTATAAGCGAAGATATTTTTAAGTTAAAAGTTCAAAAGCCTATACAAATACAAAATGAGGGAAATCGTTCACATCCAAGCTGGCCAGTGCGGCAACCAAATCGGCGCCAAGGTGAGTTTTTCCACACAGTTTTCCAATTTATGTCCGCCTGCCGGATTGTTCTCGAGTACAGTCGCCAAAATGGCGTCATTTTTGCACGGCAGCTGTCCATGTGGCAAAAATTTTATTGAGGCCGGCATTTTCACACACACAGCGCAATTTATGTATATCTCGAAGCATAAGTGTATGTGTGAGGGTCCCGGCATCTGTTTGTCCGATTTCGAAAAGATGCTTGCATTTTGTTGTTTCATTCTAAACTACAGTTAGACACGCCCTAAGTTAGTAGTTGGACTAAAAAACTTTTAGGGCCGTTGACTCTGGCCATATGTAATTATAGCTGGGTGTGTCTGCATTTACATTTTGTCCATTTGTGTGCGTGTTGGGTGCATGAGTCATTTTCCTTGCGGCAAAATACTTTCATAGTTTTCCTCCGGTTGTGAAAGCCATTTCTCTGCACAGATGGTGAAGGGTACTTTTCTTAAACACACACACACCGCCAACGGAGAGACACGCAAAGGCATAAACATACACACGTACATTCGTGCAGCTGTGAGTGTGTAAGCGTCGGCCGGTTTTTGCCGCTATGCGTCTTCTAAAGAGAAAACATGACGTCATTGTAACCTAAAATGGCTGAACCGGTCGCCGTTGACCGGTTCGTAGAGTATAAGAGAGTTGCGCCATACACATAATTGGTATGTATTTTGTACATACACCATCCATACATCAATAAATGCTCTTGTGTATGTGAGTCTGCAGATGTGTTTGTTCCATCGATTTTCTTGCATTCCATCCGTTCGTTTTTTTGTATTTTGCACTACTCCAGCGCTATCTTATCTCTCCGGGCTGAAAACATTTTCTATTTTTCGGTCATGACGATATCATGAATGTTGGGCGCAGCACCATTTTTTGCTCGAAAGTAAAATTGCAATTTGCACCTCTCAGAGAGATGACCATATACAGAGGAATTCGCCATCCGTCTCTATCTGATTTTCTCTCATACCCACACACACACACTCACGCAATCAAACTCCTCTCACTAGCTCGGCCAGGTTAGAAGGGCGGTGCTGCACATGCGCAGATGGCGGAGGGATAACGGGACAGGGAAAGCCGGCATGATGACGAATCCGCTGTGTCATCGCCTGTTTCTAGTCCTTGCCGGAAAATCGATGGCCATGTCCTGAGAATAGGCCGAAAACCACCCCCGGAAACGCCTTGGACTACGAGCAGCTGCAACATAACAATTGTTGTGCCCAAGTAAGGCTCTGCCTGTGTGTGTGTGTGTGCGCTGGCTTAAAAGGGAATATTTCTATATATAAAATCCGGTACCATTTCGCTTTTTACGAGTGGCAACCACGCATTTCCTCCGTACGTAGTACGAGCCGTTCCCAATACCCGACTTATTCCAGCAAATTGTTTTATTTGTTTACGCGACATAAACAACGAGCAGAGCTAAACTTTGCTTCGAGCGGTGACGTAATGCCCTGAAAAACAGACGATTTATGCGCCAGATGGTCGACGGGTTGGAGCTCTCTAAGCTGCAGTTTAACCTCTGACAACGCCAACGCCGACGCCTCTCTCCAAGTACCTCCACCTCCTCCTCGCTTACCGTCTGAGCCAGAGAGTGGGCTGAGATCTGAGCCCCAACCGGTGATGTAAGCCATCGGAAACCGGGGGGGTATGGGGTGGTGGAGAGCTGGAGAGCAAGCAGCCGGCTCTGAGGTCGCCGGCTGTGCGTGGGGGCAGCAGACAGACACCTCGGCCCACGCCCGAAGATTCAAGAGAGATCGTAGCGCACCGGTGACAGCTGCGCCTCGAGATGCGAGATCCGAGACCGCAGCCAAAGCCCACGCCAGATGACGTTATCGTTGGTGGTGCTGGTGGTGGCGCACCAAAAATGGCAGCGGAATGAGTTATGTTAATCGGAGCTCGGCCCATACACAGAGTTTATGATGGCGGCCGAGCATACATATAGCCTAGAGCCCAGCCTAGACTTGGGTACATACATAATTGATCCAATCAATAGAGATACATACTTGGTTGGCTGACTGCCTTTCCAAGCCAGAACTTTCCCGAATCGAATTTTCTCTATGAATGAGCTTCATGTGTGGTTTTGAGTGCTCAAAACTCGAACTTTCTCCAAGCTTTAATTGAGGTTTTACACCTTGAAAGTAATTACACATCGACAGAGGTTGAACCGAGTTCTCTAATGTCCATAAATTAACACGTCAACATTAAGTAAAGGCTTGTGATCGAGATAAATTGGTTAAATAGCATTGGGGTTTCTTCCATTTGATGCTTATAGAAATATTAGCAAGGTTGAGAGATTTTTAGTCACTTTAAATACTTCATTTCGTCGAATTTTATAACTTAAAATATTGATTTTCCAACGCAGTTACTTTTTATAAATCCAAATCGAATAGGAGCTTAAGCAAATCTCAAGTACTTTGGAAAAAGGTGTGGCAGATGGCCTAAATGTTGAACAAATTAAGCACCAATACATTTTACAAGTTAAAGCGACAGATGGCTTTTCCAACCTACTTTATTTGCCATTTAAAGAACTCTTATATTGGACCATTTTTGGTATCACTTAATAAGCTTAGCTGATGACTCATTCGTGAATCATAAATCGATTTTCCAAACTTTGGCTTTTTCTAAACACACACATTTGTTTTGCTTACTCATTTTCAGTTCTGGGAGATCATCTCCGATGAGCATGGCATCGATGCCACCGGCGCTTACCATGGTGACAGCGACCTGCAGCTGGAGCGCATCAATGTGTACTACAATGAGGCGTCCGGCGGCAAGTACGTGCCCCGCGCGGTCCTTGTGGATCTGGAGCCCGGCACCATGGACTCTGTGCGATCGGGACCTTTTGGCCAGATCTTCAGGCCCGACAACTTTGTTTTCGGCCAGTCTGGAGCCGGCAACAACTGGGCCAAGGGTCACTACACAGAGGGCGCCGAACTGGTGGACTCTGTCCTCGATGTTGTCCGCAAGGAGGCGGAATCCTGCGACTGCCTGCAAGGCTTCCAGCTCACACACTCGCTCGGCGGCGGTACCGGCTCCGGCATGGGAACCCTGCTGATTTCCAAGATCCGTGAGGAGTACCCCGACAGGATCATGAACACATACTCGGTGGTGCCCTCGCCCAAGGTGTCCGACACCGTGGTGGAGCCCTACAACGCCACTCTGTCTGTGCACCAGCTGGTTGAGAACACGGACGAGACCTACTGCATCGACAACGAGGCTCTCTACGACATCTGCTTCCGTACTCTCAAGCTGACGACGCCCACATACGGTGATCTGAACCATCTCGTTTCGCTGACCATGTCCGGCGTTACCACCTGCCTCCGTTTCCCCGGTCAACTGAACGCTGATCTCCGCAAGCTCGCCGTCAACATGGTTCCCTTCCCCCGTCTTCACTTCTTCATGCCCGGCTTTGCTCCCCTCACATCCCGCGGCTCCCAGCAATACCGCGCCCTCACCGTCCCCGAGCTGACCCAGCAGATGTTCGATGCCAAGAACATGATGGCTGCCTGCGATCCCCGCCACGGTCGCTACCTTACCGTCGCCGCCATCTTCCGCGGACGCATGTCCATGAAGGAGGTCGACGAGCAGATGCTGAACATCCAGAACAAGAACAGCTCGTACTTCGTCGAATGGATCCCCAACAACGTGAAGACCGCCGTGTGCGACATCCCGCCCCGTGGCCTGAAGATGTCCGCCACCTTCATTGGCAACTCCACCGCCATCCAGGAGCTGTTCAAGCGCATCTCCGAGCAGTTCACCGCTATGTTCAGGCGCAAGGCTTTCTTGCATTGGTACACCGGCGAGGGCATGGACGAGATGGAGTTCACCGAGGCCGAGAGCAACATGAACGATCTGGTGTCCGAGTACCAGCAGTACCAGGAGGCCACCGCCGACGAGGATGCCGAATTCGAGGAGGAGCAAGAGGCTGAGGTCGACGAGAACTAAATCCCCATTCTCGATCAATAATGTTTTGCGAAAAATGAAAAAAGCGAGAACAAATAATTCATTCAGTTGTAATATGTTTGTTCTTTTAACAACGTAATCAATAAAGTCGGATCCCATTTTGTTCACAAGTCTAAGCCACACTTCTTTTTACTATTATTTTTGGGAGTTTTTTTTATTATTATTTAATTTGTAAGAGGAAGCAAACATGAGCTTTTTCTGCTGGTTCGGTTTTGGTATGTGGCCATGTTTGTTGATTATTGATAATTTGATTCACCAAATCAATCTATTTTTAGATTATTATTTATTAGGAGGTCTTAACCTGCCTCAACTTTCTCAGTGTATATTTTGCAAAAAGAAAAAACAAATTAAATTCGCCCTTGAGAAAATGGGCAATATTATCTTGGACGTAGGAAGTGAAAATTTGCAGCCTACGTACATTGTGTTATGATATTTTTGTTTGACTTCAAGCTTAAATATGACCTTGGTTGTCTAGCTTTTGATGAATTTACTTCAGTCTACAATTTCCCCCACGTTTTTTTTATTAAAATGTACTTTGTAGATCTCCAAATTCGTCTATTTTAACGACATACCAACAAATCAAAATTTAAATATCTTATAACTTGGCAGAAAAGGCATTAATTTTAATTTGGAAAGCTGTCCCATGTTAGTTTTTATTAGGCTTATAAATTTGTATACTTCATTTAAAATGTAAAAAAATTAATATTTTGTCCAAAATTTTAATATTTTAACGATGTAAAAAGTTTTTTGAAGAAATTGACATCAAAAATGACCATATTTCGAGTTCGTAAATTACCCTATTAAAAAATTCCTAAATTCTGTTATTTTTATTTTAATAATCCCAATCATAATAAAATTAGTTAATTATTTATTAAGGAATTAATTGATTTTACTTTTATTATTAATTTGTTTAATTTAAATTTAAAAATCGATGAATCGCCTTTTTTAAAAATCGATTGGCTCGATGTGACATAATAGGTAATCGATGTTTTTTTTAATTATTTCGGGATGGTTTAAATACCGATAAGAGATAATCGATGTTTTATTAAGAATTTCGGGATGGTCTAAACATCGATAAGGGATAATTGAAATTATCGATACATCGAACATCGATTGGCTCAGTTGTGACATCGATGATTTCCCAGCCCTAAAATAAGGTAAAATAAAAATATTTTTGCGAGCATTATTAAATCCTCAAATTAGCAAATTTCGATGATAGCAATGGACGAGCAGCGCGGCGACAAAATCTACGGCGGATGCGAGGGCCCGGACGCCATGTACGTGAAGCTGATTTCCTCGGACGGCCACGAATTCGTTGTAAAACGCGAGCACGCTCTGACCTCCGGCACAATCCGGGCGATGTTGTCGGGCCCTGGCCAGTTTGCCGAAAACGAGGCTAACGAGGTGCATTTCCGGGAGATTCCGTAAGTAAAGACCCTGCCGGAGGGCCACCGGCGGCTGCTTTGCCACCTGGGCAGCGCCATGTCATCCGGTGACCTATTGACCGGCGACAAATTCGCACATACATATGTACATACACACGCATACATGGCCCAAGCTGAAGTGCAGGGATTACAAAGATCGCTGGAAACGATTTAAGCCTAATCTTTGGAGCAAATGCGAGCTAAATAATGCAAGAAAAATGTCTTTCAATATTTACTAAAACTATAATGGAACTGCTATTATTTTTTCCGTCCAATTGATAATCTAGATCAATTATTTTAAAACCTTCACCTTAAAGGAGTAATATAAACATCAATTTATTAATCTTTCGATGGAAAGCCCTATTTTTCTTGCCATATCTGTACAGGCTCAGTGAGCTTAGATTATGCGACATTTTCCCTTGGAACTATCTTCTAATCTATTGCACAATTCCCATGGGTGAAACACTGTTTTCAACTATTAATTATCTCGATTTCATTTCAGATCCCACGTCTTACAAAAGGTCTGCATGTACTTCACCTATAAAGTGCGTTACACCAACAGTTCTACCGAAATACCCGAATTCCCAATCGCACCAGAGATCGCACTCGAACTTTTGATGGCGGCTAACTTCCTAGACTGCTAAATTAAATAATATTGATTAATTTGAATTTACATATATTATTTACCATTTAACGAAGGGAAAGCTAACCTGCTTAGCCATCTTCGCCTGTGTTAATTTGTAATGAAACGAATGGATTGTCCCTGCGAAAAATAAATTTCTGTTGATTTCCTAAAAAAGTCACATTGGCCAATACTCATTTTCCAAAGAAACAAAGCTTTTTTTATTTAACATTAAGGAGAAACTCTATTTAGAGTGCTTAGATCTGGCTTTTGCCGCATCTTTGTTGTTTAGCATGGCGAAACGCATTTGCTGAATGAGCCATTGGACACCCTCGCCGAGTCCCTCACCAGATATGGCGTTGCTGGAGCAAATGTGCCAGGGTTTCTCCTTGATGTTCTCCAATCTGAGAGCTTAAACATGCAACGAAGGGGTATATTATATTACTTTCAAAGTTACTAAATTATAAACAATACAAATCAAGCAGTACCTGCTGCTATTTTCACACTGGACAGGGAATCCTCCATGTCCGACTTATTCCCATAGAAGAGTATTGGCACAATTCGGTTGCATAAATCTGGATGCTTCAGCACGAGATCCAGCTCATCCTTGACCACAACTGAAATGGAAACTTTCAGCAATGGAGGAAAGGCTAGAATGATGATGACCAATACCAAATCTCATGCGGTCGCTTGAGTCGATGACGTATATGATTCCATGACAGTTCTTAAACTGGTGCTCCCAAAGGTTTCGGTACCGCGTAGCTCCAGACATATCGATTGCTTTTATGCTAACACCAGCCATGCCTGTTCCAGGACAATGAGATTACAAATATAGGAGCTCAATATATACATATATTCCGACTCACTGTAAAACTGCTCCACCATAAAGCCCACAGTTGGCACAACAATGGACGTCTGTTCGCTGGACTTTTTAAAGTGATTGATTATCGAGGACTTGCCACTGTTGTTTAGGCCCAACACCAAAATTGTCATTTTATCCTTTTTAATCTTTATCAAGTCGGCCAAATTGTGCAACATTCCCATTTTGGTATTGGACTGGCATCAGTTTTATTTTGTTTACGGCTATATTTCTGACGTGTTTGGCCCTGCAAAGGACTTTTGGCTGTCATGGCAACGGCATGGTGTTGGCATCGATTTATTGAAAGTTTCGGCCACCTTCAACTTTGGCTTCCGCTTCAGAGTCTCTCCCACACACAAAACATTTTCAAGTTCATCGCACACCTGACATTGAACATGGCTAAGCCCATACTCCCCTCAGACCTTCAAAGCTTTAATTACAAAATAGTCTTCTGACAAACGATTGGGAATATCTACAATACCTCCCTTTAAAAGAAAAGTTTATGCATCCTTAAAAATGTAAAAGATAATTCCTACCTCTCTAATCACAAGCAAAATGGCAAAGATAAACAAAGCATCGACTACCTTTTGGAGTTACGCCCGACCGACATCAGACATATATAAGTTTTACGAGTTGACACAAGCCAAGGTTTATTGTAGAATTCTTCTTAAAAAACATGGTTACGGGTAGAGTGCTTCTACTTCTTGCTGTTCAAGATGATGCCATCGTATTTCTGTTGGAACCATTTCATGGCATCCTCCTTCGTCAGGCGGTGGGGGAAGCCCACGGTGCCGGACTTGCGCTTCCTGTGGTTCACGTTGTAGCCTGAAACCAGAGAACAACCAGTTAGTAATCTTCAAAATTGTTTTAAAATTGTGCGCGACTGTAGAAATTGTACCGTGTGGCCTTGAAAGGAGAACAAACAAGTCCAGCTAAGCACATCTTCTTTTCTTTGCGCACATTCACTGAGCATCAGAGCCTCGGCCGGCTGAGATACCTAATTAAGTGCACGAAATCGGGGGGGATTCCGAACCAAGATGCTTACCTGGGCGGCCAAGGACGACGTAAAAGTCCAGACCATAGATACCGATGGAGGGATCGTACTTGATACCCAGATCGATGTGTTCCTGGATGCCGAAACCGAAGTTGCCGGTGGAGGAGAAGTTGTCGCGACGGAGCTCGTACTCACGCACCTTCAGGCCACGCTCCAGAATCTCCTCGGCCTTGGCACCACGCACCGTGCAGTGCACAGCGATCTTCTCATTACGACGGATTCCGAAGGAGCGCACTGTGTAGCGGGCCTTGGAGAACACTGGCTGCTGACCAGTCAGCTGCTCCAGCACCTGGGAATATATACACGGCGTTACACGAAGCTTTGGCCAGCACACCGGTGACAATCCAAACAGCTTACCTTGGCGGCACGGGTCAACCTATCACCGGACTCTCCCACGCAGATGTTCAGGCACAGCTTGCGGATGTGCAGATCCCGCATTGGGTTCTTCGCCGGGTCGCGCTTAATTTTGGGTTCCTTCTTAGCAACGGCCTGAAACAATCAATGGAATACGTCACTTTCGGGCCGTAATCACGCAAAATAACATTTCGGCCGGCATTTCGAACGCTTGCACGTCGCATTCGCACTCTAACATTTCACAAAGGCAGTGGAATAGGCGTCGATGCAAGCAGTTAAAAATCTTCCAAAATTTCCGTAAACCTTACCGCCATTATGGTTTTTAGAAAGAAAGGGAAAGAGGAAGAAGTTGGTGGTGTAGAGGTGCAAAAACATCGATGAAAACATTTATGCATCGATTCGCACTATCGATGTTTTGAAAACATGTTTTATTTTACATCGTACACGTGTAGAAAACGATTTTACACGCAAAAATTTGCCAGAATTCTCGGCACGACATGGTAAGAGAGTGTAAATTAACTGATTTCTCTCGTGACCGAGCGGGAGAGGGCGAGACCAAAGTGAATTCTGGCAAAAGTACTATAAAGGGCAGATATTTTAGTAAACAAGATAGTTGCACAAAATGATATCGATAGGGGAATTATCGAAATATCGTTTCTGTTTTGACAGCTCTTTGGAACTAGAACTGGTTCATCGCAAAGTAACAGAGATGAGCAAACTCCAAAATACGAACTGGTTCCTCCACAACGTTGTTTTCGGAGCGAAGTTTAATCATTAATCTTTCGAAAAGAAAACAAATCCAAATTTTTGTTAAAATACAAAAATTTTCTCAATTATTGTTGATGCTCAAGTTTTTCTAAGTAGACGATTGGTGTAGACAAAATTATTTAATAAAAAATCCTCTGTATAATTCGCACAAGAAAGGAAGTTAACTTCGGAACGCCGAAGTTTGTATACCCTTGAATTAACACAATATACATTATTTATGTTAAAAAAACATTGAAGTAATTTAATTTCATTCATCTGCACATTACAATTTGACATTACCAGCCTTGCATTTTTCTGTACATCTAACGATCGTTTGTAGTGTAACTATATGATATAGTCGTCCGATTTTCATCAAATTTAACACAAAATTGTACAATAATATAAAATGGCTATATCTTAAATTTGATGAGAATCTGTTGAAAAATTAAAAAGTTATAATTTTTAACTTTATTAATTTCTCGATTGTTCTTATGGCAGCTATATGATATAGTACTCCAACTTTCATAAAACCTTAAAAAACAATCTATATTAATATAAAACGGCTTTATCTGAAGTTTAATAAAAATCTCTTGAAAACGGAAAAAGGGCTAATTTTTTTTTTAATTCCGATCGTTTGTATGGCAGCTATATGATATAGTCGTCCGATCCTGCCTGTACCAACTTATACACAAGAAAGAGTATATAAGAGACTAACTGCAAAGATTCATTAATATAGCTTCAAAACTAAGACAAGTTTGCGTAGAAACGAACTAACGGCAATGGCTAGATAGACTCTGCTGTTGATGCTGATTAAGAATATATATATATATATATATATATATATATATAATTATTTATTTTGTAGCTTTTCCATAGTCACCGATGCAAAACAAAGAAGTTTTTTGGCTGAATCTATACCCTAATAAACGTGCGATTATTGTTTATTTGAATTAATATTTTTATAATATTTGAAATTTCATTGATACTTTCGTCAACATAAACATATTTTCTTATAGAGCTTAATCGATGGATTTCATCTTGCAGAGATGGTTAACGGGTATCATCTTAACCTCGTCGTTTATTTTGCAGACGAGCACATCGCCCTCCTGCTTGGACAACACTCTGCCGACGGACTCGCGCTCCTCGCCGTAGATGACCTTAAACTCGTCGCCACTGTTGGGAGGCACTGGAGCCAGGTGCTCACTAACAATGGATACACTACGATCCTCCTGCCGCAAGAATACCGAGCACACGCCATTGGAAACCGTGCGGATAATGCCCGTTTGTCCAACGAGATCAGTATCATCATGAGTGTGGATCCGAACCTCAATGTCCGTGGTGCACCAGTCGCCCATCGAAGAGTCCAGACTAGCTCCGGGTGTCTGGGGATTGTACGGAGACTGCGGAATGCCACCCGGAGTATTCGGGGAATAGGTCGATGGAGATGGAGTGTTCATATAGCCAACGGGATAGGGTGACGGAGCGGGACTCGGGCTGGGATTGAAGGGGCTATAGCTCCTATCTGATCCGTACAGAGTGCCAGGCGTTTGAGGAGCAAACTGGGAAGTCATCTGATAGCCAGGAGTACCTAGAAGATTTGCAAGGTTTATACAACATTTCAAAGCAAATACCATAAAAACACTTACTTGGATTGTAGCCAGGGCTGGGGCTGGGCTCCTCAAGCGAATAATCCAGGTCGTTGTTTCTGGCCGGCGTAGTATTTGCAGTTGGATCCCAAGCTCCGTGCCGCGGGGTCATGCTGCCATCGTGAGACGGTGTCATTGTACCATAAGGAGTACGAGTATCCGTATCCCAATTGGGTGTTTGGCTTCCCACCAGCGGGGTCTTTGATCCGGCAGCGGTGTAGCTGGGTGTCTGGGCTCCATAACCGGGAGTACGAGCTGGAGTGCGTCCATAAGTGGACACGCTACCCTCCTTTCCGGGCACTCCCACAATGGCAATATGATTCCGATCCACCGAAATCGTCTGGCATGAGGTATGCAGCTCCACACGAGCTGTGCTCTCGGTTGCGTCCTTAACAATCCCAACAGCGCCCTTGTAGGGTCCTCCACTAATCTTGATTGTTTTACCCAGAATCTCGCGATCCCGAGTGACCCGGAACCCGCCCCGGCCACCACGTGCTCCACCTCGAGCTCCGCCCCGACCACCGGATGGATGCATGGGTGATTGAATGCGCGGCGACATGAATCCCAGGCCACCCAGGGTTCCTGCATTATTCACATTGGTCTTGCTGCCTCCAGCCAACTGCAAGTGTCGTGTCTTGCAGACAAATATACCGCCATTCTCCGTGTACATGCGGCAATGTAGAAAGGCCAGACTGCGATACAGGTGCTTAATCTCACCAGAACGGCCCTGGGAGAAAATAGAGTGTCTACTAAGCAATATGCTACTGGCAGGTTAATTTTGGTACTTACAGCATGAGGACCCTCCATAACCTTAACAATGTCGCGGCGACGAATCTGGTTCTGGTCAGCATCCAGGGCCACGGTATTACGGTTCTCCCTTCGCTTGTGCAAGGCGGTTGGCTTGCACTCAATGCACTTTCCGTTCATGCCCAACACGTGAAAGTTCTCGCGCTCCAGTCGCACGATAACGCCCACATTCTGGGAACTAAATACAGAATAATAAGAGATTGCTTCACAAACAAGAGAATAAATTGAAACTCACTCCAGTTGCACCAAGTCTCCCCATTGAAACTGACCCAGGCAATCGACACCTGTGGCCACATCGGAACACAACTGCAAGTCCCTTGGCAACACCTCCAGCTCGTGATTGGTTAAATCCGAAACCAGCACCACACGTTGTGGCTCAACGCGAATGATGAGACCAGTTTCGCCCTCATATCGACCAGCCAACACCCTGGCATGATCTCCTGTCTTGAAGTACTTGCGCAATTCACTGGCTTTGAAGATTAAAGGATCCTGGAATATAACTACGTGTAGTGGCTAATTCAATTTGTGACTTGTTAAATCAAACCTTAAGATCCTGATGTTTGGGCATGACCGTAATCATAGTGCCGTCAATGGCAACAATCTTGGCCTGTAAGTTCTCCAAGTCGCCAACGCAAACTTCAACATTGTCACCCATTGAAAAGGAATGGGTTGAAGTGGGATCATCCTTAATGCTGCCGAGAATTTCCAAGTTGACCTCTGTAAATGAAAGACATGTCTAAATTAATATGAGGTCAAAGGATCATTGTACTATGTTTATTTACCCTCTGGAGATTCCTCAAAGCGTTCTAGCTCGGCTAGAGTGGGTTTTACTCCGTCGGACAGAATGGCTGACATGGTAAAGTTCTTGTAGAGGAAGCCCTTCCGAGAATATCGGTTGCCCTCAAACAGCAGGAAGTCACCATCGGAGTGGACTTCGCCGCCAATTGCCCTAAAGATTAAATGGGTTAGTAAGGAGAAGAATTGGGAAGAGGTATGCAAATTGTCTACCTCACGGCTTCTGGATCGAATGGCTTTGCTGGAGGACGACGTTTCTTCTTGCGCTTGCTATCGTCACTCTCCTAGAAATGTGTATTTTTACTTTAAGTTCAATCTAGATTCTTGATAAGCTCTTCTATACCGTTGCCGTCGTCCTTAATGCGCCTCGCATTCGTGTGTAATCGATGCGTGGCAGTAGCTTCAGATGCACTTGATTTTGTGCCAAATCCACATAGTCAACCTGGGCAATGTCATCCTTGTAGAGGCCTCGCTTTAGGCGCACCCATTGCTTGACCTTGAGGCCAACCTGCTCCTTGACCACCTTGAGAACGTCCGTCATTTCCTTAATGGGAACCATCTCCTGCTTCCATTTGCCCATCCGAAGATTGCCCACATTGTCAATGGCTGTTTTGACATGCGTCTGCTTGTAGGCTTCCAGATAAATGTAACCCTTGACGCCCTCGGGTGCAATAATCGATTTGATTTGCAGCGGATCATCCGTGTTCAAGTAGGTTAAAAACTTTCTCATCAGCAGCAGAGCCGTAGCCTTCTCCTCTCCAATCCGGCATTTGACCATCCACAAATTAGGATCCCTGTGAGAATGGGAATATAATAATGTTCCTTGAATGTAATTTGAAATCCTACTTGATACCCGGCAACAGGGTCTGCTGGGTTATCTCGTCCGACATCTCCTCCCCGCCATCGCCAAATCGTCGCTTTGCTATTGACTCGTCAGCGTATTTCTTTCGGAGATACTCTTCAATTTCGTCTTCCTTTTGAGTGCTGAATTAAAGGAATTTCATAAGATTGTATTTTTTTTATATTAATATGGTTATACGTACTCCCATAGGTTTGTGCCTCGCCGTCGGATTTCAATATCCCTGGCCGTGGGTCCCAATTCGTCAATCTCGTTTCCAACAATGCCAATCTCGTTGGCACCCTCTTCCCACTCGTCGTCTTCGTCAACCTATTAGGTAAATGAAATGTTATTTCAAGTGAAATGTGCATTTGTGGTAATGACACGACACCCACCTCATCATCCACTTCGGCCTCGTCAATGATGAAGCCACCGAATCGCTCCTTCTTCTTCTTTTTCCTTGGATGGTCCTCATTCTCCTCCTCTTCGTATTCCTCGGAATCAATGTCCTCGCCCGGTGGTTCCTCCTCTTCCTCTCCAGACTCGTCGCTTTTCCCACGGTTCCTACGTTGCGGAGACTCCGATCCCGAGCGGGAATGACCCGACTGGGAGCGGGATCGGGAACGCGAAGCAGATCTGGATGCGGACCTGGATCGTGATCGCGACCGGAAACCCGATTTGGATCTGACGCTACGCTGCGAACGCTGTGACTTGTTGGATATGGATCCATCCTCGGATCCACTGTCCGACATATTGCTTACTTCAGAATCCGACATTTCAGCCCCCGAAATGTGTAAACGTGTGCGGGCGCTGCTGAGAAAAATCCATGGATAAGGTTACTGTGGCCTAGTTCTTCTAATGCAAATTGAGTTCTATGGATTGTACACTCGCTGCAATGCTTGTGCAGGTTAAAAACTTACTAGTTATTCCACTTTTAATCGCAATTTGCTATTAACTTGTGCAAAGAAATTTTTTTAGCTCTGGACCAAGCCAGATGTGGCAGTCTTTGACTTTGTCAAAATTACCATAAATAAGATCTGGCCACACAATCAAAAATACTAAAAAGTTGGATGGCGGGTCAGAGAGAGAATACAAATTTTAATAAAACCGGTTATTTTTAATTCGTCTTTTCCGCAGATTATTGTCAATAGAGTAAAATATGTGAATAAAGTGCATGAGAAGGCAAGAGTCGAGAACAACCAGTTGTGCCGTCAGGAATCTCCTAACGCCACACAACTTTCTAGTATTTTTGATTTCGTGGGTTGTGATGCCTGCAATGGCATATTTTTTGCTACAAAACTTGGTCACACTGTCTACTGCGGAGAAATAAGTAATCGCTCTTTTTAACAAAATTACTAATTCTGGCTTGTGCGAGCCCGTTACACCCCCGATTCGCTCACTTGATTTCGCGATGCCACGAATCAATCCCAGCACAGAACAGTTTTCTCAGAAATTAATTTAATAACAGTATCAACCCCTCACATCTGGCGCAGACCTACGTATGTATGTATAAACAGATGCATGCATATACAGTCGGCGTTCGTGGGTGTGTGTGTACTACATACTGTGTATTTCCATATAACGTTTGGCAATAACGAATATCTCGCTTTCCCGACGACCACGACCAGATTAAAGAATTCGGCAATATCGATCGCGATCGACGACAGCCCGTAGTGCTGCTGGGCGTCACAAGAGAGTGGGAGAGAGGTGTTCCGCTTTGCGGCAGTAAGGTGTGGTTCCGATTCCAGCCACACAACAAAAAAACTTTACGGGGTGGAAACTCTCTTTGCGCTTCCACCTGTGAAGATTCAGGCGACATTTGCAGGATTCGTGGCGGCTATTGAGTGATGCAATCGATATCAGTGACGCGGCGCCTAACATATGCCCATATATCCGTTTGTGGTGTCATCGCAGGTTGAAGAGTTTATCCGGAATCCCTGCGCCCCGTGCGGTAACTGTGGACTACCATGAACACTGCGGAAGCCAGCGGCAGCCACAACAGTCAACCGCCGCCCACCCAAAATGAGTGTAAGTATTTGTGGCTCAGATATGAGCTTTGTAAGCTTGTGAGATATCTTAAGAATCCTGTAATCTTGCCCAGTGTCCCTCGAGGAGTATGTTATCCACGTGTATATGCCGAACAAGAGCTTCAAATCTGTTCGGTTTAACGTCAAGGAGACTGTTTTCCATGTGATCCGGAAGACCGTCGAGGATCTGGGCAGGGATGGACCGCAGCAGCCCAGTATCCAGCGGTATGCCTGTCGCATGCTCAACATGATCACCAAGGAGGTGATCTGGTTGGCCAGGAGCACATCGATGCAGAAGGTGCTAAGCCACATACTGACGCCCGGCTGCTCGAATGTGGACTGTCCCAACAACCAGGCGGAGCTGGATGAGGGCATGCTGCAGCATCAGGAGCACGACCGCCGGATCACTGCCAACAGGGTGTGGCGCGTTGAGCTGAGGGTGCGCTACGTGCCGAACAGTATTCAGGAGCTTTTCGACGAGGACAAGGCCACTTGCTTCTACTACTTCAATCAGGTAAAAAGCACCGATTAAATGAGATTTATTAACCTTAAAGCCCCATAACCATTCTCCATGTTTTCAAGGTGAAAGAAGACTTTATTCAGGCCAATGTCAGCTCGATCGACACTGAGGTGGCGGTGCAGCTGTGCTGTTTGGGAATTCGGCATTACTTCAAGAACATCACGGTGAAGGCGCCCGACAAGAAACAGCACATCGACTATATTGAAAAGGAGATCGGATTTAAGAGCTTTCTCCCGCAATCTGTGATAGCCACATCAAAGCCAAAGAATCTTAAGAAAATGATCCAAGTCGGTTACAAGAAGGTCTACAATTACAATGACATCGAGTACCTGACCCGGTAAGCATTCATTCGGCCCATTTGATAAGTACAGAATATTGAATTACGATCTTCCCTTCTTACTTTCCAGGTTCTTCGATCTTTTGAAAAATATATATTTAACCAACTTCGAGCAGTTCTCGGTAACACTGAGCTCGGCATGGAATATTTCTGGAATCCTACACGTCGGTCCTCACATTGGTAATGTTTTTCCCAGAAAAAAATTTTTATTTCATAATTGAAACTTGACTTTTTCCTGTGGATCTTTGTAGGAATCTCTTATCAAACTCATCCGCAAGCGAGCTTAACGAATGTGGCCCAGTTTAAGGACGTTGTTGCTATTAAAACGTGCACTCTACCAAAGGAAAAGCTGCCCAAGTCTAGCGAAAATGCCATAGAATCAGATGTCAATTGTAATTGTCAGAAGATCAAGACGCAGATCAAGATCTCTGCCTCCAACAATGTTGAAGATTTGGTCATTACGTGCAATGGAATTAATGTGAGTGTCTCCCATATATTTATTGCTTTCAACCTATCAATATATATTGCTTTCAGACTGCTGAGAGCATCGCCGACCTCATTGACGGCTACTGCAGATTGCTGTCAAAAGACCTAGAGTTTACGGTGTGGCAGCGTGAGATCAACGCTTCCAGCGATGATAGCGGCAAGGCATCGCCCAATGACGCCACACAGCTGGAGTCGAATAAATTAATGACTTCTTCGGGTCAGGGAAAACCAATGCTGACGGACGATTACGCTGAGATTGGTTTGTTGGAGGGCGAGGGCGATTATTCAACGCCCACCGTTCGAAATTACGAGTTGGATCGAGCCCACATAATACCGAGTGCCAAGATAGGCGTGGGACAGTTTGGAGATGTTTATGTAGGCACATATACTCTACCAAAGTCGGCGACTAAAGTCAAGAACTTGCTGGGCAATGGGAAGGATAGTAATAGCGACCAAAGACCAGATGTCATTCAAGTGGCAATTAAGACATGCAAAGCCAATGATGATCCCGAGAAAACTGAAAATTTTCTAGCCGAAGCTTGTACGTAACTTAAACCTCTAAGTTGTTATAGAAACTCTATATACAATAATGTACCATTTTACAGATATTATGCAGAAGTTCGATCATCCGCATATAATACGCTTGATAGGCATTTGCAGCGTAATGCCCATTTGGATAGTCATGGAGCTGGCTAAGCTCGGTGAGCTGCGAGCTTATTTAAAGACAAATAGCGAAAGGTGGGGCGAATTTCTTTCTTTCTGAACAGTTTCCAGATCAATAATAATTTTTTTTTATGTTCAGATTAAGTCACGGTACACTACTTAAGTATTGTTACCAGCTGTCGACGGCCCTTAGCTACTTGGAGTCGAAAAAATTTGTACACCGAGACATAGCTGCGCGTAATGTACTTGTCAGCTCGCCCACTTGTGTCAAGGTTTGTGCATACAAGGAATATTTAGTTGATTTTATGATATTAAGATACTTTTCTTACAGCTGGCAGATTTCGGGCTATCCCGTTGGGTTTCCGATCAGTCTTATTATCATTCAACGCCCACAGGTAAGAATTCAATAGTTAAGCTCGCAACTAGCCTAACCTATGACTCTTTTCTACTTTTGCAGTTGCTTTACCCATTAAATGGATGTCCCCGGAGTCTATAAACTTTAGAAGATTCACCACAGCCAGTGATGTATGGATGTTCGGTAGGTTAACAAGACATAACAAATTTTTAAAGAATTTTCTAACCCTCTTTTTCAATTGTGTAGGTGTCTGCATTTGGGAAATCCTCATGCTTGGAGTAAAACCGTTTCAAGGTGTAAAGAACAGCGATGTTATCTCGAAACTGGAAAACGGAGAACGCCTGCCCCTGCCTCCGAACTGTCCGCCAAGGCTGTACTCGCTGATGTCACAATGCTGGGCTTATGAGCCTCTCAAAAGACCTAATTTCAAAAGGATTAAGGAAACGCTGCAGTGAGTATCCAGAAACTCTTGATGACATCCCAGTTGCTAACATACTTTGCGCATCTTAGTGAAATTCTTATTGAAGATAGCATCAGTTCGTCGGAGACTCTGAAGCGGGAGCACCGGCGAGTGGCTACCATGTCCTGGGTGGGCGGTGATGAAATCGACATTCCGCCACTGAAGCCATCCAGAGCGATGCATGATTCTGGTAAAATAATAATCAAGTAGTTAGTGGACTTCTGACAGATACTAAAGCCTTGTTTTGATTACAGATATTACAGGATTGATGCCGAAAGTGGAGGAAACAACGTCGATACCTCAAACCTATATCATTGCACAAAATCCCGCTGTGTTGGCCAAGCTGATGATGGAGAACCAGAAGCGAGGAATTAATCCGGCGGCCTACACCACACCAGCTTCGGTATTTAATACTCTAGCCGTAGGATTAGACGACAGCAAATCGAATGTTTCGCTTAAGACCACAAAGCTTCCGGCAGCAGATATGCTAAAGCTTGACCCCATTGCAGAGTCTGAAAGGCTACTCAAGTCCCAGTGCAATGCCAGTCAGATGGCGAATCCTCTAACCGCTTTAGCTAACCCCCTCGATCCTCTCAGTCCGAACACGTTTACGGGTAGTTTACCTTCAAAGAGTAGTTTCGTCGTTTGTCCACCGCCTCACAACACTGATGATCAAATGCAAGGTGCCGCAGATAATTTAGCTAACCCCGCGGTGTCAAAGGTTACAGCTACGGGATACAGCCTTTATGGCAGCCTGGAGAGGCATCAACCGGTGCTGGCAAAGCCCATGCACTCGAAAGGTGGCAGTCTAGAGCGCCATCAATCACTGATGTCCGCGCAAAATCTTGTATTCTACAATACCAAGCCGACACAGCCGCCGCACTTTACAAATACAGCCGAGCGCTCAAGGAGCATGGAGCGAAATACGTATTTCCACGCCTACCGCCAGCAAATGAAAACCTCTATCGAATGTGAAGCTTTGCCCGAGGAGATCTACGATTTTGGTGGTGTTGGACTTAAGACCTGTGTGTCTGCCAAGCAGCAACAGCAGCAGCAACACCAACAAGCCACTTGCAATCCTTCGGTGATGAATATGATGCTTCCTCCACCAGTAGAGCTTGCCCACGCTCAAGCCCCCGTAGAATTTATACAGGGATTACAGCCAAATATGCCAACAGATTCCTTCGGAGTTATATCCCCCCAAAACTATGAGGAAAGCTTGCGAAATCAGAGAGAATGGGAACGACAATGGATGCTTTCGGGGGCACAGAATGTTGCTGCAATGGGACCCAACATATCCGATGGAGCCGTATGCATGGCTACCTTGCAGGCGGAGGCTATGGGAAATCAGGTTTGGCCGGTCATTGGATACGTTACCAGCAGCTAAGGGCTTGCATTACCCTATTATTTCCCTTATTTGGTTGAAACTTATTATTTGTTACATATATTGTGCGTTTTTTAGTAGATTTTTAAGTTATCTTATTTAATTTTAAAAGTTTGTCTTGTTTACATTAATTATATATGGTTTAATTTCCATTTTCAGGGCAAACACAATATTTTGGGTGAAAAGCTGCGCCAACAAAGGAAGGATAGCAACAGTGACAGCGAATGGTTAATCCAGGAAGAAGTAAGTAGCAAAATAAATTATATATAAAAGTTTACGATATGATATTGATATTCTCCCTACCTCTTTTCAATCTTTCAGAGGCGGCGATCTAGCTCCATACCCCATGGATCCCTCAACGACCACCAGTCGCAAATGTTCAAGCTGGACTTTATGTCGGCCGGACCCTCTAGCTTGCCCGACTCCTGCTCCAACTCCAACTCTAGGCCCATGACTCCAAATGCTAATCTTCTATCGCTTAAGTCAAATAACTCTTCGGCGGATCACTTGTCTGGTTTGACAACGGTGAGCGATGAGCAGCAGGCAGGTTCGAATGCCAGAAACTTTGGTGGTGGTCGCCCACTGAATCGTGCAGATGACGAAGTTTATTGCGCCACCACATTGGTGGTAAAATCAATAATGGTGCTGTCACAAGGCGTGGAAAAAGCCAATACCGAAGGTTATTTGGAACTGGTCAAGAATGTGGGCGTAAAGTTGAGAAACCTGCTTACATCGGTGGACAAAATATCGGTGCTGTTCCCAGCACAGGCCCTTAAGTAAGCCATCTTAATAATTAATATTAAATAATATAGCGTAACTTATATTAATTGTCTTGCTTCTCTCTATTAGGGAAGTGCAAATGGCCCATCAAGTCCTGTCCAAGGATATGCATGAGCTTGTCTCAGCCATGCGCTTGGCTCAGCAATACAGCGACACTACCCTGGATTGTGAATATCGGAAGTAGGTTCACCAAATGATGAATCAAAAGTCCATGAGCTAATGGTTTTTCTTTATAAATTGCAGAAGTATGCTATCGGCTGCCCACGTCTTGGCCATGGACGCCAAGAACCTGTTCGATGTTGTGGATTCGATACGCCAGCGTTATCAGCACGTATTTCCCTCACCCAGCGTCCCAAGAGATTCGACCACCACCAGTTTATCTAGTTTTGAGTCAACCTCAACGACGACCATGAATGATTTTGGTGGACATCTTAAGTCAAGCAATTCGGGAGATCTACTGCACAGCACAGGGATATACGATAATGATTTGCATCAGAGCTTCAGCTCACAGTTGCAGTTGCAGAATGCAACCTCCGGTGGCAAAGACTTAAGTGGTGGTGGGGGTAGCTTACAAAGAGGTATGAGCATTGGTCTGGAGGACCCTACCAGGTCGACAACAAATGAGCCTTTGCGGATTGTCGAGGAGGCATTAAGTAGTCCGGGGGAGCACATGTATTGCAATACGTCCGCCTTGCATGGCCACGCGTAACTCTTCTAGTGTCTGCGCAGATAGATATTAACTTAATGATTAAACTATTGTACATACCTAAAATATATATATATGTTCAGCGGATAATTCGCTTATCTCTACGTATGAAGCATATACATATATATATGACTTCAAAGATACTTACTCAAAGTTTGACGAGACCCCCAACTCGGCCGGCCGCATTCTCACATCGTCATGTAGTCAAAATAATTTAAGAAACAAAGACACGTTCTTGAATGAAAAAATAGAAGCTGGCTAGTAATAATATTTATAGATAACTTGACCCCGATCTAATACAACTAAAAATGTAATTCATCAACAGTTTGGGTGTATTTTAAGACATTTATATTGTGATTTATATATTCTACCAATACACAAGCTTTATTCCGAGCTAATTAATTTGGTGCCAGGTTCTCGATCACAACAACAGCAAATAAATTGAATTACTAAACGAAAGAGTCGGTGTTTTTACTTATATTTTTGTTAATTAATTTTCTAATTTGATATTTATGTTAAAAGCTTAAAAACAAACCCCAAAAGGAAATTTAAAAACTTTAAATCGGGTGTGGAATTCTTTAATAAGTTAACATTGCCTCAAGATACAATTCCTTTTACAATTTTAAATGTAGTAAAACGTAATTATTTAGCCAAGTCAACATGTCATTAAATTCGATAAAAATCACTTATAACGACAAGCATTTATAAATACAACTACGTGGTTATACACTTTTGCGGAAGTACTGATTATTTTGTACTGTTTAATGCAAAATAAAATATTAGAGATTCAGGACAACGAGATTTCATGTAAATGTAGATTTGTTCGAGTTGATTTGCTAACTTAAGTATCAAGAAAAACGTAAATTAAGAATATATAGTACGCTCTATCCATTCCTCCAGTGTAAACGTGGCCGTTTCATTTTTCTCGGTATCCTGTTCCTTGAAGATTTCTGTAAAGAAAAAAATTTATGTCAAGAAGTGTGATAGATTAATTTTAATAGTTTTCCTTACCTATATATGTCTTTATTTTAACTGCACACATGATGAAATCATCAAAGGCAATTTTGCCATCACGCGAACCATAACGATGACCTAAGGCGTTGAGTACTCGGTTGTTTAAATGATAACCAGCTGAGTTAAGAGCCTCTCGCAGCTGGAATCCGGATACACGACCTGTGTTCTCCGTATCATAGACCTTAAAGATGGCCTTCCACTTGGCGATTTCCGACAGCAACACCTCAAACTCCTCGAATCCCAGCTTGCCAGACTTGTCAGCATCCAGCATGGCCACCATGGAGCGGCATACGTCCTTGGAAAATCCATGGGTTTCATCCACAATGGCTGTAATATTTTAAGTATATATAATTTGTTCCTTTTTTATCTTCTGTTATTTATATATTTTACCGTGTGGTGCTACAGGTCCTCCATCAACTGGATTATCCCCCATTAGCCTCTTGTTCGACTGATCGTTCATTCCCATCTGATCCTCAAAGGGCGTTCCCTTTAAGAAGGGTCCGCAAATCAAGGATAGAAGACCACAGGCTCCGCCACCATCCATCTCCCCAGGACCGGCCGCCTGGGTCTCAAATGCATTATTGGGTGAGAAACGGTTGAAGACAACGGGTTTTGGCAAATCTTTAAAATGCAAAATAATAATATATAATATTAAGACGTATTAAGATGTGTTTTCCCTTACCATCTCTCATCGAATGATCCAAGATACGCTTCAGTTCCATCCAATCCACTTCCATGTCCTTGCCGGCAATGCTATCGAACAGGCGACGCAAACTCTCCTTTTGCGGATCCATGGGCTTTGGTGTTGGGAATCCGGGGGATATCTTTTAAAAGAAATAACTAATTAAGCGATCCTATTTGCCACGATCTACTTACCGTATCGGCCTTGTCGCCGTAACCCACATGATCATCATTCTCTCTAAATGAAAGTGGAAAGTGAAAAGCGAAATGATTGATGAATAATGTCTGAATTTTAAATAAACCATTTAAATATTTTAATGGCTTCAAGTGTACACTACAGAAAGGGATTTTAATGAATATTTAAAGCAAGTAGTTGTGGGAGTCGACCATTTTGAAAGTATAATACGTTGTTGTGGGTATATCCTTTATTGTTACTTTAGAATAATATAGATATATATAGTAGTTACATGGGAAAATACATTAAAGCAACAATTTAAAATAGATCGATAGAATAAGCAGAGTTCATCTATATATTTTCTAACCGCCCTTTTAAAACCTCTTGAGATACAAATTAATTTATAAGTAGCTTTGCATTGAGCTTATAGTTAATACTTTTATACTTTTCATTTTCAGTTCACTTCTGCCAGACAGACAGACGGACATAATAACTTGGGGAAATGTAAGAAAGAAATAATACTTTACGCATTAAATTAAAAGAAAATATTGAGGAGCAGAGCATGCATATTCCTTCGTCATTAAACCATTGGGAATGTGTTTTAGGGTAAAGATTCAACAAAACAATTTTGATTCAACAATTGCTAGCGCTATAATTAGAAATTAGAAATATATACTGTAGTCACATACCCACATATTGCACTTTAGAAGCTTTTGAGTATTTGAAACCCGAACGAACGAATTATTTCTAATATACAAACTCATTATTGTCATTGTCTACATTTACGTACTCCATGTTGTTTTGGGTTTCGGAGAATACTCGAATGATGAACTCGCCCTCCTCGTTCGGGTCGAAAGTTGAGGGCACAATCAAGTAGTGGCCAGGTGGCAATTTAAAGCGAGCGCATACCTGTAATTAAATCCACATTCCCAATGAGGGGTTCAAGATAATTTTATAATAATCCTGAAACATACTTCTCGAGTGTTGATAAAGTGAGGTGACCTTCCCACCGAGGACTTGTATCTGAAGAAGTTCAGGCCCTGCGGACGGTTCTCCAGTTCACGATCGCTGAGACTGTAGATGGCGAAACCAATGGTCAAGCACTCCATGCCCATGTTCCTCTTCGATCTGCGATTCTTCTGCATCAGAGCCACAATCACCGTGCACTGGCCCTCCTCATCTTCCTCGTCGGGATCCACCAGCGTGATGATATACTGGGGATTGTGCCAGAAGGTGTCCAGAAAGTTGCGGCAACCGCCGGCAGTGACTCCAGGTGTCCATTCGCCCTCGTACATGGACATCTCCCACTTCCGTTTGCCGCTGTTCTGCTGATCCTCTGTCAGCGAGTCTGGCGACAAATTGCAAATCTAAAAGGTATATATTAGCTAAATGCCTAGGATATTGTGTTAATGTTAAAGGTCCCACCTCCACACGATCGAAATGATTGAGGAAATCCTGGAAGGACATCCAGAACTCTCCATCTCTATCGAAAGTGAGTCCAATCTCGTTCTTCTGATCCTCAGGTATATATCGCCATTCGGGCGAGCTATCACTCCAAGGGCCATTCCACTCGGCCTCATTGCCCCAAGGATTACGCATTCGAATCATCGGGATCTTTCCCTGACGATTTGGCGTGACGATGTCAATAAGGCAGACCTTGGTGATGGAGTAAGCGTGGCCTCGTATCAGACCCTGGGGAGTTTCAGCCTCTAAAACATTAGGATCCGGTTCGATAGAGCAACCCATCATGGAATTGCGATCAGCGGCCTTTTGTAGAATCGTAAAGAGATTTCCCGGGGCTTCCTTTAAATCGTACCACTCGCTAACGCCGCCAGTGAAATCCTCCATGGCCTCACATGTGCTGCCACCCTTCAGGGCCTCATAGGATCCGTGAAGTCTGTCGGAAATATATAATTAAGTTATTAATTCAGCTAATTAATGGTTTAAACAATTCATACTTGGCATATGCCTTCTCTAGCAAGGCACTCCAGAACTCATTCTTCTCTGTGGAGTGCATGTACATCAGTTCTCCATTGTAGGTGGGCAAGCGGTCATCCACTATGACATCCACCCATTTACCTTTAAATTGTAAGCAAACTTGTTAGATGACTGAGTTATTCTTAGCTTAAAATTCCGAATTACCATACTGCCAGAACCGGAAGTGAAAGATGCCTGCGTAATTCTCCTCGAAGCTCTGTTCTGGGGGAATTACCCGGAAGAACAAGTTCGATTCCTGGGTCAAGTTGGCCGTGGCAGCCAGGAGCCAGCAATCTCCCAGCTCTCCCTGCTGGACATCGAAGCGAGAGTATCCCTCCACGAAAAATTGCGGATTCTCCGCGATTTCCTTTTATAATGGAATTAGAATTAATACAGTTTATAAAATTAAGATTGATATGACTTACATGAGGCCTCAGCCACTCGATGTGACGGTCCGGTCGCCGAGAGAACTGAAGGGACTCGTTCGAAGCCGGAAAAAGGGGATCCTCGAAGAGCAATCCGCTGGCCACGCAGCTATTCCGTATGGTCTCAAAGTCCTGCACTTCGGAATAGGGTCCCAGGTTCGAGCTCTTTTCACCCAGCTACAAAAAGTACTTGGCATTAGTTATTTGTATATCACAAGCTTTTAGAGTTCATTATAATAACTGTATGTACAGAGTATATTGGTGTAATGGATTTAAAAAGGGTATTGATGTTTTGTACACTTTGTACACAAAAAGAAACACACACAAGGACAACACACAGTACGACACTTTGGCAGGACATTATCCTTCGGACGGAATTGTGTCAATGCCATTACGATGACAGTAGTAAGTACTTACGTTCCCATAGTACAACGTTTGAGAAGATTTAGAGGATTGCAATGGTTGCTAGTGTTTGAGTTAAATGAAATGGGTTAACATGCATATGGATCTCAATGAATTGTATGTTTGTCTTGCCCTGCATATAGAATAGATCTACTGATAACCCTTGGGTTCTACTTACAACTCGCATGTTCTTGATGCTAGGCAGAACCCTCTTGGTGTCGGCTTCCTTCTTGATGAATATCTCATTGATCACCGATCCGACCACATCCTTGGCTGCTCCCATGGCTGCCTCGCCGGCTGCGTTCAGGAACTCCTGACCCGCTTGCCTCAAGAATCCCTTCAAGTCGTCCATGATGGCTCAGGTATCTAAAATTAAAGGGATTAAAAACCAATCTATATACATTTGTTGTGCCAATATTGATATCTTGTTAGCAAAGTCCGAACCGTAAATGGGACTATCGAAGGAATTAAAAACACACCTCGAGCCACAAATATGGGGTTAAGCGTGTATTAGAGAAGCGTTAATATTCCCAACGTGACTCTCGAGTTTAATTAAATTACTTAAATTCACGCAACGAGCATTAGGTTTATTCAAACAGAAATTATACTTTGGAGACTAAGAATTCCGCGGTTCGCACCCAAATATAATTCATACGCATATGTTCAGCTACATATTCACTATATATGCTACATTGTGTGACATCATTCGGAAGCATGAGATTCTCTAGTGACTCAAAGGGTGTGCGCCATTCGAGAGATTCAGCTACTTTCCCATGCCCAGATCCCATTTCCAGCCGTGACATTGGCATTGAGCCCGGAACTACTATATACTATATAGGGTATTATATCGTAAATTGGCCTTTAATTGGAGCAAAATATGCTAGGGTCTCCCGTACCCCATCTGCTTGATACGTATGATTGTTTGGCCGCCTAGTATATAGAATCATTGGTAATTCTAATGCGAAACCCAAACTGGTTTGGTAATTAATGCATTCTTTAAGCCTGGCTCATTCCCGTGACCAGCGAGTACGCGAACGGAGGCCCAGAATATCGAATTGAATCACTATTAAAATATATATATTTTCCCCATTTCCAAATGGACCTTGATTGTCGTCCCAGAGAGAGCTATATTCGAATCACGCACTTTCACTGCCCGAAAATCACAACACAACAGCAGCGAAACGATACGGACGGTTCTGACGCCTTTACTTTACAAAGTATCTGGATCCAAACACCTGACGGTGGCCGGTCAGTGTTGCCAGTTTAGCTTATTTCCGGCTAGATCAAGCATATCTAGAAATGGAAAGGCTTAATTAATTTGCAACTAGCTTATAGATTTAAATATATATAATATTACTATTAGCATATTTAAGCAAAATTTCATTCCTGACATCCACTTTTTTCTTAATTACATTATTTTTTTAATTTCAATTTTATATTTACACTCCTGTTGGAACTAGTTATCGGTTCATCTGTGCTATCGTTTTGGTTTTAACTTTTTCCTGGCTTTTTATTAACACCTATTTTCCGGTAAAAAGAAGTGGGTTTTTCTTAAATATCAATTAAAATACTAAGTTGAAATTAGTCAAAGAAGCTATATGCTCCATTTTAAAATATCAACTATTGACAATCACTTACCTTACATTACGTTTCACCTTACGTTACGTTTACTTTTTTAATTGCGCGCCTTATCCATATCTGGCAACGTATCTTCTCTCAATCTGGCAAAGCCAAAGCCGTCTGAGTGTGGCCAGTTGCTCTAGAAGATAAAAACCACTCTTCCTCCGACAAATTTCAATAATAAACGGGCCGACACACACATCACGCGCAACGAGTTTTTCCGTGAAATTCAGCATTTACAAATTGTAAGCAGTGGTTTATCTCTCACCCACAAGCCGAAGTTTTTGCCGCTTAAATGTAGATTCAGTTTTAATATCAGGATATCCGATTGTAATCCAGACAACGCGTCGTAGGGCTCATTGATTTTTTCACGGCGTTGCCGGTGATGGGACGCCGTTAATACACACGCACGAATGTGTGTATATGTTGCGGCGGGCACTTGTGTGTGAATAAATAATATGACATAATCGACGTGTGCGGCTTAATTGACATGGTTTTTGTGCGATGAATACCTAAAAGTGCGAAACGAGCGCCAAAAGAAGCGTTTTCTGTGGTCAGAGCGGCGAAAAGGACTTGTACCGCTAGTCTTCCCCGTACGCTTTGCTCCAAATATTCGTTCCTCCCAACACTCTCTCCCTTTCCCACACACACACACACGCATGTATATTTGGGCGTTGCAGGATGATGTAGCTCTCTTACCTCTCTCGCTCACGGGCTCTCTTGAATATTTTTGCGCAATCCGAGATTTCTGCCACTCAAAGTGAAACTGTTTAATTGCTCGCCAAATTAAGTTAAATCGGACTCGAATCCAAAAGCGGGAATAGTTAGTTTGCTTGTGCTTGTTTTTGACTGCACCCACTTGACGTTGCCTAACACTGCCCGCCCGCTCTTAGCGCGGCTCTCTTTTCGTTTCATTCTTCGTCCATTTGTCAACGTGCGCTGTTCGTCGGGTGTCCGCAGACTTTTGATTAAGTTCGTACAAGTTTAATACCTATTTTAACACTTCTTTACCGCAGTGCAGTGCATTAAATAGAATTATTTAGCGTTTTGGTGTGGTGCCAAGTGCCGTTAGCAGCGGCGCCATCTTTAAAGCGCATTAACAGTTATTTACTGAAGTGAAGCGAAGCCAAGGAAGCGGCATTCTTAAAAATTTTAAACAAAATATTGCTCGATTCCACAAGAAGTTAATGCTATTCAATTCTCTCCCCTCTCCCTACCCCTTCTGATAGTCTCTGCGGCATATGTGTGTTTGTACGAAATAGCAGCCGAAAACCGAAGTGCGAGAGCGAGAGTACAAATATAAAACGCGTGCGTTCCCCCTCTAACGTATAGTGAGTGTGACCGTTGTATTTGTGACCTGTGCGTTTCAGCCACTGGAGGATCGACGAATTACGAAAAAAAAAAAAACGAAGAATACCGGTAAGTGTCCATCGCCTTGGAGGATCTTTCATAAAAAATGTATATTACGTCGAATTATCTTGAACATTACGCCTTGCGCTTTTACTGTTATGATGAGCGGCAATTGCTGCCCGGTGACGCCATCTTTTGTGCTCCTCTAATAAGTGTTGTTTTTGTTTTTTGGGTTTGGTCAAGCACACGCAACACACTGCGTGCGAGTGTGTTTGCTTTGCTGTTATGCTTCGAGCTTGATGTTCTAGTCATTTTTCTTTTCTCTCTCCCTCTCCCTGTCCCACTCTCTTTTTGGGTGGGTGTTCGATTCGTGTGTGTGCGTGTGCTTTTCCTTTTCACATGATTCATGCATCTCTCTCCTACTCCCTGAGACTTTCTATGCGCTTGTCAGATTATAGAAATACAGTTGCACGTCATACTGGTTTTTGGGGTCTCTCAGCCGTAGGTTTTATCAGCAATTTGTTGCCACTCGCAAATACTAGCAACCATTGCGAATCTCGGGAGTGTGTCTAATGCACTTGGCTGTCGCTAATAAATCGCCTGCTGGCGCGCATCTGTTGTTGGCAAGTTTCGTTGTGACCCACTTTTCCAATGCTTGGTCTCTGTCGCCTCTCTTTCGCTCTTCTAAGCCGTTCGCGGTTTTAGCCAAGTAAATGGCGAAAAGCGGCAACAAGTGATAAACAGATTTGTAAATATTGGAAACTTGTTTAGCGGATTTGTTAGTGTAATTCCATCACAGAAAATGTACTATGTGTGTTCTTGCAGTTGATTTCAGTTTTGTATATTTTTGTTTTAGTTAAAACAAGATCTTGTACTTGTTTTCAATAACTAGGCAATCTGAAAACAGACTGAAATTACTTGTAAAACCACATCTAAATCTGAATTATATTGTGACGATTCGAGTTATAGAAGTTTACCTGTAGTATTCTGTTACCTCGCAATCTTATCAGAAGGGCATGCCTCTTGTTACTCTTTCTGGTTAGATTGCGGTTCCGATACAAGTACCTGTATAGTGGCTCTAGCAACAAGAACTACTTAGTGTTATAATGAGTACAAGGATTCCATTCGCATAACCCCTTTTAAGTTAGAGCTGCTTTTCTTTAATGATCTTCTATGAGTATTTCCTGTACACTCTCTCTTCTCGCATCAAAATCTAACGTTCCATTTCGCGTGCTCTTTCAATCGCCTGATAAATTTCAGCTACCTTTTGTATGCCACATGACGTCATTTCGCACACATTGCTTATGTGAAAAAAAAATATATAAAAAGAAGGAAATTTGCTCTTTTTGTTGGCTAGCTTTTGTTGCTAATTCAAATACACAGACACAAATGGGCACATGGACAGTGGGCTTTATAATTCATTGCTTATGCTTCCCTCTTTTTCGTCCCCTTATCACTTCCCCGTGTTTATTTCATTTGTTCCTCTTGCTCCGTTTGTCCGTTTTCAATTCGCAAATTAGACGTGACTCGCGTTCGTTGAGGTTTTTCAATTGTTCATTCATTTTTTTTTTTTATAAATTTTTTCCGTTGCACACCGCAAGTTGCATTGCGAGAATTTCCGAAAATCGTTGAGGCATTATCTGAATCTATATGTATTGAAATTTAACATTAAAATCACAGAAAAAGGGAAAAAGAAGAGTGCGCGATAGCAACAAAAACAGGACAAAACCCGTTGTTTATTGTCGCTTTCCGCTACGAATTTGAATGAGTGACAACTGGAATGAGTGAGATGGCAGAATATGTGACCGTGTGTCTCTTTTTAACGGGAGGAAGTGCATAGTTAAAACTGTAAACAATTGTTGAAGAACCTAACCTACAAAATGTTTGCATTGAAACGAGTCGGAAATACAAAACCAAACCCCGAACGGGCAACGGTGACGGTGACACACAAACAATAACAAAGAAGAAACTAGAGGCGAGAATGCAAAGATAAGAAAATGCACTTCAAGTGGAGGAAATCGCCGGCATTCAATCCTAACTTTCTAACTTTTATTGAGGCGTGTCCCGCGTGTCCCTTCCCATCGGAATCCGACAATGCAAATGCATTTTCTGTCTGATGGGTTAACAGCAGACCTAATGACTCTTGATTGGGAATTGGAAATTGTTTACCCAAGCGTGTGCTTATCGAATTTCCCACTGACGTCACATCTTGCCGGTGATTAATTGATTTGAAAACGAAGTGGGTGGGGGCTTCATAATTGTGACGTATACTTTGATTAATGCACTTTCTTAACTCGAAAAAAATGGGATATCTTTTTAAAAACCTAATGGAGTTGCTGGAACCTTAAATTATATAAAAATATCGATATTAAATGGGCATAAGAGCTCGTACAGGACTATTTGCAATCAAAACCACTCTGGGACTAGCAAATAAAATTAAAATAAAACATATATATTATTCTAATTATGCTTAATAATAAAGAAAATTACATTTGCTTATTGTATGTATGACTTAGTTGACACCAAAAACTAGTTTCTTTAAAAGCTTTTTATAATAGTAATAATGAAAATGACAACGGCTTAAACAAAAACTCTAATATAATTGCCAGTACTATTAAAAAACAGCTCTTAAAAAATAAATAAATAAATAATTGAAAATGAACCCTGAAATAACAGTACTCTCATGAATAACAAACACAGTCTGGCAACTCGGGCTGCCACCAAAAACAAATTTGTCTAAAAGCACAAGCTCTTAAAATTGATGGCTCCCAGAAACCCAAACATAAAAAGAAGTGAACCCTGTTGTTGCCTTGCCCCAAAGCCAATTGCAGTGAAGATGCAACAGAGCGAGAGAGGTAGAGAGAGTGGTAGAAAGGGGGAAAACAGAGAGGTAGATAAAAGAGGCGTACGTGCCAAGCTTCAAAACAGAGACACAAGCGAGATTAAAAAAAAGAGAGATGTTGCTGCTGGCTAAACAACTGCAGCTCATCAATAAAACAGCAACAACAACAATAAGCCAGACACAGAACTCGAGAAGAGAGATGGGGTGAAAGAGAGCGAATAAGAGATAGAGAGAGAAGGCAAGAGGCGGAGACAGCAATAACAAATGTACAGTTGCAGAAGCAGCAGGCCGCATCAACAACAACAAACTGCTGCAACAAAACATAAATCTTGAAAGAAAACAAAAAAGGAAGGCAACTTCCGAAAGACGAAGTTGGTATACTCTTGCAGTTAAATTGATCACTACTAAGCTTTTATGTGTTAGTTTTTAGAAGGTTACTAAACCTGCTTACTGAATTTTATATTTTATTAAATTAAAATTGCAAATCTTTGATAATTTTAACGATATTACACATTATAAAAATTTGAAATAAAAATATTAAAATATTATTGTCGACGTGGCTGGATCGACTCGCCAGTTGATGCTGATCAAGTATATAAATAGGGTCGGAAATGAGTTCTTCTCTGAATAAGGGTATAAACAAGCCAAGAAAAGACTACCCTATAATAAGTATTCTCTCATTGAAGATATGAACTCTAAAAATAAATTCATATTAATTTTATTTTTAATATTATTATTATTAAATCGTTTTTTAAATGCATAAATGAAAATACTCGTTTTATAAAAGAGGTTCTTGCGCCAGGAGAGTCTCAAGTCTGAAGAGCAGTTCCAACAAACCGTCTCTGTTTTTTTTTTTGTTGTTATTCAGGCTTTTAGAGCTTGAAACCAGCAGAAGATGATGAGAGGCAAAAAGGTGCGACGACAATGTGGATAATTATACCGAAAATGTTCGGAAGCAAAGGCAAAGAAAAATGTAGACAATTTCTATAAAGCTGATGGAGCTGTGTGTCTGCATTTCTTGCCTTCTTTAACATTGCTCGCTGTCATTTCTTCTTCTGCTGCGCTTGAACTTCAATTGAATTGTTTTTCTTTTGTCTCTCTGACTCTGTTTTTCTTACTTTGCTCCATCTCCCTCTCTCGGATATACCATCTCTCTCCCTCTTTCGGCTGAAAGTGATTGAAAGCCTGTTATTATGGCGGCCTGATCCGACTGAACTAAATTTAAATTGGAATTTAGGCTAATTTCGTTCTCCCGTTTGTGTAGGCGTGGGAAATGGTTCCCTTGCCAGTTGTTGTTTTATGTTCTCTTCTCCTTTTTCTCTTCAAATTGCCACAATTTGTTGTAATTAATGTAAATACTAGAGAATTAAATGTAATTGGCTTTTATTTGTGGCTTTCAAACGTGACAAGTGGCTGACCATAATGTACATCTAATTGCAATGCAATCGCTCTTCCGCACACTTCCAACTAGAAATGTTACCAATAGGAAATGAATTTTACGATTTAAGGGGTAACAATAAAAACAAATGCACCTTTAGTTACTTCCAACTCGAATTTTTATGTACAAACAATTCTTTACCAGTTGATATTTCCTCTTTTAAATGAATGGCTAACCCACTTTGCCGGGCACAAATGTCAATAATAAAAATCTGGTGTTCAAACAACTTCTCTTCACTGCAACATTGCCAAACACGAGGGCAACAATAAAGCTCTATAAAAAGGCCATCATCATTATCATCATCATATAACAATAGAGGCAACAACAAGTCAGAGTCATACAGTAGACCAACAATAAGCGCAAACGTGTTGCTGCATAAATGAATTCATAATGCAAAACAAAAAAAGATATTAAAGAAAGGAAAAAAATACCTAGGGGGAGAGAAAAAGCGAATTGTGCACACGAAAGAGGCGGCTTACATAATCGTTTTATAGCTTCTATTCAACACGCCGATCTCGGTTTTGTAAATCAACACCAGAAGCGGCTGAATTGCGTTACCAATGTTTCGTGTCTGGGGCTTTCACGCAGAAACATTTAGAGCGCGTTTATTGGCCAATTTATCAGACTGCAATTGTGCGTTGCAAGTGTAATGTGAAGATCACCTGAGCGCATCGGAGAAAGGCATAATTAAATTTAATATTTGGGCATACATATAATATGCTTATCAGCTCGTAATAATGTACATCATTTGTATGCTAATTTGTTGTTTAAGTTGAGAAAGGAGTAATGAATTTTGATTAAAGAGATTGGTTAGCTTAAGAAACATCAACACATTGTTAAGAAAACTTGTTTTTAAATTATATTTATATTATATATAACTGGTTTAAAAATTGTCCGAAAATCTAATAATTATTGTCTCGAGGCAGTGATTTTCCTCTGCCAAAGAATTCCAGGCTGAAATAACCTCCCCCTCAATAACTCAATTATTTTATTTTGTTTGCTGGGAGCGTCTGCTATCGGTGAGCTATTTAGTGTGTGTGTTTGTTTTTGTGTGCTTGTGTGTCTCTGGGCAAGTAGCGAGTAGTACGAAAATATTATAAAGCCCGCTAACTAAAAATATTCACATGACATCATCGAGCAGAGGCGCTGACCGCAGCGTCAGCGTTGGCAGAGCAGACGCAGCATCTGAACAACTCTCTGTTTTGTGTGTGTTGGAAAACGGGAAAGCTGTTTGCCAAGAAAAAGGGAAAATGCTCACTCTTCTCCCTCTCTCTCTACTATGCTCTCAAAATTTGTTATATATTTTTTGAATGTTTACTAAAGCAAACAGTCAACCTTTAGCATGAAAATGTCATATTATTATGGTATGGTTTTGCTGTAGGGATTTCCCCCATTAACATATACCTAACTAACTTACCTTCTTTTATTTATTTTCAGGCAAATCATAAAAGTATTATAATCACGCAACAAATTCAATTTTAAGGTGAGTTTTTGAATCTATTCTTGAATTAGAAACACGCCCATGCCCATAAGTAAAGTGCAAAGCAAACAAGACTCTTGTTTCCCTTTATTTACCTTTTTATATATATTTATCAGATATTTTATCTGATGGTACATATTTGCGTAAGGTTTTTGCAATGATTGAGATTGAGGAGGTCTCTCTATGGATTTTGTTGACACTTGTTTGCTAAGGAGAAGCTTGCAAAAAGACTGAGAGAAGAGGAGAGGAGAATACGGAGGAAGCCACACCTCACTCAACTTTGAACTTTTTGCTTACGCCACACTTGAGCGATATCCAATTGTGTTCCGTGTTTTTTCTCCTATTTTTTGTATTGTATTGTTTGGCAAACTTAATTGAGAACTAATCGAGGTCATGACCATCAAAGGGAGATAAATAATTTGTATTAATGACGCTCAAGCGGTGATTTTTGTCATCTCTTTCTTTGTTTCTTTATGCATATTTCATAATCAACAACTAACAATGATGATGTCACGGGGCGGGGACTTGTTTGTGTTTGGTTTTTTGCGATAAGCTGAATAAAACCGATGTTATCTCAGATTTGGTTGTAGGTGCCATGTAATTGATATGCAAATTGTTGTACTCTCTCCTGGTTTGGCTTTATCTCTGAGATCTCTTTACATGCCACGCATAACTTCACCTCTAATTCAATTAAGCATGACCTTTGTTTCACTGGATTTTTTGTTTTTCGTACATCTCACACACTCTTGATTCTCTCTTTCTGCTTCGGTTGGAATTGAATTAAAAGCCACTTAAGCGTTGAGTCTGCCTGGCGCTTTTTATATTGTTGAACTGTTTCATTTATTATGTCCACATGTATATCTGCGTTATGTTTCATATATATGTATATCTCAGGCTTCTATGGGTACTGCATAAATTTTGATTTACCCTTTGGGCATGGTACAGTGGCTTCGACGAAACACTGCCAGCAATAAAGGGAGCCATAAACAGAGCGACGACAGTGGAGTGAAATTCCGACATGGAGGATTGGATCGTTTTGCGTTCATCTAGCACTTTCATAAATGGGTCATTGAACCAGAGACTGTGAGACCAGCAACTTTGGCTTCTTTGCTTTATTATTATGGTATCTCTTTTTTTTGGCAATCTGGGGAAAGAGTTTTCTTTAACGAAAGCTAAAAAGACGTAGAAAATATTGCACGCTTTAACGAGCTTTCAAACTAGAGAGTGTTCTATAGCAATTTCTCTTAGCAGAAACTATAAATTAGCTTTCAGTTGTAAATCTATATCTTGTAAGAACTTTAGCTATGTAATTAGGTAACTATTAAAGGGATTTACTATATCAATATTTATAGATCCAAATCGGTTTTATAAGATCAAGAAGAGTGTTTACTTGGATTTACATTTCTGATTGAAATATCAGAATAATAACATATCAAAATCTGTTCTACAAGATCTTAAATTATGAATTTCTGTTCGAAAAAGTTAACTAGTTAATAATTGTTAATAATTACCATAATCTGATTTAGTCCTGTGGACAAATGTCTTCAACCCTTTAAAAATTCATTTTATAATTGCTAAACAAACCGGAACTTACTGTACATGTACGGCGACGGTGCAATTAAAATCCCATTTAATGCAGGAAAATATATAGTATGTGTTCGTATCAAGATTAAGTTACTGTCGATACGGACACACGACTACATGATTGAGTGTGTGTGTCGATGGGCTTTTCATTGATTATCCGGGAACCTTAAACTAACCGTAAACACGCAGCAGGCTCTGGAGTTTCCAGTCGCGTGTTGGGGTCACCACAGACGGGGTTCAACGACCAACCACATCTGCCACCCTCTCAACCCTCGGGACAAGTGAAATGAGGCACGAATCCTTATAGAAATACCTGTCTCGTGGCACGCCCACCTTTTTATTGGTTTTTTTCTCCTTACTTTCCTTACTATGTTGATTTCGTTTTTATTATTTTGTTGTTTTTTTGTGGCCGGCATTTTCATTACCGTCGTGTTGCTATGCAATTTGGAAAACCTTTGGCGCCACAAAATGACAAAATATCAGAATGGTGGCGCCAACCGTACAGTTTGCCGGCCGGGAAATGCTTCCACGCGATACATACATACATATATTCTGGGAGTGGGTGGGTGCTCCTTGGGGGGGTTTTATACTTGCCTTTCGTTTTGAGTTAATGACAGGAAGTGACGTCATATTATTCCAAGGGGATGAAGTTTTATTTGCTCGATTTTAAGAGAGCTCTGTGCCGGTTGTGGGTTGTGTGGCGGGGGGTGAAAGGTTCCTGGGTGCGACATAGTCCTGGGTGATGTCATACTTTACAAATATGATTATTTCAGCCCCCATTTACGGGTCTCAATTTGAGCAAGAAGAGCGACATAGAAAATAACGAGAATAACTTAATTATGTTGAGTTTTCTTTCAAACAAACGTGAATTTTAAATCAATAAATTGAATTTGTAAATTTAAACAACAGTTGGAGCCTTATTTATATCTTAAATATTAGTAATCTCTTAAATATCGAATGATTTTTTATTAAATTCATATATTCCACCATTCATTGAGTATAATTTATTAATCCACCAATGGACGTCACCCAACCTCAACGACTGTGTGCAGATTTCAAGTTTATTTGGCAATTTTACAAACAAAATTTATGTGAATCAAAAATATAGGAAAATTGGCCAAGCTTTTTGTTTTCTGGCCCTTGGCCAAGTGAGTCAAAGACAACACCGAACGAGAAGCATAGGAATAAAAAATACACTTTGTTGGTTTTACAAGAGGCTTTTGGCTTACATCAAGGGCAGAAAAGCCAGACAAAAAGTCACAAAGAATCTGAAAAGAGTACAAACATATTGTTTGTTGCAAGACGCTCGATTCATTTTCCTTTCGTTGCCCACTTGTTGTCACTTTTCTTCTTTTTTTTCTTTACTAACAGCTAAAAATGTTGTATTTATGCACTTTCCTTAAGTCTTTTTCTGTGAACACACACAATGGGCGTTGGCGCCGCCAACTTTGATGAGATTTATTGTGCGCGAATTTTGTAATTCAAGCCACACGCGACTCACACGCGACTTTTGGTAGCAGACCAGCACTGGGACGGGGTCCAGAAGATAAGTACAATAAAGTGAAGTAAACAGAGGAAGGGAGGGGAGCTGCAGGAGAGAACGAACCAACGAACGAATGAACGGGTTCGAGGCAGACAAGCTGGCAGCTTGTTAGCAAAACAAACAAAATTAGCAAGAGCCAACCAAAGACCAAGGGGCAGAGGCGGATGGAAAAGCCTTACGGCTAGACCCGCTTCTGCTGCTACCACCTTATTAAGAAATTCCACACACGGCGGCTGGCACAGTGTCTGAAAGTGAGAAGAGATAAACGCCAAAGACAAAAATAAAGACATTTCGGTGATGACAGGTCCGGAGATTAAAGATAGGCCAACGCACGACTCAAAGTTCCCCTCTATTATCTTAACTTCTTTTAACTTGCTATAATTGTGGTGTATACATTAAATTTGTATGTGAGTGAAGATTAAATATAAAAAGAAAAACACAAAATAAATGTTGCATAAAGAAAAAAAAATTCAACCTGTTTCCGCCCGGGATCGAACCGGGGGCCTTCTGCGTGTTAGGCAGATGTGATAACCGCTACACCACGGAAACAGCTGGAAGCACGGCAACCAAAAGCTTAGTACTCTTTTCAATCTGTGGAACGAATGGGAAAAAGTGGAACAACAATTTCCTATTTGTCGAAGTATTTTTTCGGCTTTTGCATTTGTTTTATTGAATTAGTAATAGTTGGTAAACTGAATTAATTCAGCACGAAACACAGTAAATATATTTCCGTAATATAAAATTACAGAGTTGTTAAGTTTATACTCCTATTTCTGCTTCTCAACCAAAGGCGCCGATAAATAGCATTATCAAACATACATACATTTCATGTAAAAGAAGACCAAAAAGGTTATTTCAGTAGTTTTACTTCTAAAATTTTATAAAAGTAGCTGTTTAAAATTGTATAAAGTAGTAGAACAAAAAAAAGTTCAACCTGTTTCCGCCCGGGATCGAACCGGGGGCCTTCTGCGTGTTAGGCAGATGTGATAACCGCTACACCACGGAAACAGCTGGAAGCAAGGTAGCCAAATGCCAACTAGTGCGTTTTATAGGAACAAGCTAAGCATATTAAATGAAAAGGAAATATTGAACACCTTACCGAGTCTTTTGATCAACAAACTTGTCGCGAAGACTTCACTTTGAATAGAAAGGGTTTTTTAAAAATAAAAATGAACAATATAAATAATAAAAAAAGTCAACATGTTTCCGCCCGGGATCGAACCGGGGGCCTTCTGCGTGTTAGGCAGATGTGATAACCGCTACACCACGGAAACAGATGAAAATCGCGCAGCCAAACACTGAACAGTTTTTGGTGTTCGAAACTTTTGATTTGTTTATATATAATTTCTATTTTTTTTTTCATAATCTACATTTTATTTGATTTCTTTCCCTATTTATGTGTATTATTCTACATAAATAAACAGCACATTGGGAGGATAATTCGTATTGTATTATATTCCCCCCCCCCATTTAAAGTTTTCAATCACATTTATTTAACGGATCAAATTTTATATTTTATAATTCTAATGGAAAAATAAGACCAGTATCATTTGTTCAAGTAGTAATTCAGCTATTATTTTATTATCAGAATATTAAATCAAATAATAATCTATAAAACAGCAATAAATCATATCTAATAGTACACAAATGTAACTAATTTCATGTGCTGTTTAAATAATCCAATTTTAAAATTCTATTTAAGGACTAAATAAGTAAAAAATAAGTTTTCCCGTAGAAAAAAGTAACAAAAAAGTTATAATCCTCCGCAGCCGGTAGGATTCGAACCTACGCTCCCAGAGGGAATCTGATTTCGAGTCAGACGCCTTAACCACTCGGCCACGACTGCTTGTGAAGCGAGCGCGTCCAAAGTGAAACATAGCAGCTGCCAGTCGAAGCAGCTCGGCGGTCCTCTCACTCGTTCCCAGTGCTTTGGTCGAAATATTCAGGGGATGGTCTTTCGATGTGAAACGTTATTATTGCGAGGCTAGCAAACGCCTACTTTGCCAGTACTCTCTGACCACGTTTCGCAGATGAAAACCTGTATATATTTTCACGGTGTGCCATTCTTCTTAGTGATGCACAACGTCAATTTATACAAACAGTATTTAGTCTAAAAATTAAGCTAGTTTTTCAACAAACTTTTAAGTGAATGAGTTAAGACCGCCGCCCATATTTCCATTTATCATTTTCCTTTCAAAGTCTGTGACAGCTAAAAATTATTATGATTTACACTTGGCGTTGGTTTATTGCACTTGTTTTTTTTTTGTTACCGACTCTGTGCTTTTATTATTCTCGCTGCCATATGGGATGGATGTTTTCTTATTTCCGTTTTTGTTGTTGAAAGATCATCATCTCCCTCATCGAATCTGGGCTTGTGCCCCATTGACTGACTTACTGACTGACTGAATGACTGACTGACTGACTGACTGACTGAACTGAGCGTGTGAGTGACTTGTTGCATTATTAAAACTGAATGAGCGACCTTATTGCCTGCACACTTTGGGGGGCAATGAATGGGACAGCTGCCCGGGTTATGCTCGATGGAGTGGAAGATTGCGTAAGATCTCTTCCGTTGCGCGATAATTGAATACTTGAGAAATTTAATTAACGCCAGTATTCATATGTGTGAAAAAAACTCATATAGAGAGGGTGTTCGGTTTGGTTCTCTGGGTCAATTGGTTGAGCTGCTAATTGGAGTACGGAATATATTTGTGTGATTTAAGAATTTTGAACCAAAAACAGTAGAAGTTTAGCCTTACATCATTTAGGATTTAAACTTTTAATCATTTAACGTATTTGTTGTTTATTAAGATATCATTATATTGATTTTTGTAACAGTTATCTTGTTTAGACCTTGCGAAATTATCAAGATAATGTTGTGTTGGTTGCCTGTTAAGGCCTCTTTTATCGGCCTTGCCTTTGCAACATTCTATAGAATACATACAGATATGCACATACATATATTTTGTTGTCTGCCAGTTTTGGAGCCGGCACACTTTAACCATTGAAAGACATGGGTGTGTCCCGCGCCAAACAAGTGTGATGTAATTGCATAATGTCAACAACAACAACATTTGTCTGAAGCTGACGCGACGGTGGCTGGCGATTGCGGCGTCTCAGTGTCGTTAGCTGCTCCTAAATTTAATTGTTGTCTTCCGCACAAAAAGGTCACAGAGAGAAAGAGCCAAAACAGAAAGTGGACTAGAGAAGCTGTGCTGCCAAAGCTTCCAATAATGCAAAAATGTGTGACTAAACGGGGTTTAATCTATTGACATTGTTATACTTATTTGGTTAGTTCGATTCAAGTTTGTTTTTTTGGGTATTTGATTCAAATATCGTGCCACTTAAACTTTAAAACTAAACAGATTGCAGTCTACTTGAAATATTTAACAGAAAGAGCTTCCAATGCGTGAGAAACCAAAAGGCTTGTTCTGTCTATCAAGAAATCCTCTTATTTTCTTTATTTCTGCCACCTACACAAAACTCCCAGCTAGCTCCATTTTGGAGGAGTCTGGAATCGACCCACGTTGGAAAAACTGTTTGGCTCGTTAAGTTTATTCAACGCCCACGCATTCAACACAACAACTCCCTAGCTCGTCTGCATCTCTCTTTTTTTTTGTTGTTGTTGTAGTCACTTAAAAAGCGTTTATTCAGCATTATTCTGTTTGATTTCAACCTAAAACTGAACATTTTACGCCGCCCACGCACACCGAACAAGTTGTGCAAGGTGAGATGAGGTGCGGTATGGTGGTGTTGGCAGCAAAGTTCAATTACCTGCACAACACGATAGTGTTGTTAAAAGAAAGCTCAAATATGCGGCACGCGTCGCCAATACGTCATAATTAGCAAACGGCAAAGTCAGCAGCACACAATACGCCTCTGGGTAATGCACAGAAAATAAATTTTTAGACAATTTAATAATTAATTTCAGAGGTGGTTGTATACGTTTGTAAAAATATATGCTAATACTTTGTACTTGAACAAGATCTTTGTGTCTTTGCTTATAGATTAGCTGCACTTTATTTTAAAATATAAATTCGTTTTTTGCCTGTGTAGCCTTGTATTGTATTGTTTCTTGTTCTTTTTGTTTCCCTGAGCATATATGCATATAAGCCGACTACAAAAGTCGCCGCCCACGAAAGGGGTTATATGCTCACTCCCCACTTTGTTTTCCCTTTCCTCCTTCCTTTTCCCATTGCAATTTCCTCTCTAAATTGGCATATTTATGTAGAAATTGGTGCTTTTAATTGAGGGGGGGAAAAAAGAGAGAGAGAGAGAGAGAGAGAGAACTAAAGAAATGCTGGTGGGTGTAGTGGCAGAAATCGGGTCAGCATAATGCACCTTAATTATGACTTATTGTTGCTTCTCAATCTCAAGTTTGTCGTTTGGAAATTGAGCTCTGTTTCGGGTTACGAATTTAGCTGAGCTTGGCTCATTGCATTTCAATTTGTTGTCTCAGTTGACAATAATTTCTATGTTTTTTCGCCTGCAAAATTGTTTACGATATTCTGAAGGTTAATAATATTATTCGTGGTATTCGAAGGAAAAAAACGCACCACGCCTAAGATTTAAAGAGCAGCAGCAGAAACACATTCACACATTTTTTTGTTTATTTATTTTTGTTGCTGCTCCCTTCTCTCCCTCCTTGGTTTTGTTTCGGGATCGAGACAGCTCAGCAGAGGAGGAGCTCTCCTTCGTTTCGTTTTGATTTTCGAGGCATAATGAATTTTTGGGGGTTTCGTAAAAAGCCGAATGGATCTTAAAATAGTTTTCAACGATTCTTCCGTTTATATTGCTTTCTCTGTGGCTGCCGCCTTAGCACGTGGATACGGGAAAATGTGGAGAGAAGTGTACTTATGCATTTTCCCCCTGGGTCCTCTCACTCTTTGCTCCCCTCGATTTTAGAATTTATTTTAGCCAAAATTAGAAATTAACTAAAGTGGAAATATGCGGCAGTCCATTTGTTTAGTGTGTGTGTGTGAGTGTGTCACCTCTCACCACCCCACGGCAGTTTCTCTCTGGCTTTCCACCGAGCAACGCCATTTGACATTCTCTGGGAAATCCGACGACTGTCTCTGACGGAGAGAGTACTCTCTTCCATTTGGGTGGTTGCACTTTACTCGCTCTCTTTCTCTGTCAGCCGCTCTCAATGTTTTGCCACCCCCTTTTTCGTTTGCTCGACTGCCTTGCAGTTTTTTAAGGTCAGTCGAAAATTTTCCAGCTGAGCGTTAAGTTCAGGAAAGAAACATAATCTAACGCTCGTCCGTTTTTAATTGCAGCATTTTAACTGAAATACAAAAGAAATAAATCATGACTGAAGTCGAGCAACCGCCACAGAACGGCATAGATCCCACTGCCGGCGAGGAGGATGATAGCAACAAAGCGCGTCCTGCGGATATTGAACAGGTACGTTGTGCACTGCACCCAGGGAAGCCTCAACCGAGGCAATAACCACCCCTCTTACTCACAACACCCTTTTTTTTTTTGTACAGGATATGCGCGAAATGGAGCGTCGCAAGCGAGTGGAGGCCATCATGGGCTCGAAACTCTTCCGCGAGGAGCTGGAGCGGATCGTGGACTCGGCCCGTGAGGGTGGTGCCGGCGCCAGCGGTATTCTGCAGCAGCTTTCGGACATTGTGGGTGTGCCAGTGACGCGGGTGGGCAATGTGTTCAAGAGCAACAACTGCATGGTGCCCATCAATGACATACGCGGTGTTGAGTCCATGGGCTATGCCAAGGGCGAGAAGATACTCCGGTGCAAGCTGGCCGCCACATTCCGTCTGCTCGATCTGAATGGCTGGACCCAGGGTCTGGGCGCACAGATCACTGCACGTCTCAAGGTCGATCAAGAGTACTTCCTGGTCAATCCATACGGACTCCTTTACCACGAGATCACTGCCTCAGCGCTAAACAAGGTGGATATGCAGGGCCAGATTGTGGAGCAGGGCACCACCAACTTTGGCGTGAACAAGAGTCGTAAGTTGAACTTGGAAATCAATCGAAATCAATATTCAATCAATTAACTTTCTCTCTTCATTCAAGACTTTGTCCTCCATTCGGTGATTCATGCTGCTCGACCCGATATCCGATGCGCCATCTACATTGGCTGCAGTCCGGTGGTGGCTATTTCCTCCTTGAAGGCCGGTCTGCTGCCGCTGACCAAGGATGCCTGCGTGCTCGGCGAGATCACCACACACGCGTACACTGGCTTGTTTGATGAGGAAGAGCGCAACCGGCTTGTTCGCAACCTCGGTCCTAACTCTAAGGTGATGTTGCTAGCCAACCACGGTGCCCTGTGCTGTGGCGAGACCATTGAGGAGGCCTACTTTGCCGCCTGCCACATTGTTCAGGCGTGCGAGACCCAACTGAAACTGTTGCCCGTCGGTGTGGATAACTTGGTGCTGATTCCAGAGGAATCGCGCAAGGCCATCTATGAGCAGTCGCGCCGCCCTCCAGAGGATCTGGAGAAGAAGTTTGCCGCTGTTACGGCCGGCGATGATGGTGCTGCTGCTGAGAAGGATGAAGCCGCTGCCACGCCCAAGATTGGAAGTCCGCCCAAATGGCGAGTGGGCGGTGCTGAGTTCGAGGCTTTGATGCGTACACTGGATAATGCTGGCTACCGCACTGGTTACATCTACCGCCATCCTCTGATCAAATCGGATCCCCCCAAGCCCAAGAACGATGTGGAATTACCGCCAGCTGTTTCATCTCTGGGCTATCTGCTCGAGGAGGAGGAGCTCTTCCGTCAGGGGTAGGAAAAACATTATTCTACAATAGGAATGCTAGAAAATATCAATATATCGGCGCTTTATCGATTTTAACGCGATAAATCGATATTTTGCTTGCCCAATTTTTTTTTCGATATATAATCTCGGATTTCTCTACATTCATCTCTAATTAAATATTTTTCCATTATTTAGAATCTGGAAGAAGGGTGATTTACGCAAGGGAGGCGATCGCAGCAGGTGGCTCAACTCGCCCAACGTGTACCAAAAGGTCGAGGTCCTGGAAACCGGCACTCCCGATCCCAAGAAGATAACTAAGGTAGAGATTATTACTTTCGAAGATATGAAGCAGCAAACCACAACCACTACCACCAGCCTTAAGGAGATTGAAGGGAAATAGTTGAATCAAAGTTGAAACAGCACTCCTATATATTTAAACATTCCATCTATGATTTTTAATTAGTTAGCGCCAAGTTTTAGTTCCCAACTCTGCTACTAAACTGCAACTCTTACGCATCAAAGTTTCTTCTTAGCGTTTATTAAGCCAATTCAAATAATCGATACACAAAAACTATATATTTATATACCTTGAAAATAGAATTTAACTCATGCTAAAACCAAAATACTTTGACCTGCTTTGCGAGCAAGAAACCAAATACTTGTAACATGTGCATTAATCAAATAAATATTTAAATGTATTCAAAAAACAAACAACAAAATGAAACTTTGCATAGATGATTTTGTGCCGCCTTTACCATATTTTGCTGCCTCAATACGAAGGTGAAAAATACAAAACAAAACAATGCAAAGAAAGAGAAAGAAATTTGATATTAATATTAATCAAATTACACTAAAAATCAACCAGCATTTTGTATAATTTTAAACTCGATTTCATTGATTTCATTTAGATTACTCTTTTATTATTTTCATTCATCCATCAACTTTTTCCTTTGCATGTTTTGGATATTCTTTTCTCTTTGTGATTGTTTTGCATTGTTTCTTTATTTTTCAAGGCACAAAGTCATTTATGCTTGTTATTTAAGTTCAGTTTTGTGTTTGTTTATTTGATCATTGCAAGATATAAGTATGAAAATGGGTCAAACACTAACGAATAATTAAGAACTTAATCCTAAATATAAGATCTAAACCAATTGTAACAAAAGATATATATTTTAAAAGAACATTTTCACCTCTTAATAAGAACCTTGATTGTTGTTCATCATCCCACATTTAAAACGAATTTCTTTCTCTTTCTTTTTCCAATTGCATTGCTTTCTCCCAACCCACATCTCCCACAAAAATCCACAAAATTGTCAAAAAATGTACGATTTACGAAACCGAAAACGAAAAATCACAGTGGGTGGCTGAGGGTTCTCCTACCCACTCAACGCCAGTGAGGATAGAAGATCCACTTCAGTTTGTGCCTGCCGGAACAAATCCCAGAGAGTTTAAGCGGGTCCAGCAACAAGTCAGTATTCTATGCGTTTGTGTTTATTTGTTTTACAAACTTAACTAGCTTTAATAATGTCACACAACAGATCAAGGACAATCGACGTGCTGATAAGATTTCCGCCGGACCACAGTCCCATATTCTGGAGGGCGTCACATGGGATGAGGCTAGCCGACTCAAGGATGCCACTGTCTCGCAGACCGGCGACCATGTTGTGATGATGGGTGCCGCATCCAAGGGAATTATCCAGCGTGGATTCCAGCACAATGCCACGGTGTACAAGGCTCCCTATGCCAAGAATCCATTCGATAATGTCACGGATGATGAACTTAATGAATACAAACGCACGGTGGAGCGGAAAAAGAAGTCCGTGCATGGCGAATGTAAGTTGAAATAAATTCCTATTAGTTTTTAGCTACTAATTTGCTCTTAATTGCAGACACTGACACAGATTTCTCTGAATCGGAGGCTGTCCTGCAGGCGGGGACAAAGAAATACCCTCAGAGCGAGCCAGAGACCGGTATGTTTGAAGTTTTAAATGCATTCCTCATTAACAGAAACTAATTTGATTTATTTATTAATTTATTTAGAGCACCAAGTCATTGAGATTCAAACACAGCAGGCGCCGGTGCCACGACAGGCGGAAGTTGTGCTCAGCGATGGTAAGTCCCTTAATGTTTTGTGTCCTGTCACACTTGATTTTTGTTTAAAGTTCATTGATATAATTTAATCACGCACACACAAAAGGACATTCAAAAAACACGTCCCAGAGTTATGTTATGTTATGTCTTTTTTCCCAACCATCATATAATCGAAATTTAAATCTTTAAAACATGTTGTTTGTTAAGTCTTATTGTTATTCCTCGTTTTTATCCCTTTTAATGCATTTTTACGTTTTACTTTCCTTAGATCCCTACTTGTTAATATTTGTATTTATAAGTTTATAGCTATCGAGGAAGCGGCTACTATATGTTTATTTTTACGTATTTTGATTAGCTTTTAAGAGTTAATTTCACTTCCAAGTAGTGAATTATTAATATTTTTAGATGATTATTTGGCATAGTTATTATATATTGGATCCCTAACATTTTTCTAACACTTTTCTTATGACATTTCCCTCTTTTCGTTTACCGTTTTTTTTTTTTTTTTTTTTTTTGCTGAACTTGCGCCTATTTTAATTATCAACCAACAACACACTCGACCTAAAACTAAACACACACTTCAATTACATAATGTAGTCAACAAAAAATTACTTGTAGCAATTGATACCGTCACAACTTCCTTTCTATAAATCTTTTCAAAATGTTTTAAAACTGTGACAGTACATGTTCGAGAGTTAAACATAGACCACAAATTCATTTTTCCTTTGTTAGTTTTCTTTCAATTTTATTTGTGTTATATTTAATTATTTTGGACAAAACTTTATTTAACCCCTACAACCAATACTTCCAAGGAACCAACTGTTGTACGGCGTGTATAAAATAATTTTTTAGTTTCAACAATAATCAACAACCAAACAGCACAACAACAATAACACAACTTCAACAACAGCAATTAATTCAACAACGAATCATTTATTGTAGTAAAAAAAGCTGCAGCTTAAGTAGTTACTCCTTTTTGCTAAATTATTGTTTATTTTCCTCTAATTCGGCAATTGTAAAACGAAAATTGTTAACCTTTTATTATTTTACATAGGAAGAAAACCCAAAACCAAATAAATTGGCAATTCCCTAAGAGTCGTAATCAAAATGTAGCATTTAGAGTACTCGGTTCTAAAGCGAAGTGTGTGTGTAGGTTGTCAAATAAAAACTTTAAAACCTTCAACTTAAAACAAATAAAACGAAACGAAAAAGACAAATAGCAACCAAAAACAGGAAGCAACCACCGAAGCTCTGAACAGAAACCAAAATTCTACTACTACCACTACTACATACTCCCTTTTCTACTACTACTACTACTACTACCACTGCTACTGCGGCTGCTGCGCTCCCAAAAACACAAACAAAACAAAATAAAAATAAACATACAAATTAAAAAGCAGTTTAAAAAAAGAAAATCCCCTTCTGAGTTGGAGGTGAGTGCAGCCTCAAGAGGTTTAGTGTGTAGAACAAGAAATCAAACAATCAAGTCAATAGTTTATAGATAACAGTTTAGCATAAAGCATACAGCATAAAACAAACATATAACATTTGCACACTAAACCCCATTCAACATTTCATGTTAATCTCTGCCGAATGCTCTTAAATATATATATATATAGCCGATCGCTGTTAGCTGAATCACATTATCCGCCAAAAGCCGAGCAGTTGAATTTCAGTTTTGCTGTTTCTATATTATTTCCATTGGAATTTTCTGTGCTGACCAGTGTGTTTCCCTTTTTAATTTTAACTGCAGCTGTTTTTTTTTTTGCTGGTTGCTTCCGCAGTTGTTGCCAAAAACTAATCCAAGCTATATTCCTTTCAAGATGCATGCTTTTCTCACTCACTCTCTAGACACTACGTCTGTATGTATGTATTCCTAGCTTAAGGCACACAAATTACGTCTGTTTCGCACTTCTACTTGCTGAATTTGATTTTATAATTTAAATTTCTCAATACTATATTTTAGCCACTCTTAGTTTTATAAACGGCGAACGCTCTCACACAGCCACAAATCGCAAGCCGCCATCTGGCCGAGGTAACGAACAATCCGAACCCCCGATCAAAAGATCTATATATACGAACCTTCAATGTACTCAGGCTAAACGCCCGCTGTTGTATATAAAAATCCATATAATCTCTGAAAAAATAATCGCTACTTGGTGTATATATTTATGATATAACCCCATATATAATCCATGTTGTTACGGGTTGTCTATAGTCCATATATAACTCCCCATATAATCCACAAAGCATATATGGTAAATCGTTGTTGCACCAAAAGATAACTAAAACAGAGTCGATATAATGTATAAGAATCGGAAAGTCATATGAATTTGTACGTGCTGCGTTCCGCATCTTATTTATTATATGGCCTCTGACTAAACCCTATTCTATAGTTTGTGGTTAAGTTACATTCGTTTGAATACCATAGTTCATTACCTTTTATTTTGGGCTTGGCTAGGTTATAGCATCGAATGCGTCATATTATCCTATGCATCTTTATTATCTTCGAATCGAATCTAGGTATGTGGGTGGATCCCTAGTGTTCTCCTTTTAGGTATAATCTTGTTAATAGGTATTGTCAACTTGGATTGAAATGGTTAAACCAAGCTAATTTCAGTTCAGGAACATCAGAGGTTTGCATATTGCTTTCCAGTACGTATTAGTACGTCTTCTATTTATGTATGTATTTCGAGAGTCTCATTATCCTAGATTGTGACAAATTGTAACTAACTGACCTTATTTCCAACTCTTCATCTCTCCCATATTGATTTGGCTTGGGCCCCCATATATATAGGAAATAATAAGAATAACGATTCTCAGATAAAAGAAGAAGAAGAAGATGATAAGGAAAATCAGCAGGAGCAGCGTGGGCGGGACAGGAATTTGTCCGTGAACAGTAGATGCCGCAGGGGCCTTTTCCCATCCCTGGGCGAGGCCACAAATTTGGTAGAACATCCGCAAGTGGAGCAACAGCAACTATACTCCTATGTCTATGCCACCACAGCTTGCACCTTGGGTGGCACCTGCCTGCAGCCACAAGTGTGTTCTGCTTTGCTCCGTTCACTCCATAGCGAGCAGTTGGGATATTTGGCCAGTTGTTATCGGGGCGGAGGATCAGGGGCTTCGAATGGTTCAGCTTCTAGTACGGGTACTATAACAACTGCTGCGGGTGGTTCTTCTGTCACCTCTCGGCGTCCGTTGCAGCAGCTAAATTCACCGCATCCGGCACCGTATCGTACGGGTTCCCATTTCGGATTCAATTCACCGCGTCAACCGATACGCCTGGATCACAAACATCTGCCGGGGGATCGAGACAAATCGGGATATCGGGCCATGCAGCGTGTAATTAGCTACGAGGAGATCTTTTCCACACCGCGATATGAGCAGTTGTGTCAGACTTGCTTCGATAAGCTACTACGTCTCAAGCCGGAACTGCAAAAAATTGGAACTGGCACAGGCGCTAGCAGTTGCGACGATGAAGCGGCCAGCAGTGCCGGAAGCAGTGGTATAAACACGCCCCATCGGCGTAACCAGTTGCTGCCCACTCTGACTGAGCTGAACGACGACGATCATGGTGAGATGTTGATGCTGCCAGAGGGTCCAAGGATGCAACGCAATGCCTGTACTCAGACGCCGGGATGCCCCGCTTCATCCTCTTCCACCACAAACTTTCTCAATCAAATCGAGAGATTTAATTTCTCGGAAGAGTCTGCGAATGTTAATTATACCCCAAGTGGTCCTATCAGCAACGAAAGCCTGGCATTGGGATTAGGATTGGAGGTTGAACCGAAGGTTTCCAGTGGAGCGAGCGCGACCAGTGCTGCTCCCCCAAGGATATATCGTTCAGATGAAATGGCAGATGTCACTGAAGTATGGAGTTTCGGTCGTTGGCTGCAACCGCAGGAACAGAGCCTCGCTGCAGATGGGTTTGGAGAGCAGCAAACGTTGACGGAGACTCGGGTTGTGTTGGAGGTAACGCAGCATTTTGCCATCGATGACCAAGAATATGGATCAACAGCGTCTGTAGAACGCCAGTTGATGTCGCGCGAAGAGCGACAGCGTCGAAAGTCTGAATTTCAGGAACTTTGGCAAGACCATGTCGAATATTTTGGGGCCAAGGAGCAGCTGCAGCTAGAGGAGCTGCCAATGTCTACAGAACAGGACGAACCTGAGGCTAGTTCCCTTCCGACTCAAGATCAAGAAGCGGTGCCTGAGCCAGAAGTTGAGGAACAACAGATAAGTGAGCCTCTTGACCATACATGTTATATGGCACCACTTGCTACTCCCGAATTAGATGACACTCTGACTGAGGCCACTGATGAGCTGCCCAAAATCCTTCAGCAGTTCGAGGAGAATCTTACTTTAGCCGGCGAGAATCTGGAGAAGCTGGTGGCCACCACTAAGAGACTGCAGGCAAACGATACAACTGGATCATCGGTTGTGACCTCGAGCAGCTCTCTTGTGGAGAGTGGCCCTCTATTTCGATCGATCAGTTTGGAAAACATACCCAATGCTGACGAAAATGTGTCCGTCGTGGAACCGGACTCTGTTAGCAGCAGTGGAAACAGCGAAGAGGAAGAGGTCAATATAGCTCAAGACAACTTGGAGCAGGAGGAGAAACGTGATGACGAGAAACCTGTGAGTCCCGTTTTGCCAGAGCCAGAAGAGCCGTCCGAAAAGGAGATGGAAGTCGACGACGAGAAGGACGTGGATGAAATTGAAAACCAGGAAGAGGCAGAGCTCCTGGCCATAGCTGGTGGCTTGCCAGAAAGCCCAATTACCTTGGACACTGAAAATACTTTTTTCACTCCTCTGGAACGTGAAATACTTGAACGCATCGAGGCTGACAAACTAGACCAGAGCGAGGAGATCTTCGGAAAGATTGATCACTCCATCCGCAACAAGATGACGCCAAAGAAGTTGCAAGATCTGGTCACCGAGGAAATCTTTCGCACTCGTACTTATATTTACTCCAGTCCGGCCACTCCGGTGCCAGGACTCTCGCCCACTGATCTCACCTCCACACCAAGTGGCTCTTCCTTGTCGGCTCATAATATCAGTGCTCCGTGCAGTTCGATGGCTCATGTGCATCTGACAACACGCTCCACATCTCGAATGTCGCAGTCGTGGTCGGAGGAGCGAGAAAAGGGCGATGATCAGGAGGAGGATGATAAGAAGAGGGAACCCCTTGAGCGTATCATCTCCTCCACGACCTTCATTTGCCGGCCAAACTCTCGTCGTAAACGCAACTTTATTGAGGAGAACATACGCAATGCCAGCAGACCGCGTCCCGCGGCCGGTTCAATTAGGAAGCCAAAGAGCAATGTAACCACCACCTCCAGGACCATTTCAAGTGGCTCGTCTTCGGTGTGCGCCTTTCAGTGCGGCCAGCGTGATAGTGGCGCCCGTCTCTGGGTTTCGTTGCCAACGCCACCGAAGGCGGCAACAGGACATAGGCGTGGCAACACGGCAACCACAGCTTTGTACACTTTCCGTGGTAGTCCCTCCTCTCCGTTTGCCAAGCGTCGAAAGACACCAGCAGTCCTTACTCCCATGCGCCAACCAATCTTCGCAAAGGAGGAGAGCAGCGATCTTGCGACTTCTTCAACCTCTCTGCAGCAAACACTTTCCAGCGGCACATTCTTTGTGCGCCGTGAAGAACCAGAGGGAGATTTTGATAACGACTCAGCTAGCCCGGTCCAGATGGAGGCCAGCCTAGAGGAAGTCGAGGAACAGGAGGCCGTGGACGAATCCCGGGCAGCTCCCGACAAATCGAATGCCACCAACAGTACCATGTATTACAGTGCCAACGACAACACGGGCGATGAGGGTGAAACTTTACAGACGAGCGGTGAGGAGCCAACAGGAGATGAAATGCCACTGCTACCCACTACCAGTCAGGAGTTCACTGAAGAATCTAACATAGAGACGAGCTCGGAGAATTATATGGGGAAACCACTAACAATGGCCCGGAAAATTGAAGAATCAAGCTCACAGGAAAACGATATGGATCCATCAATATCCGAAAATCAGCAGATTAGCAGCGTATCTCAGTTGTCGATGGATACAAGCGAACCGGAAGCATATGAATTCGAATCCAACACAGGGAAAGAGAACAGCTCTGGCCAACTCGAAGAGGAGTCGTCTTGGGAGGGGCGCCTAGAAGCTGGTTCAGACCGCCAGCCAAAACCTGAGACTAAAAAAAGCGAGATTGAACTTCCGAAAAGCGAAAGTATCGAAGAGTCATCTGGCTTTGAATTGGTGGCAACGCGAGAACTTAATACAATGTTAAAGCCAGTACACGAAAATGAAAGTAACAGTGATTTCGAAGACGAGCAAGTTGTTGAAGTGGTCAAGACATTGTCGGAGGAGGATGATAACAAGCCCAGCACCTCGAAGGCGGCAGCGGAGAAGAAACGCAAATAGGCGGAGATCAGAATTATTTGAGGTCAAGAGATGATGACGATGTGGCAAAGTCGATTAAACAGGAGAATTTGATGGGACCAGAAGATGACGGGGGAGGAACTTCACGTAGGAGGAGTTCCAGGATAAAGCTAGGGGAGATACTCGATTGTGGGATGAATCAGAAAATGAAGAAAACCTAGATAATTTGCAAGGGATTGTTGTGAATAGTTATTGTTTCCTTTTTTTTTTTGCATTTTATTTATATATTTTAATAGCACTTCATATAATATTTGGCATGAATTAAAAGTTATAATTTAATGTAATTAATATTATTCACACAATATAAATATTCACTAAAGTAACAAACTGAATTCAAAATGAAACACGGGAAAAACAGTTTATATTTTAATATTGTCTTTACTACACTCGCTCTACATTCCCTTATGTATCCAATACTCTTTGTAAATCCATTTCACTAACCGAAAATTGTATGGTCAAGGTGTGTTTTTAATTTGAAAGTTTTTGTAAAAGTTTAAACGGAAATAAAGTTTTGGTATTTTGAGTTCCTATATCATCGTAAATTATTATTAAATAATAATAGTTTGAAAGTAAGTCTTTTCTTGTGATAAAAAGATCTTCTTGAATATGAAGACTAGGTAAACAGTTAGCCTGAAGTATTATATAGAAGTAGAATTACATATAGTTTATTAAATATAAGTGAATATATATGTATATCCTTTATAACCCTGGAACCCATATTTATCCCTCAAATGTTAAGTGTTAATTGTACTCTTATGTCAAGTGTTTACTTTAAGTATTGGTGATGTTATGTGAGCTCGTTATCCCTGTCTAATTGTGATCTATACGCGCAATCATTATACATACTCACCATCTACCAAACATGTACTTGCCCCGCCCCTCCCCCTTTTTTGTTACCTCCTCTCATTTACAGCACTTTTGTTACATCTCGCTTCCAAGTACGAGTTCCTATATTCACCTAATCGTTTCTTGACCGACGGCCTGGAAATGGGAGCACTGGAACAGCAGGTGTACGTCATTCACAAGGTGGAAGCTATGAGCAAGCACAGCTATCCGGCAGTTAACATGATCGATCCGTCCAATGTCCAGAATGAAAGTGGATTCAGTCGCAATGAGATGAGCTTGATCAGTAGCACTCCCGTAAATCGAACGGCGGCTGGTCGGGCAAATTCCTCACTCACTGGAAATCAGACTTTGGATTCTTCATCCGCCCAAGTTCCCTATCGGACCATCTCCCATTTCGGCTTCAATTCACCTCTGAAGAATGCTCCTAGCATTCCCTTGCATCCCGAACACCAATCGATTTGGCAGGCGGTGGCCGAGCAGCGCGAAAGGGTGGTCTCCTTCATCGATCTGACCACACTGAGCCTGGATAATCGAAGGCTGCTTAATGTGGTGACTAACCAGACGCAATCCCAAACCAAGTCGCAGTCCTTTGTGTCCGAGAAGCACATCCAGCTGGAGGTGTCACCTTTGAAGCGAAAGCAGCGTGTCTATAGCGTCACGACCACCAGCAGTGGACACAGTGCAGATGACAGTCTGGAAGAACTGGAGAGTATGATGAGTGGCCTGGCGGTAAGCTCCCCTCGCAGACCAGAGCAGCAAGACTCTGGCCTATACCGCAGCTACACATTTTTGCCCAGCAATCATGTCCTGCCAGGAGGCAGCACGGAAACCAACGCTCGAGAGCAACCCGAGGCCGATCAGCAGCGGGAAATGTTTCTAGGTGGCGGCACCGATGACAGTGGCTTGGGCAATTCGTCGGGCAGGCGCCAACGGCTGGTCACCACCAGCAATGATTCGTCCACCCAGGAGGCAGAGGCCTACACCCAGGGAAAGCATGTTAGGCTAACACTTAGCAGTTCGCCTTCAACCGCAACAGCTGCCGGAGGAGCAGGACAACTACCCACAACCATCGAGATCCTGATCAATGTGTCGCTACGCAATGCCGAATGCATCGAGACGGTGCAAACACACGAACAGGAATTCCGGGCCAAGCTGGAGAAGGTTATCGACGAGGAGATCCACTATATATCCCAACAGCTGGCATATCAGCAGCGCCAAAAGGAGCTGCACCAACAAGTGCAGCAGGCTAATAATCGTGCTCCTCTTGCATCGCCAACTTCCTCGCCGCCATCTTCCTTGCTCCAGCGCTGCAACTCGGCGCCAGCGCTGTGCCACACCTATAGCTACGTGGAAGTGGCCATGGCTGGATCGGATATGCCGCCTCCACCCCCACCCAAACCAGTTGAGGAGTCATTGCCATCATTGCCCATGGACACGGAGAACTCGGAGGGGCTACTCATTAGCTTGGAGAAGGAACTGGAGCGCCTGCTCAACAGTGTGGTGAAGGCGCACATGATGCACAACAAGGCGATAATACACGACTGTCGAACTCGCATTTCCCAGATGCATAAATCCTAAACCTAGTTGTAGTCAAGCCTTTTATAATGATTTTGCGTATTTTTTGTTGAATCTTCACTCTTGTTGAATCTCTCTTTTATAAATCAACAACAGGGAAAGGATTCTATACTGTAGTATATAGCGTAACTTTAAGTATTAATGACTGTAATTTATCCCATAGTTTGTTCCATTAAATTCCATGTTCGGAGCATTCAAAATGGCAATCTGCAGAGTTAAAGGATTAGAGTTAATATAATCCAGAAATCTTTTGTGAATTTTTGTTAAGTTTCATTTTGTCCAATTTAATTTCCATTTTTGTTAAATAATTTTTTTATACTTTAAATGTACATAAATAAAGATAAGAAGAGTTCATTGCACAATTCGATGGCTAACATTTAGATAAGAATACTCCATAACATCATAAAATCATTGTACCGAGGTAACCATTTTTTATTTAACTAAATTTATGTTTTGTGCATGTGTTTTTGCTTGCTTTATGTGTATATTTATTGCATGTTTTCCACGTATTTAGTTATTCCAACCCAAAAGCCATTTGTATACTAATACACTACCCAAAAAACAAAGAAACCAATCATTAAATACATTTACACTTGCCTTAGTTTGTGCGCGTCTCTGTAAAGGTGAAAGTAACTCTAAACCATTAATATTGAACATTTTGTGTGCGTCCACTGAGTTACATTTGTAGGAACTAAATCATTTATAATAAATTAAATTAACTAAATACAATCTATTTCTCATCAGGTGAAAACGTACAAAACGGCGACCACTCGGAGGCACACTTGAGCACCTTCTCCCAGAGCAGTAAAGAGGTAACTAAATCCAAACAGATTGCCGATCATCTTCGCCATGGAACATCATGCATAAACGCGTAAAGCAGAGCTTGTGAATAATAGTTGAATACATGAAGATAATCATTTGCAATCTTCAACTATAATTCGCGATCTCTGATACCAAGCTAACCCTCATCTGATTTATTTACTAACCCCAAGTGCAAACGATATTCTCACTGCAAATTTCTATTACGGTTCCAGGATGTCTCCACGGACGGATCACCCAAGAAAGACAAGAAGAAGAAGAAGGGCCTGCGCACACCATCGTTTTTGAAGAAGAAGAAGGAGAAGAAGAAGGCCGAGGCCTAAGCAGGAATGGATCAGTAGTAGGAGTAGCAATCTTGACACACAGACTCCCACCACCAGCGGGGAACGGGAACCGAGCGGACCGAGAGAACCGAGAACCGAGGAGGAGATTAAACGACAATGAAAACCACGAAAGAAGAGAAAACGGTAGCCAGAAATCAGCAAAAGAAGCATTATATAATACAGAGAAAGAAAGAGTGGAGAGGCATATAAACAAACCAGCAACCGATGAGCAGCTAAAATCATTAATGATAACCCGGAACGAAGGCAGCTCTTCGCCCCCAATTCGCATTCGCAGCTTATTATATCTATTATAATATAATTCTAATTTTTAATTCATACGATGGCCACACAGCAGCACCCACAATTTGTATGATAACGAGAGGCAGTGCTCTCAGATTCAGATTCAGATTCACATGCAATATATACGACATGGCGCCGCTCTGTTCAATGCAAAAATCTTCTTCTAGATGTATTAGCTTTTAAAATAAACTACGTAAGCACACATTACATAGTTGAAACAACAAAAAAAAATTATAACAAGAGGAGCAAAATATATTGCTACTATGTATGATGTGCTGCTGCCCTGAAACAAGCTAAGATTTGTTTTAAACAAAAGCAAACTTTTGTCTTCAGACACATACATACATAATACATACATAATACTTAAATGCAATATTTTTTTATATACATAAATGCAATAAAATCGATGACAAGAACAACAATATATGATATTTTTTGCATGTGTGTGTGTTTGTCAAATTGTGCTTTTTATGTTTTGAATTCTTTGTTTTGTTTTTCTCGATTCCGAGCAGCAGCAGCAGCCACACTTTGCACACAAAAACGAATGATGAATAACTATATGTATACATGCAGCAATTGTATTAGTTTTTTTATATATATAAATAATTGCATATATATTTTTATGTACGTAAAACTGTTTATACATACATATACATATATATATTTATAAAACGATCAATAAATTATGAAGAAATACAAACAAAAATTGAAAATTGAACAGAGAAAAGCAGAAACACAATCACAGGGAACAAAGAGATTCCATTAAAAGTCGCCGAGTTTCAAATTTCCAGCATTTCTTTTGTAAGTAGATGTGCTTGTTTTGAAATCGCTATCCAACTTGATATTTGTATTCGAATGATATAGAGAACTGCAACAAACTTATACATATATACGACTGCCATAGCATGTAAAACTTTTAAGGCACAACTTAATCGCATTTAAATTTCAAATTAACTGCATTAAACTTGAAACTTAAACCCTATGATCATTAAATAAAATGTTTCTGCTTTTCCTGCACACTCCCACTTACACCACACACACACTTACACCCTCCGCTCTATATACCAATACACATATGTATGACAATGTAATACTTGCTTTGCTGAGCCTTAGACAAAAAATTAAATAAAAACAGCAAAAACAACATTTACGATAAATACTTATATATAAAGTACAATTTAATTGATTATTTGCGCAACGACAGAAGCTTATTTCTAGCAACTTTTTTGCGTCATCAAAGCAAAAAGTCTGTATAATTTTGTCCTTAGATTAACATTAGAAATATGTCAATATTCTCAATCTCTGTGCAAATAATAAAAAGAAAAATTACTTTTGAATAGAGCAAACGAAAAACCGGAAAGTTGTTTCTTCAAATTCGTTTAGATTGTAAGAAAATGCATATAAATATATATATATACATTTAAATTCGTATTATTAAAGTACACACAAAAACACACACGAAGCTGAACAAACACGAAATAAATAAACACTTGGAAATTGTACAAAATTCAAAAACCGATCGTCAACTAATTTTTATTAGAATATATTCAAGAATAATGATCGGATCAGGATATATTATTTAGCTGTGAATATTGTCAAGGACTAAAATGACCATCAATAATATAATCGGGTTTTGTTTAATGTTGTTTAAGTATTTCCAGGCTTGTGGACCTTAAGGTTGTTGCTTTGTGGTCTGGTTCTGAGCTTTTATAAAATCAAACGCAGTTTATTTGTTAGCTAATATTTTTTATGCCCTTGCCGGGTAAAATTTTTTTTTTTTATCTTTTTCAGTTTTCAACAGAATTTGATCAAATTTCAGATATAGCAATTTTTTATTATTCTACAAGTTTGTGTAAAATTATATGGAAATCGAACTACTATATCATGTAGCTGCCAAATGAACGATCGAGAAATTAATAAAATTAAAAATTTTAACTTTTCAAGTTTTCAACAGATTTTCACCAAGTTTAAGATATAGCCGTTTTACATTATTATTATTCCACAATTTTGTGTTCAATTTTATGAAAATCGGGCTAATATATCATATAGCTGCCATAGGAACGATTAAGAAATAAATACAATTAAAAAGTATAACAGTTTTAAACAGATTTTCATCAAATTTGAAATATAGCCGTGTTATATATTCTCTTAAATTTTATGAAAATCGGTCTACTATATCATATAGCTGCCATTGGAACGTTCAAAATTATATTAATATAATTATAAATTATAACTTTTGTTTAGTTTTCAACAGATTTTCATCAAATTTAAGATATAGCCCTTTTATATTATTCTAGAATTTCATTTTTAACTTTATGAAAATCGAATGACTATAGCATATAGCTCCCGTAAAAACGATCGTTGGATATAGAGGAAAATGCAAAACTGTGAATGTAAAACTGTAATTATAATACGCATAGGTGAATAAAAGGAAGGCAGGAATTATTTTATTGTATTTTGATATATATAATTTATATTTTATTAATCCATAGTGATCGAAGTTCTATCTGTTTCGTTCTAACTTCGGCGTGCCGAAGTTAGCTTCTCTAAAAATAGTATTTTTCGGGAGGGGGAAAACAAGTGATTCTTATTTTTAAAATAAATTTAAATTGAATTTGAAAAGAAATGATATAGTCTTTGGATGAAATAAAATATTTCTTAAAAATTCGACTGTTTTATCGGTTCATCAAGCCTAGGTTCTACTGCTTTTTTCAGTCGTATGGCAACGTTGGCCAACTGTACGTTCATTGTTTCTTTGTTTTGTGCGTATTTTGTGACTCAGCGCCGAATCGTGATAAATTGTTAATATTGAAACAAAATTTAGTGTGTCACACAACTCTCAAGTATCAACATGTCCCTCGTTACGGATGCTGAGTGGGTGGAATACAAGGTGAGAAACCTCTACAACTTCCCTACAACGCAATATCCTAAAACTTGCTGTTGTTGCAGTCCAAGTTTGGCAAGAGCTACGAATCTGATGAGGATCCAAAACGCCGTGAATTATATGCCCAATCCAAAGCCAGAATCGAGGAGCATAATCTTAAATTCGAAAAGGGCGAAGTAACTTATAAAATGGGAATAAACCATTTGGCGGACCGCACCCCAGAGGAAATGGGAAATCTCTGTGGCAGTCGGCAACCACCAAAGTAATTCCATGAACCCCTAGTGAAAGTGCATTTCTGTGGCTGTAATCTCAATATGTAATTCTATAAATAAGAGCATTTTGGCTTCAATGTTTTTTTACCCCTCCCCCAAATAAACAATAAATCAGCTGTTTCATATATTAACGGGATTCTCGCATTTTTAATGTCTGGCCACTCCAAAAAGGTAAACAGTTCATGGAGTTTTTGGTTCATTGAACGAGTTTAATTATAAGTTTAAAAAAAGATAAATCATGTCAATATACACATATAGATGCGCCTGCATTCAAAAGACTGCTAAGAAAAGACGTCTATGATAAATATGATTCACACATTTAAAAAATTACGGAACTATTGTAACCGCGCTGGCCCGGATGAACTAGTTCCGGGATTTTCACTGGTCGCTCACTTTGCGAACCGAACCGCAGGGCCGACGAGCGGCAGTTCACACACAACATTTGAAAAAGTTTGTAAACTTTTGAATTCAATCACATAGCCGACGACACACGTAGTTATTTGTTTTTATATTAACGTACACTTTCCGTTACACAGGCGACCAACAGCACCAGCAGCAGCGGAAGAACTTCCTCCCAGCCCAACAATGTCCGGAATCATGCGCGTACCATCGATTTTGGCCAGAAACGCAGTCGCCTCCATGGTAGGTAATCCGCTAAATCCTCGTGGTATATGTAGTTAGTGGTTACACAACCGGCTTGGATAGAATCCGCTAACGCCCGTGAAGTGAAAACAGAAATGGCAAGAAATTTGGCCAAAAACGCTCCGCCCGCAGTCGTGTTATGTAATTTGCTCAGATTTTGTTGGCCAGGTGTTGACACATGCCTCCTAGGGGACGGTGTGCATCTAGGCTGTGGCAGCAGAAGTTTTTCCGGGCTACGTTAAACAATTTTCGCCATTGTAAACTCGGAAAAAGTGTGTGTGCATTAACTAGGTTATGTTATGTTGCCGATACACCGCCCCGCCCCCGCCCTGACTCCACCGTTGGAATACTCATCTCGTGCATTCCACGGTGCGTGCAACCAACTGCGCTCGTCTTCCATTAACTGTAATTGCAGTTTATGGAAGGTGGCTTCCAGCTCAACGACAACAGCAACAACTAGTTGCGCTCAATACGGGAAATCGCATGAGATCGGTACAGTGCGAGAGAGAGTGCAAAAAGAGAGCGGGAGATAGGAAGGCCCGTCGTCGGCCAGCCAACAACTAACAGCTGATTATACAATTGAGCTGATCACGGCCCCCCTTGTAGACTCCCCCCCCCCTCTAGAGGAAAGCCACAATTAAATCATTTACTGATTACATAAGCAATTGTCTTTGCCGAAAGCCGCCCCTTCTACAAGACGCTCTCGGGCTGTTATCGCATCTTCTCAGTTGTCGACGTCATCTCCAGCACACAGAGCACAGAGTTCTGGAACCCCCTAGTGGGTTTCCTCTGTGTTTTCAATTTTGTTTTACAAATCCGAAGCTTATTACTTGCAGCTACGTACATACTTCTCGCGTGCATTCCCAAACTTTCCGGCCTTGTATTCAAATATAAAACCAACGATAAGATAAGAATCCTTAGAGCTTGCACATACATAATTATTGTGGGTATTCAGGGCATTTCAAAAAGTAAAATAATTTAATTAATTAGTCAATTAGTCAATTTGAAATGTAACATTTTAATTAAATCATATACCTAGCTTTGTAGATAATCGTAAATTCTCATTCCCGCAGCTGTAATCTCTAGAGTTTATGCAAGTATTTTCGCAAATGAATGTGAATTAGATGACAAAAACAAACAATGTTCTGATGACTTTATAGACAAGCCAAGCTTTTAAATGACTAAATTGTTCCGACTAAGCGTTGCTATCTCCATAACAAAATGCAGCGGGGGGGCCATTAAAGTAATCACGTTGCACTTAAAAAAAGCTGTGGCTACTATAATATAATAAATTTAAAGCCTTGGTTTAAAATCTATATATTATAGATAAATGAATAGTTTCCTCTGTTGGAGCATTTACATACTCAGGCTCTTTTTTCTTCTAGTTAACTCTTACTAATATACCCTCTACTTCCATCTTGCAGCAACGCGTCGCCGCGATTGGAGCGCAACGCAGCTACCACATCACAAATGGCCGACAGCAGGCCTCGGCGGCCAATCCGGACAAGATTTCCAAGCAGTACCCAGTGGTTGATCATGCCTACGATGCCATTGTCGTCGGAGCGGGAGGAGCCGGCCTTCGGGCTGCCTTTGGCCTGGTGGCCGAGGGTTTCCGCACAGCAGTCATCACCAAGTTGTTCCCCACCCGCTCGCATACGATCGCTGCTCAGGGCGGTATCAATGCAGCGCTGGGCAACATGGAGGAGGATGACTGGAAGTGGCACATGTACGACACGGTCAAGGGCTCCGATTGGTTGGGCGACCAGGACGCTATTCATTATATGACGCGCGAGGCGCCCAAGGCGGTCATTGAGCTGGAGAACTACGGCATGCCCTTCTCGCGCACCCAGGACGGCAAGATTTACCAGCGAGCCTTCGGTGGCCAGAGCTTGAAGTTCGGCAAGGGCGGCCAGGCCCATCGTTGCTGTGCGGTGGCCGATCGTACTGGTCACTCCCTGCTGCACACGCTCTACGGCCAATCCCTGAGCTACGACTGCAACTACTTTGTGGAGTACTTCGCCCTTGATCTGATCTTTGAGGAGGGTGAGTGCCGCGGTGTCCTGGCCCTTAATCTGGAGGATGGCACGCTGCATCGTTTCCGTGCTAAGAACACAGTCATTGCTACCGGTGGCTATGGACGCGCCTTCTTCTCCTGCACCTCGGCGCACACGTGCACTGGCGACGGCACTGCCATGGTTGCCCGCCAGGGTCTGCCCTCTCAGGATCTGGAGTTCGTCCAGTTCCACCCGACTGGAATCTACGGCGCCGGTTGCCTAATCACCGAGGGCTGCCGCGGAGAAGGTGGCTACCTCATCAACGGAAATGGCGAGCGATTCATGGAACGATATGCTCCCGTGGCCAAGGATCTGGCTTCCCGTGACGTGGTCTCGCGCTCCATGACCATTGAGATCATGGAGGGCCGCGGCGTTGGACCCGACAAGGATCACGTGTACTTGCAGCTGCATCATTTGCCACCCAAGCAGCTGGCCGAGCGCCTCCCTGGCATCTCTGAGACCGCTATGATCTTCGCTGGCGTGGATGTGACGCGCGAACCCATCCCAGTTCTGCCCACGGTGCACTACAATATGGGCGGTGTACCCACCAATTATCGTGGTCAGGTGATTACCATCGACAAGGACGGCAAGGATGTTATTGTGCCCGGATTGTATGCTGCCGGTGAGGCTGCTTCCAGCTCGGTTCACGGTGCTAACCGTCTGGGTGCCAACTCTTTACTGGATCTGGTAGTGTTCGGACGTGCCTGTGCCAAGACTATCGCTGAATTGGAGAAGCCAGGAGCACCGGCGCCAACTCTCAAGGATAACGCCGGCGAGGCCTCTGTGGCTAATCTGGACAAGCTTCGTCATGCCAACGGCTCGATCACCACCGCCGATCTCCGTCTGAAGATGCAGAGGACCATGCAGCACCATGCTGCCGTGTTCCGTGATGGACCCATCCTCAAGGAGGGCGTGAGCAAGATGCAGGAGATCTACAAGCAATTCAAGGACGTCAAGGTTGTCGATAGGTAAGTGCTTGAGGAAAGATTTCTTGTTGTGCTGCAATTGATATCCGTTTGCTTTATAACAGGTCGCTCATCTGGAACTCCGACCTGGTGGAGACTCTGGAGCTGCAGAATCTGCTCGCTAATGCCCAGATGACCATTGTGGGTGCCGAGGCACGTAAGGAGTCGCGTGGTGCCCATGCCCGCGAGGACTTCAAGGCCCGCGAAGATGAATACGTGAGTGTCTCATGCATCGCATTCATAAGATAGTTATTTATGCACTGTGTTCTCATACAGGATTTCAGCAAACCCCTTGAGGGCCAGCAGAAGAAACCCTTCGATCAGCACTGGCGCAAGCATACGCTTTCCTGGGTGTGCAACGACAACGGCGACATCTCATTGGACTACAGAAATGTGATCGACACAACGCTGGACAACGAGGTCAGCACGGTGCCGCCGGCGATTCGCTCCTATTAAGTCAAGACTTGGAATTGCAAGACACCACCCGCATACACAATATACCCACAAAATCACACCTACTTAATGATGTCTACTTAAACGTCTTGGTGGGCGTCAGAAACAAATTGTTGTCAAGTCGCCGTAACTGGGAACTCGCAGCGGTTCCCGATGCCTTGCGATGAAATATGTACTATTCTTCAGATCCTATATATTTTCTTTATATATCCTACCAAGCCGTTTCTATTTATTGTTTTGTACGCTGCCCTCCATTTGGTTACTTTTTTCGGTTGTCAATTTTTACATAAGCGAAAAGTGTATGAGTAGACAACGCGTGCGATGTCCAAGGAGATCCTTACGATCCTGCTGGAGTCTGTTAACAAGCAAACGGGGAAAAAATCCAACAATTTTCTAGTATTTGTTAATCTTATTAAATTATTAAAACGAAAACACATGTAAAAACAATAAAAAAAGTAAGAACAAAACTCGAAACCATTTGCTATACAGTAAATAATAAAACTGATGAAAAGATTGCGCAATTGATTTGTTTCTCCTCCGTTTAGCCTCGAAAGACGTGCATTTGATTGGGCTTAACGCCCAGCTGGGTCAAAATATCGACGGCAGCCGTGTTGAAGCCACTTGGTCCGCAAATTGCCACATAAGTACATCTGTCCGGCTGCTTTTCCCGAAACAGAGAAGTTAACAGTTCCAGCGATATTCGTTCAGGCTTCTCCTCCGCCTGAGAGAGCAGGTGGGTGCAGCTGAATCGTTCGTCTTGTAAGTGCAGTTCCTCAAGTTTCACCTTTAACCAGATGTCAGCTGGGGTCTTATTGAAGTAGAACAAGTGGAGGCTTTCTCTGAAGATAATACAGTAATAATTATTAATTTATATTTATTAATATTTACAGTTCACTTACATGCGATTTGAATTCCTCCTCAAGATCGGCTGAATCAGACTTAAAATCGGTGTTAGCCCGCTTCCGGCTGCCAGCAGAAGAATGTTTCGGTGTGCACTGAGCTCTGAAAGCAGGAATCCACCACGGGGAGGACTTAGCTGAACAGAGGATCCAACGCGGAGCTGATGCAGGTGACTAGAGACGGGTCCGTTGGTGTATCTCTTAATTAAGAAGCATACACTATCCGAGTTTGTATCCAAATTTAGATATGTTTGGTTCACAGGTGTATAGCTTCGCTGGATCAGCTCTCCGTCCAGTGGAACTTCAATGTTGATGTGGAAACCCACTGGTAGAAGCATCACTAGATCCCGCTTAGCGCTTCGTAGACCGAGTTCAAAGGAATCATGGTTGAAATCCTCCCGATGGATCACCTCGTAGATATAACGCTCCTCTTGTACACTAAGAGAGTCCAACTTTCGTGTGGTATGTGTTCCATAGGTTGGCCAAGGTGCCGGCTCCTCTTTGCCCAAAACCAGTTCAATCTTTCCAGTTTCCGCACCGACTTTTACAGCCTTCGGTGGCCACTCCACATTCTCCGTTAGCTGGAAGTCAAAGGTGTGCCATTGCTGAGCTATTAAAATCCGCACTTCCAGCTGCTGCGTTTTCTGCCTTCGGACCACCACACCCGGGTTGGCAAAGTTGCGGGTGTAGAAGATCAGGGTTAGCTCGCTCCTCTGCTGAATCCAATCGAAGCGAGGCAGAATCTCCGTTGGCGTTGGAATCGTCGCCGTTATCTCGGGACTAATAGGATCTTTGGAGGGCTTGGAAGCGTTCTCCTTCAGAGGTCCTATGTAGCATTTGCCCAGCAACTGGGGATAGTTCACCCAGGCGTGCACCTCGTCGAATAACTGGGTGGCATCGCGTCCGACGCCACGCATTAGTTCGTCCACGCCGCCGGGATGGAAGTCCATGTACCGAGTGACATTAAAAACACGCCCGCGAATGGCCATCCAGGCGTCGTCGACCTTGTTGTGTACCGCCAACTCGCTCCGGGAGACTGGCACTGTGCGTCCCCCGGTACCGGAGAGATCCGCTCCTGAGTTGCACAGCCTTATCCAGCTCATGAGGGAGTAGCCCGGCTTCAGGGCGCACTTGTTGCGTGGATTGCCGGTGGCAGAGCCGGAGGCTGAGGAGGTGCCATTGGTACTACTGTTCAGCTTCTGCGGCGCTGTGACGGGTAGCTGGAGACCACCGGGAGATCCGCTGAGAGCCACCACTTGAGGAGGTCTAAGCGGTTTGTTGCTGGCGGGTGGCTTCAGTGATGAATCGGACATGGTTAGTCCCAAGCGCTTTATAATCACAGATATTGAAATAAGAAAATAAACATCAAAACAGCTGTTTTGTTCATTGGATCATGGAACTAGTTCGATCAATTAAATGAACCAGTTATAAGGCTAATGGCGGTTGAATTTGAAAAATTAAATCCCTATATCTGAAATCCTTTAAAAAGCCAAATTGCCATATTTTAAAATTCAATTATTTATTTCTCTCTCTGCCTCTATTTTATCCAATTTGTTTTTCCAATCTCTCTGCCGGCCTCTATCTCTCTCTCTCTTTAGCTCCATCTATTTCGGTATGGCTCTCTCTCTCTCTATGCATCTCTAGAGCTATCTTGCTCTCTAACTCTCAATAGATAGCTCTTTCACTCTCGCTCTCACTTTCTCTGTTCTCTCTGCTCGGACAGTATAAATACAGGCGCTGCAGTTGCGGTGACCTCATTCTGTCCGTGGCCTCTCCAGTGCTTACATCTTTGCTGATAGTGAAAGTGGTTGTGATAGTGATTAGCCTTCGACCCCAAACGTATCACCTGACCAATGAAATACATCCGGATAACCAGGAAGAAGTTCGCTTCGATGAAAAGGCTAATTAAAGTCTACAAGAATATATCTTTACACAGGAAGGAGTTTGGTAATGACGAATAAGGATTACTGGGGTAAGTCTTAACAATTACAATTTAATCATGATCATATGTAGATGCTATAGGAGGGGAATCCAATTAATTTCATTATTGCCATGGACCCCATTACTTAATTAACATCATTAAAATTGTCATAAAATTGTTCATTTTTTAAATTTAAGCACAAGTGCTCGTATCAGAAAAAAACTTACACAGAAAGGATTTCCAAATTTATCTTAATGCATCTTTGGGTTATTTATGATAGATTTCACATTCTAACCCTTGATCCTATCTTATGATAGATGTAATATAGTGTTATCTGTAGTTTGCATTTAATACAGCTTTAAACTTTAGAGATAATTAAAGAAACTGAAAATATCTACGTTTGTTTGGCTGCAACATTGGGTGTTGCTCAACATGTACCTTGCAACATTTGCTTTATTTAAATGTTGCGCAATATGTTTTAGCAACATGTACTTTCCATTATAAGCTCACCGATTCTAAAACAAACGCCTTTATACATATTTTGCAAAATTTTATTCAATATAGTATATACAAATGTTCTGTGCTCCCACACATTTGAAAGTTAGATGTAAGGTTGACCTACAAGATGTATTGATGGTGATCCGCTGGCCACTCAATTGTCACTGCCGAGTCAGGGAAGGTTTTGGCAAACGCCTGAGCAACGGCATCGCCCTTACTTTGCATAGAACTCCTGCCAATGGCCAGTGTAAGGACCGGAACATTGAAGTTGCCATTAGATTTCTGCGAAAAAATATGGAGAACACCACTTAAACTAAATAACCCATGATAAAGTGAACATACTCCCTTACCTGAAGCTCAATGGTCAAATCCAAAGGCGATGCGTCCACGCCGTGGCTGAAGAAGACGAAATAAGGCGGAGGTGAGGACAGGTAACTCGCCAGTAGTGACCACTTGCTAATGGTGACATCCGCATAGGGTTCAATGAATAGACTGGAGTGAGTTGTAAAGTGTAGCCTGATCACCAACTGCAGGGTCTTGCCATCATCCAGGAGCTTTCTGCTCAGTACTTCCATTGGTTTCCCCGGAATTGTCTCCACGGGCTCCACTCGCGGCAGCCAAGTTCCGTTCAGTCGTGCGTTCATATAGCGAGAATCGGGAATAGGCATTCCACAGAACAGATACTTCTCACAGTCGGGCGCTATGCTGACCATGCCGGTGAGATCCACGCCAGCCTCTATCAGTGGAGCACTTCCTCGACGATCCTGCAGGTTGAACAGGTAGCCAGACTCGTCCTTGCTCACAGTGCCATCGTATTCGTAGAAGATGCGGCGCACGTGCTGCAAGTTGAAGTGGTCAACAATAAAAAGTTGCAAAGAACTCCTAAATGTTCCTTACCAAGTAGTAAACTCTCTCCACATTCGTCTTGGCTCGATAGGGGTAACCAATCTGAGTAGAGCTGGCAACGTAAATGGTGGCGGCACTCACAGCCAAGAAGCCCAGCAGAATGAGTCCAGATCGACGAGACATATGGATGAGCAGAACCTAGGGGAAATCAAACCAATTAGTAAATAATCAACGATGAAAGTAAACAAGGCATACCAAAAATCCCATGGAGAGAATGGTACCCAAGGCGGCCAGAGCTGAGATAATTAAGTCAGGGTTGGTATTCCTAGATTGGGATAATGGGAATTTAAAAACTTTTAAAAGCAAAACGATACGCAAACTTACTGTCCAAAGCGACCCATCATCGGGGTGAGTATGACAATGAATGTGTAGAACAGATAGCTATTGTACAGGAAGGGAGCCACCTGGATGACCTTTAACACGCCAGTCCAGGTGTAGCCGCGATCATGCAGGGTGGTCAGTAGGTTCAGGGCCAAGGGGATGATGTAGAAGATTAGAGTCCATGTGATAATGTAGGTGGTACGCAGGCCGTAGTAATTTAGAGCAATGCCGAGGACTGACAGGACAACAGCGTGTCCATGGAGAACCATTTGCAGCTGCTGGGCGTAGGTGAGCTGGGTCTGTGGTTAAAGTAATTCAATATAACCCCTCTGGATCTCTAAACATTTCCCAATACTCACATTTTCCTGCCTCTTGAGGTACACATAGCTGGGCAGAGCCAGACCCAAGAGACTCGGGCACACGTACAGGCCAAGCGATAGCACTGGAGTGCTAAAGTAGGTCATGGTGAGTCCATACTTGTCGAACATGTAAGCCACTGCTATGGGTAGACCCAGGCCCAGGACAAAGGCCACCACTTGAACCACAAGGATCAGGACGAACCAACTCAGGATCTGATCGGAGGTGACTTCAGCTGTGCTTGCTATGCGCAAAAGGGATATGTAGACAAGGGCAATAGCAACGGCAGCCACAGCATAGTTCAAGGTTGTGCCAGTCTCCGCCGAGTAGTTGACCAGGAACAGTCCCAGGACATCAAAGAACACGGCTTTTTCGGGGCTCTAAGGGGCAGAATTATCAACATTTAATCGAAACCCAAAGTGGCTATAACTTACCACTGTCTCCGACAATTCGGGGGCATTAGCCAGAGCTCGGACTAGACCCAAGACATTGTCTCCAGTGTTTTGGATAGAATCCCGAGGAATAATGTCATAACGATCGTACTTTGTGTGGTAGACATAGCCATTAACGCACTGACCCAGATCCAGACCTATTATAATAAAAGAAAATGAGTTAAATCCTGGAAAATATTCACTATAATGTAAGAATTTGCTTACCAACTAGATCTCCAAAGCTCACAAAAATGCGGAAATCCGTGTCAGAGGGCACGATACCAGTTTGGAAGATTTCCTCAGCCATGGTGGTGGCAAACGGGTGTTTAGCATGTTTTTGATAGTACTAAAATATTTTAAAAGAATAAGAAACATTCCCGTATAGACATTCTAACAAAGTCACTTACTTTCACAAGCCAGGAGGCACCGGGTCCAGTCTGGAATAGAATTTCCTTACTTCCACTGCCAGCAGCATCCAAATTGATAACGACTCTAAATTAAGATTTAGTTAACATTATTTTCTAAACTTAAAAGAGGCGAAATTCCAGAAAACTTACTTGCAGGATGGTGCCCAAGGGTGTTGGGTGATCCATCCATGGGAGGCCTGCAATGAGTTCTCCTCGGCTCCATTGAAGAGGAAGATGACGGTATGCTCTAGGTAATCGGTACTGGACGTTATCACTCGAATCACCTCCAGGCAGGTAACCACCATGTGGCCAGCATCGCCGGCTGAGGGACTTGTGGGCTTGGAGTCAAAGTGGGTGTTCACCAGGAGACAGTCATTGCTGGTGCTGCGCTTAGACTTGATCTTCACGGCTATGTTCTGGACAGCCTGGTAGATGTAGAGGGCACCGCCCTTGACATATGATCCCGAAACAACTTGAACATCGATTTCCATCTCAAAGTATTCTTCGCGCACATTCTGTTGGATCAACTTCAGTTCCCGCAAGATGAACTGAGCCGTCTGGTTCTCATTGGCATCACTGCCGACCAACTTAACACCGATTTTGTCAAATTCATAGAGATTGGCCTGGGCCCGTTCCGCAATGAAGACTCCTTTGCCCACATCATCCAGAGTGTTGGCCGAGGGCAGGCGATAGAAAAGTGGCACCACAATACCCAGGAAAAGGGATACCCAAACGAGGATGAAGCCACCGCTTACGAACCAAGGGATCCTGGGGATTTGTGCCTTGCTGCCCGCATTCTTCTTCACGGTAGCCGACTCAATGGAATCGGCGGACAACTAACAAAGAAATTTTATTTAGATTTTAAATTATGCCTGGTAGAGGTTTAAAGTAATCCTTACTAAGAGATCCTTGTCAGCCATTCTGTTGTTCTGCCGCAGGAACTGGGAACAATGCCTTCTCCACAACGGGACTGATGGTGGGAAACCAACTGCTACTGCTTTTATATTCAAAAAATCGTCGGATCATAACTAAATAACCTTTGAAAATCAATTAGCTCCTGATTATCGTACACACTTCTCCAATTTAGATTACTTTGTATTACCCATTTTATGGTTAATAAAAGCGAGGGGGGCTATAGCAGAATTAGTACCATTATTAGGAGAATCTCTCCTCATTATTGGAATTAACTTTTTTGTAAAGTTCTGGGACTTTAGAAGTTATGTTAGAATTTTTAACACTGTAACTGAAACCCAAAGGCTTTCAGAAAGGTATTTACTTCCGTCTTGTAGGGATATATTTCATTATTCATTTTGTAAATAATATAAATGTTAACTTACTGAGGTAAATCTCTTTACATCTCCTTATAAATTATTAATTTTGTCTTATCTTTAGGAACTTTTGCTTGGATAGGAAATGGAGTAATAATAAAAATCCTTGGTCTAGCAAATATCACATTTACAACTTAGGGCTTAACGAAAAACTAATATTACCACTCACGCGGCAAGCTAGGGATTATTATACTTAAGCCTAATCGTGCTTGATTTAATAGCCCGTTTATCTTTATGAATCTTTATGATTTCAGACCCACCGCAACATTCTACTATATAAAATATATGTATGTTGTTGCTATTCACTTGCCGTCTATCTTAATCGATAATGAAGCGAGACGAAATGGCTCTCGATTAAAGAGAACATGGTTAATTTAAATTATATATTTGAGCCCAAAGTGTAAGTATAAAATACATAGATGTAATATTCATGAGAAGAATCTTTGGCCACTGGATAGTATTATATACATATTTGACCCTTTAGAGTCTAGGCTATAGATCTCTTAGACTATAAAAGTTATAGTTTTTATAGCTAACTAATAAGCTACATCCTTAGTTTATTTAATAATAATAATAATGGGAAAATTACATAGGATTTTTTAACAGTTCTTGGATTTATAATGGAATCGAAGGAAATCAGTATAATCTTCATATATCGAAACTATTGGAAATTCCTTTCCATGTAAAGGTGAATTCACTTTTATGATATCAATCAATAAGCGCGAGGGTTCGAAAAGTTATCAAATTTATTAGCAAATTAAAGTGCTTTCTAGATTTTTCTAAGCTTCTAAACAAAATAATAATCGGTACCTTTACTACACAATCATAAAAGGGATTAAATAATTTATATAAACTTCCTATATAGTTAAAAATAATTATATATATATAATCTATATTCCTTGAATCTAAATCCAATTCAATTCAATTATTTAAACTAAACGATCGTCTTAAAGGGTTATAAAAGGGTTATTACACTTGACAGTAATCGTTATGGCTCAAACAGTTTGATTTAACACTCCTCTTGGGCGATAAGCGATCTTTATTATTCCAGACCCACCACAACTGAATGATTGTTATCGATGATATAGCGCTAGACCTGAGTCCATATAATTGGGATTCAAGTGGCTGTTAAACCCACTTTTATGGCGGACAATATAACACAAGGTGTACTGATGAAGCTAATTTTTTATCAGAATGATATTAGCATAATTGATACCAGAAATCTATATGAGCAGGAAATAAAAAAAAAGGAAGGTGTTGCCTATTTGTATACCTTTTCTAGGTATAAATTAATATTAAATTGCAAGTTTCGACTAGAATAGTTAGTTTTATATCTTGTTGTTTTATTATTTTATAAGCACCTTTTAAAAATACTAAAATTCAACTAAGTCTGTATGGAAGGGAATACAAATTTCGACTTGCCAAAGTGCTATTGCTTTCTCTTATCAATTTTAGAACAATTAAGCGATTATTTGAAAATTATGGTTAAATTTTAAGGTGCATATTAATTATCTTTATAATCAGACCGCTTCATGTGAAGAAAGTCCAGAATATGTGTATTTGATCGGCTTGGAAAATCCCCAGCTATAGCCTTATGTGTAACCTCAAGAATATATATAAATGACTTGATTATTGGGATATATTTTAAATCAAGGAATTGTCTTTAGATAGTTGATAAGAAGGACAAGTCAGTAAAGAATCCTTTAACTCTCACTTCCCACCAGCTAACTTTAAAGTCACATACTTTAAGGGTTTGCACATTTTTTTATTCAGTTTTTTTGTTTTATAAAAACAGTTTAAAATTCATATTTTTTATATATAGCTGGCCACTGAATAGTCGCGGCATAGGCAGGGAAAGTATTGGCAAAATCAATAGCTTCCTTATCGCCATCTACATGCATGTACTGGGCCGAGATGCCGATTTCATAGAGAGGCACATCGTAATCGAGATCGGGTTTCTGAAAGGGAATAAAATTAAATGAAACTATGGATCAAGTATATAAATTATTTTCAGTTTTCGTACCTCTATATCGATGGAGAAGTACAGCGGAGTATCATCGATGCCGAACGAGAAATATATGTGATACGGAGGCTTGTAGGTGGTCGTGTAGTGCTCCACGAACGACCAGTTGCTGATGGTCACATCCGTCTTGGGTTGGATGAAAATGCTGGTGTGATCTGTGCAGGTCAGGTTGAACACGAAGCGAATGGTCTTGCCATTCTCCAGCAGGTTCTTGCCCAGTAACTCCAAAATGGGTTCCGCTGGCGTCCATACGGGGGTCTTTCGCGGCAGCCACATAAGGGTGTCCATGGCCTCCACCCAGCGGTGATCGTATAGGGGCATTCCGCACATCATGTAATTGTCACAGTCGGAGGTCATGTTCACCATTCCAGTGAGATCGACACCGGATGCCACCAGGGGAGCATATCCTCGACGATCCTGGAAGTTGAATAGGTAACCGGACTCATCCTTGCTGACGGTTCCATCGTATTCGTAGAACACGCGACGCACTTGCTGTAATTTTAAGAATATTAAGAGAGTAAGAAGATTAAACTAAATGGTATGACTTACCAAGTAGGGAACTCTCTGGACATTGGTCTTGGGACGGTAGGGGAATCCTATATTGGTGGAACTGGCCACATACACTGTGGCAACTGTTACGGCCAACAGACCCAGCAGGATGAAGCCGGATTTACGGGTAGTGTTAATCAATAAAATCTGTAAAGAAATATTCATAGTTAGGTAAATATTTATAGCAGAATCGGGGGAACTTACCAGGAATCCCATGGATAAGATGGTGCCCAGGGCGCACAGGAAACCAATAATCAAGTCGGGATTGGTGTCGCTGAGGAGTAAATTATTAACAAACGTCCTTAACTGATCGAAACTCAGAACTTACACTCCAAAGCGACCCATCATTGGGGTTAGAATGACAATAAAGCAGTAGATGAGGTAGCTATTATACAGGAAGGGAGCCACTTGGATGATCTTCAGGATGCCTGTCCACGAGAAGCCGCGATCATGCAGAGTGGTTAGCAGATTGAAGGCCAGGGGAATAATGTAAAAGACCAGGGTCCATGTGATGAGGTAGGTCGTCCTCAGACCATAGACAGTCAAGCCAATGCCCAGGGCAGCCAGGACAACGGCGTGTCCGTGGAGAGCCAATTGAACTTGTTGAGCAAAAGGAACCTTTTCCTGTTAAATTGATAACTTGTTAGTCTACAGACCTTAAACATATTCAAAAAATTCTTACGTTATTCTGAAGCTTCAGATAAATGTAGCTGGGCAGAGTCAATCCCAGGAGACTTGGACACACGAAGAGACCCACCATGAGCGACGGAGTAGAGAAGTAGCTGAGCGAGAAGCCATACATGTCCAGTCCATAGGCCACAGCAAGCGGAAGAACCAGTCCAAGGACGAAGGCCACCAGTTGGAAGACCAGGACCAGGATGAACCACCCCAGGACCTGGCCGGAGGACACGTTCGATTTGGACGCAATGCGCAAGAGAGAGACATAGACCAGGATAATGGTGAGTCCAGCCACGGCATAGTTCAGCTTAACTCCATTCTCGGCCGAATAGCTGACGAAGTACAGTCCCAGGACATCAAAGAAGACGACGTTACCGCCGGCATTGCCCTGCATATTAAGAAATTAACATTTAGGTAGTTCTTATATATCTTTGACTTGGTGTAACCTACGGTGGGATCACGCATCTCGGTGGCATTGGACAGGGTGCGAACCAGGCCGAGGAGGTTGTCGCCTGTATTCTGGAGAGCAGCCCGGGGAATCACATCAATGCGATCGTATTTGGTATGATAGACAAAGCCATTGATACACTGACCAATATCCAGACCTACAAAGATAACAATATTAAAAGGAGGAACTGACTAATAACCAATGTTAGTTTACCAATCATATTTCCATACTCCGCAAAAATATCGAAATCCGTGTATGAGGGCACAAGACCAGTTTGGAAAATTTCCTCGGCCATGGTGGTGGAGAAGTAGTGCGCGGCACCCTTCTTGTAAACCTGAATGATATCCATCAGTTAGTTTTCTCCTCCTCTAGAAGGATATCAAGGAATTACTTACTTGGACGAGCCATGGGTGGTTGGGTCCCGACTGGAACATAAGTTCTCGACCACCACTGCCAGCTGCATCTAGATTGATTACGACCCTGGAAAGGATTAGATTCATTAGCCTTGCTCCTTGGACTTTACCTGAAACAAATTCAACTTACTTGCAATTCTTGGCCCACTTGTGGTGGGCAATAAAGCCGTGCGAGGCCTGCAGTGAGTTCTCCTCGGATCCGTTGATCAGGAAGATAATGGTGTGCTCAAAGGTCTGCCGTGTAGAGGAGAGTACGCGAAGCACCTCCAGGATAGAGACGACCATGTGACCATCATCGCCGGTGGAGGGGCTGGTGGGCTGGGAATCGAAGTGACTGTTCACCAGAATGTAGTTCTCGCTGGTGCTCCCCTTGGGCGTGAGCTTGACCACAATGTTCTGGATACCCTGGTACATATTGACCAGATTCCACTTGACATAGGCACCGTAGGCATACTGCAGATCGATTTCCATGTCGAAGAGATCCTCCTGCATGTTTGCCTTAATCAGATTCAATTCCTTAAGCAGAAACTGAACGGTCTTGATCTCATTTCCTTCGCTTCCGACCACCTTGGTGCCGATGGCCTCAAAGTCATAGAGATTGGCTTGGGCACGTTCTGCGATGAAGACACCCTTGGAGGTGGCATCCTCGACGGTAAGGGGTTGTGGAAGGCGATAGAATAGGGGCTTCACTACCGCCAGGAAGAGCAATGCCCAGAAAAGGACAATGCCACTGGCAAAGTACCAGGGTACCTGAGAGTATCCTTTTTGCTTCTTGCCACTTTTCTTGGGCAGGGATCGGGCGACACCCTCTTCCACGGGCTCATCTGATATCTGTTTGGGGAAATTTAGAAAAGTATCTCTCAGCTTTCGAATGGAGCTCGAATTGATCAATTATCCTTACAAGTTGATCCTTGTCACCCATTTTGTTCAGATTTGCCTCTAAAGTTGAGTTGACTGTCTTACTGGCAAATCAAGACTGCAATGGAAATCATTATTTCATCGTTTTTATATCCCTAGAAATAGTGGAAAAATTTTTAAATTATCATCGAGTTGTATGTTTTTTATGGCACAAATCTCTCTTTCTCCCTTTATGCCCTTTTCAAGAAGTACTTATTGCGAGGGTAGCTTTAGTAGAATGTATAAGTCTATTACCAGGAAATAAATCAAGACAAGATTGCTTAAAAACAGTGACATATTAGTTTTGGTATAAGCAAAAGAAGTTACCTTCCATATAAAATATTATAAATCATATTTACTAAAAGGTAAATATTATTTAAATAATAGTTAATAATAATAATAAAGTATTTGTTAATCTAGGGTTGGTTCCCCAGAACTTATCGAACTGCTTGCGGATGGTCAGATCACACACGTTTTACAATTGTAATAACCATTAAATTTGTCGATAAGAAACGCTTTCGATTTCCCCCAGACAATCATCGGTGATAAGGCTTTATATGGCCTATGGCCCACCGCAACATACACTCATTGTTACCAACTTTGGTTGAAATATAGTACATATGTATATGCATAATACACGAGCATAGAAAGAACTAGGCAAATGCAATTATCGTGAGTTAATTTATGGCTCGATAAAGTGGGATCGCTTTAATATGAAACACGCGTTGGTTGATAAGTTTTCAAGTTCTTTATTGATATCATAATTAGAGTGATAGCATAATTAACATGATCATAACAATAAAACAAAATTAATTGCAAAAAAAATCCCTAAATGTGTAAAGATTTGATCAATGATTATTTTTATACATTTAAACGTCAACTAAGAAGTACATGTATAATTAAATAAACAGTGATTATAATGCTGATTAAAATCTCAATTGATTATTAATTATATAGGGGAAACACCTGAGCTCCCCGACTGTACAGTTGGTAGTTTTAAGTGGATTAAACTAATCTTTAGCTAAAAGATTTTAATCAAACGTTTTACTATTAATAGTATCCCAAAATATTAAAACATTAAATTGATATCTTCATATTCAGAATTTATTGAAACCTTTATTTTATTAATATATGATTTTAAACTCAAGTATTTAGATTAGAAAATGAATCGTTGATATGAAGTTGGCCACTCGATCAGTACGGCATAGTCCGGAAAGGACTTGGCGAACTCCTGACTCAGCTCATCGCCCTTGTCGCCAATAAAGTGTCCACAGACACCCAACTGGAACAGGGGTACGTTGAAGTCTCCATTCGTTTTCTGTAGACAGAAAATTTAAAATTAATCCAAGACATTCTTCAATACAATTGAAACCTACCGAGAGTTCGATGAAAAAGGATAATGGTGTACTGTCCTTGCCGTGCGAGAAATACACATGGTATGTAGTTTGTTGTCCAATATAGGCGAGCGGGAAGGACCAATTGGTAATATTCACATACTCGAAGGGTTGGATGAACAGACTCGTGTGATCCGTCACATTAATAGTGAACTTGAACCTCACGGTTATCTTGTCCGCCAAAACGATTTTGCTAATAAGCTGCACCTTGGGCACAAGTGGAGGATCGATAAGTTCCTTACGAGGCAGCCACATGGCATTCATTCGATTCTTCACCCATCGATGATCATAGAGGGGTACTTCGCACATCATGTGCTCCTCACACTGAGCAGCAATGCCCACCAATCCAGTGAGGTTCACGCTGGTGCCCTCCAAGGGAGCAGGTCCACGACGGTCCTGGAAGTTGAACAAATAGCCGGAGTCGTCCTTGCTCACTGTGCCATCGTACTCATAGAAGGTTCGACGAACATGCTGAAAATCGAAGAATAAGACTGCGTCTTTAAAGTAGTTCTATATCATTACATACCAGGTAAGGCACTCGCTCAACATTGGTCTGCGGACGATAGGGGAATCCAAGGTGGGTACAGGTGGCTGTCCAAATGCTAAGACCAATGACTGCCGAAAGGGTGATTACCATGACACCAGGTCGTCGGAATATATTCACAAGGGGAACCTAAGAAATTTCTCGATTCACATTAATTGAAATGTAAAAACGGAGGCTTTAGTTACCAAGAATCCCGTGGCCAGAACAGTTCCCAAGGCATTCATGGCAGCCATGATCAAGTCCGGGTTGGTGGATCTACAATAACTTAGCTTTAGTACCTAGTTAGTGGTTTATATGCTTTTCCTCTCACCTGCCAAAGCGTCCCATCATAGCAATCAATGCCCTCACAAGAGTGTACAGCAGGTAATTGTTGTACAAAAACGAGATGACCTGGAAGCTTATCACCGCCCCAGTCCAGGATATATCACGATCATGGAAAGAGGTCATTAGGTTAACGGCCAGAGCAAGAACGTGAAAAATAAGAGTCCAGGTCACCACGTAGGTGCTTCGCAGACCATATAGAGTCAGTCCGATTACCAGGATAGCCAAGACTATGGCGTGAGCATGAAGAATCATTTGAAGTTGTTGACCAAAGGATATCTTTCGCTACAGGAAGAAACTTACTGATTATAAAGAGCTATAAAGATGTAAATTTAACTCACATTCCGAGGCAGTTTCAGAAACACATAGGAGGGCAGGAGCAAACCAAGCAAGCTAGAGCACACATATAGGCCGAACAACAGCTCCCGGGTGGTGAAGTAGGTAAGGCTCAGGCCGAATTTATCAAAGTAATTCGCCATTAATATGGGCAGTGTCACGCCAAGCACAAAGGCCACGCTTTGAGTTACTAGAATCAGAAGGAATCTGCCTAAAATATTATGGACTGTCGATCGGGATACACCAGCCATGCGACACAGGGATGTAATAATCAGGATAATGGTAACTATGCCAACTGAATAATTAAGAATTATGCCGCTGCTGTTTGAGTAGCTAACGAAGAAAAGTCCCATAACATCGAAGAATACCGAAGGTCCCTTGGCTAAGGCCTAGAAATGTTTCAAATAAGAAAAAATTACCAAATAAGTGCATTAATATTAATGAACTTACCTCAGTGTTGTGCAGTTCGGTGGCATTGGATAATGCTTGAACCAAACTAAGCACATTTTCACCCATACTTTGAACAGAATCGGAGGGAATAATCTTGTAGGTATCGTACTTTGTGTGATACGTATAACCATTGATGCTCTGTGCCATGTCCAGACCTACAAAATAACTCAATAATGCCAAATTGAACATTTCTATAGCCTTATATCAATTTACCAATCAGATTTCCATATTTAATCAGAATGCCAAAGTCCGTATCGGAGGGCATGGAACCCGTCTGAAAGATCTCTTCACCCACTGTGGTAGCAAAGGGGTGCTTTGCATGCATCTTGTAGTACTGAGTAAGTGAATCTTGGATGAACACAACATCTTAAATGGCTTTAACGTAAACTTACTTCTACCAGCCAGGGATGGTTGGGTCCTGTCTGGAAGAGCAACTCACGACCACCTCCAGCACCTCCCTCCAGATTCAGGAAAACTCTTAAAACAGGTAATTAACAGGTAATTATTGGTAGTCCTTACCAGTTAAGGAAGCTACTCACTTGCAGAATGGAGCCCACTTGTGTTGGGTGATGAATCCATGCGAAGCCTGAAGTGGGTTCTCCTCGGCTCCATTCAGCAGAAAGATGATGGGATGCGTAAATGTTTGCCTGGTGGTGGACATTATTCGCAATACCTCCAGGATTATGACCACCATTTGGCCTGCATCGCCGGCAGAGGGACTCGTCGGCTTGGAATCAAAGTGGCTGTTGACCAGGAGGTAAGTCTTGCTGGTGCAGTTCTTCGGACTGAGTCTTATGACTATGTTCTGCACTCCCTGGTACTGATTGACCATGGTCCAGTGAATGTAGGAGCCTGAGACCTGCTGTAAATCGACTTCAATGTCGAAATATTCATCAAGGACCTTTTCCTGAATCAGAGCTATTTCGCCAAGCAGAAAATTGACAGTCTTGTTCTCGTTGTTGTCGCTACCAACTACTTTGGGCCCGATTTTGGCCAGATTGTATAGATTGTCCATTGCCCGTTCGGCAATGAAGACACCCTTGGATGCATCCTCGAGAGTCTTGGGACTTGGAACGCGATGGAATAGGGGCACCACCACGGCTAGGAAAAGAAGGATCCAAAACAGTATGAATCCGCTGCCCCATAAACACCTCACTCTGGGTTTTTGGTAAAGTCCTTTTCTGTCTTTCCTTCGCGTCGATCTTTCCAAAAGAGGTTTATCCTGTAACTTAAGAAAAATCACCAAACTGAATGTTACAAAACGTTTTCAAATAGTCTTACGAGATTTTCGGTATCACTCATATTTCCGTTCACCACGCCAATCGTCTAAAATGTGACTAAATGGGGAGTATTGCCTTAAAACACCTTTTTATATCTCAAGAAAAATCAAAAAGCTGATTTCATATCTAGTAATAATGCAATAATAATATGTGTCCGATAGTTCAAACTTAGATACGATAAAAAAATTAAGATATTTGAAGCGTTAGACTTGATTTCGTGTCATTAAACAGGTGAGCTTGTGCCAATAAAGAAATCACACTTTAATCTGTAGTTAGAAATCAAAGTACAACTTCATATATTGTTACCCATTTTAGGAAACTAATTTAACCGACACATGTTTCTAAGCGTTTTAGTGAAGAGTTTGTTTATATTTATGAAATTAGTATTATTTTGTTTTTAGGCCTGAAAAAGACTTTAGTCGAGTAAGTCAATTTTGATCGTTTTAAGTAAAGTATATCATTTCTGCGATGCTCCTCGCACTGAGAAGCAGTGCCCACCAATCCAGTCAGGTTGACATTGGTGCCCTCCAAGGGAGCAGCTACATGAAGGTCCTGGAAGTTGAATAAATAACCGGAGGCACATGCTCAACATTGGTTTGAGGACGATGGAGTTATCCAAGATGGGTGCAGGCTGCCACAATACTTAGAATAATTAACACCACAAAAGATCGTTGTAACATATTTGCACCGTAAATCTAATGGCGGTCTCTTTAGTTAGCTTATTTAAATATGTATAGAAGTAATAGGTTAAATTGCAAAAAAAAAAAAAAAAAAAATAGCCCATCGGCAGAAGAGTTTCCGCTGCAGTGAAACTAAATTAAATTTGAGGAACTTTTTATTAAGGCCGAAAGTCTGCAAATAAATAGAAATTATTTTTGTATAATTTTTAATTTAACAGTTCTAAAAAGTCAGCATTTATAAACAAATAAATCTTTGCTCAATCCCAATTCATTCCAAAAACTTTTATGATAGACTTGTATAGCAACTGCTTTATAATTTAATAACACAATTGTTGGTTCTATTGCTTTTTGAGATAAGAATCGCTTTATTAGGCCTTCATGACTGGAAAGACAAAAGTCAAGCTGAAATTTAGAACAGAAACTGTTGATACGAGGCTGGCCAGTCAATGGTGGCTGCATAGGAGGGCATCGACTTGGTAAACACCTGACTTAAAGCATCGCCGGAATCGCCAATGAAGTGGTTGGCGAATCCCACGATGATCGAAGGTACCCCAAAGTCAGCATCTGCTTTCTGTTCGAATATAAAGAATTAATTAATTAATCAATTAAATACTCTCTGTAGTTCCATAGGGGAGGGGCACTCACGTAGAGATCAAACCAGAAGGTCAGTGCTGAATCGTCCTTGCCATAGGTGAAGTAGATGTGGTTAACCTTGTTCTGGCCAAGATAGGCGGCCGGCAGGGACCAGTTCTTTATGGCCACATCCGGATACGGTTGAAAGAAGATACTGGCGTGATTCGTAGCCTCGGCACTGAACTCGAAATGTATTGTGTGGTTATCCTCCAGGAGGGTTTTGCTCACCAGCACCAGCTTGGGAACCGAAGGCGTAACGATTGGCTCGGCTCGCAGCAGCCACATGGCCTGGAGGCGACTCTTAACCCAGCGGTGGTCATAGAAGGGAAGTCCGCACATAATGTACTTGTCACAGTCGTCAGCCACGCTGACCAAGCCTGTCAGGTTAACCCTGGTGTTCTTGAGGGGATTGGGTCCACGACGGTCCTGGAAGTTGAACAGGTAGCCAGAGTCGTCCTTGCTGACTGTGCCGTCGAATTCGTAAAAGGTTCGTCGCACATGCTGAAGGTCCCAGAGTGAAAATTAGCACCTATCTTGTCGAGATAGTTTCCTATACGAACCAGATATGGGACACGCTCCACGTTGGTCTTCGGTCGGTATGGGAAACCCAGTTGGGTGGAGGATGCCACATAAATGGTTATACCACTAATGGCCAATAGGCTGAATAGGATCATTGTGGGGCGGCGGAACATGTTAACCAGGGGAATCTAAACAATGACAATGGTTAGACAAACTAAGACCTTGAGGCAAACATTCCCTTTCTTCTCACCAAGAAACCCATTGCCAGGATAGTTCCCAAACCGTTCAAAGCTGAGATGATCAGGTCGGGGTTGGTAGACCTAAAAACAAGAAGTCATATCAGTTAAAATATTGATAGCCTTTAGAAAAGCTGTGCCACCTCACCTGCCAAAGCGTCCCATCATGGGAACAAGGGTCACCAGGAAGGTGTAGATCAAATAGCTGTTATATGCGAAAGGAACGACCTGGGTAATCTTGAGCACACCTGTCCAGGAGAAGCCGCGATCGTGCAGAGTGGTCAGCAGGTTAATAGCCAGGGGAAGGGCATAGAACACCAGAGTCCAAGTGATCACGTAGGCACTTCGCAGACCGTATACGGTGATTCCAATGGCCAGAATAGCCAGCACAGCGGCGTGCCCATGGAGAACCAGCTGGAGCTGTTGGGCAAAAGCCACCTTGCTCTGTCCAAATAAAGAAATCCCGTTGAAGTAAACTAATTTCTGATACTGTAGACTTGCAACTCACGTTCTTTCTCAGCCTGAGGTAGATGTAGGAAGGCAGGCTAAGACCCAGGAGACTCGGGCATATATACAGACCGATCATCAATGCCGGAGTGCTAAAGTAGGTGAGGGAGAGTCCATACATATCAAACAGATAGGCAACGACCACTGGGAGGCCCAGACCCAGCACAAAGGCTATGATCTGAACGATAAGGATCAGGATGAACCAGCACAGTACGTTTCCCAGGGATACATTCGAAATGCTGGCAGTGCGCCAAACGGAGACAAAGATCAGGATAAGGGTCACGGCGGCCACGGAATAGTTAAGAGTGACACCAATGCTTTCAGTGTAGCTGACAAAGTACAGGCCCAGGACGTCAAAGAATACGGCGTGTCCGGAGGTATAGGCCTTAATATTTCAAATATATTTTAATATAATAGTCAAATTATAAATAATAATGTACTTACCGCTGTATTTTCCACCTGAGTGGAATTGGACAAGGCACGCACTAGACTCAGCAGGTTTTCACCCGTGTTCTGGATGGATCCTCGGGGAATGTTCTCGAAGCGATCGTATTTGGTGTGATAGAAGTAGCCATTGATTAGCTGGGCAATGTCAAGGCCTGAGAGAATACACAAACTTAAATTTCTAGTGGGTAAATTTTTATGTTCTTATACCTACCAACAATACTTCCGTATTTAGTAAAGATACCGAAATCAGTGTCAGACGGCAGGATGCCCGTTTGAAAGATTTCCTCAGCCATGGAGTTTGCAAATGGATGTTTGGCATAGGTTTTATAGATCTGTAAAATATCTTATATTTAGCTGGGATAATGGTGAAGTTTGGTTAGTTATTTACCTGATTCATAAGCCAGGCCTGGTTGGGTCCACTCTGGAAGACAATCTCGCGACCACCACCGCCAGCGGAATCGCAATTAAGAAGCACACTGCAAATTCACGAGATTTTAGAGTGATATAATTAATAATTATTTATAATTAATTAATTATAAAACTTACGCGCATTTCTTGGCATACGGATGTTGGGTGATAAATAAATGGGAAGCCTCCAGGGGATTCTCCTCAGCTCCGTTGAACAAAAAGACGATGGGGTGCTTAAAAGTCTGCTTGGTGGTTGACATTACACGCAGGACCTCCAAGAGAGTCACAACCATTTCGCCATCATCACCGGCAGAAGGACTCGTCGGCTTGGAATCAAAGTGACTGTTGACCAGGACATATTTCTCGCTGGTGGTGTTCTTCGGAGTGAGCTTTACGACAATGTTCTGCACACCCTGGTACTTGTTGACCATGGTCCAGTGAATGTACTCTCCCGAGCCCACCTGATGATCCACTTCAACATCGAAGTAGTCCTCGAGGGCATTCTCCTTGATCTCCATGACAAGGCTCCAAAGGTATTCGACCGTCTTGTTCTCATTGCCATCGCTGCCAACGACTTTGGTTCCAATTTGGACCAAATTGTAAAGATTGTTCTGTGCTCGTTCCGCGATGAAGACTCCCTTGCCGGCATCCTCGATGGTCAATCCCGTGGGCAGACGATAGAAGAGCGGTTGCACAACAGCAAAGAAGAGCAGGGCCCAGAAAAGTAGGAAACCGCTGGCCAAGTACCAGGGTCCCCTTATGTTCTGCTCCTGCTTTTTGGCATTTTTCGAGGATGCCGATCCGATGCCAGCTTCGATGGGCTCATCGGAGATCTGGAGGATAATAAATAATATTTAATATACTTAGAAAGGATACCAATCCCTGTGTGTCTTTACTAGTTTGTCCTTGTCTCCCATTTCACGATTTTGTTTCAGCAGTTCAGCTTACTGCTTCAAAAAGAATCGAACTGATGTGCTTCGCCAAATGGCAAGTTCTTAAATAGCCAAAATTTCGAATAGGTACCGCCTTGGATACCATTTAAAGGTAATAAAAATTATAATGGATTTATTATATGAACAATTGGCACGTTTGAGTGGAATCAAAGATACATAAGTGTGCGACGTCGGGTGCAAGTCGATAAAGTATCCGTTGAAGCGAGGGTAGCTAAGGGAGATGTATATTTTATATATTTTATAGATAGCAAAATGAAGTATTTGAACAAATTTGCAAATATTAAGATGTCAAAAAATTTAAGTAGGATATAAACCAATAATAAATATATCTTTAGTTCAAGTTTTGTAATGTATGCATTTAGATCAGTACAGATACACACAAGTTAAACGTTAATCAAGATTTGAATACTTTCCCTAGGAATAAACCCTCTGATCTGCCCTCGACGATAAATTTTGCGATATATATTTGCCATAATAATCATAGCTAGTGATAACAATCATATTACTTTATCTCAAACAGCTTCTTCCCTTTGGCACCGCGCCTTTCAGGCTTGTCGACTTCTTTTTAAGTAATATAAATTTTTTATTAGGCAATGATATCGCCACCTTCGATTCCTGAGAGATGATGATGATTTGGATATTTGGATAGTGTGAAATAATGGGTAAATGTACTGGTATCTCGATTGTTAAAGTTATTGACTTCATGCGCCAGGAGATATAACATACTAGACCCACCACAACCTAAGAACTGTTGAATCGAAAATTGTTCTTTCATAATCGTTAAATATATTTATCTGTGTACAATTAAATTGTAAACGATTTTTATGGATATTATGTGCATTCAAAGATATAGGTAATTCAAATGGAGAAAGTACATTAGAATTTCTTGGTACAATTTGGATACCCTTCCATGTTGTTATAATTTTAGTTAAAGAATTGGAACGGAAATTAAAATTAAGCACTTGTTTAATTTGTATATATTTATGTACAAGGAATGGAGATGTTTTCTATAATCTGAATTAATCTTTTTCGGTCAAATATAGTTACATTCAGCCAGTTTGCAATACAACGATATATCACTAAATATATTTCAATAATATTATTCAGGATTCCAATTCGAAAACAAGGTCCACTAACCTTATTTTTACAAGAATCGAAGCGGGATCTCAGGACCTGCCACATATTCTCTGCGGGAAAGCACTTTAATTGAGATGCTATCTCTTTAAGCCTCAACATATTGAACCTGAGCATATTAGATCTGGGGCAGAGTTTTCCAATGGATTAATGGGTTTACTTATTCACAGAGAGCTGAGAACTAAATTGTCCAAGATTTAGTAGTTTCTAAACCCGCAATGAATATGAGTTTCCACTTAACTAATGCATGTATGGAATAGTCCCTAAAGAATTCTCTTCTTTTGTTGACATATCCGGCATATTTTGTTTGCTGATAGAACCTAGTTACCCATTAGTATGTCCAATTAATTGCGTCATGCGATTCAAGTACGATTCAGAAAGAACAAACTCATAGGTTTCGATTATAATTATAGTATTCGTAATGTAGTTTATTAAAATACGTAATTTCTTTCAGATTCTATACAGTTAATCGTTAACGCCTAATGACTACAATTAGTAAATCAGAATCAATATCATTTGCGGCGGAGTCCTAGAAATACCAGGTCTCGTAGGTGCCCACCCAACCCTGGATGTAGGCGTATGAGGGGAATCGTCCAATGTAGGTGCTTAGCTTCTCGATGGCAGTTATGTCCTGGGTCACCCAGTGACCACCGATACCAATCTCCAAAGTGGATGTATCGAACGTTGAGGTCGTCTTCTGTAAACAGTTTATGTTGTTATATTATTATCATAATATCTTGTAATAATTCTGGTAATTACTTACCTCCACATCGATGGTGAACTCCAGAGGACTGTCGTCCAGTCCGTAGGAGAAGTATACCATAAACGGCGGTTCCGCATGCTCTCGCACTAGAGTGTCATTGAAGGACCAATCCAATATCCTGGCATCGTTCTTCACATTAATGAAGATTCCCATGTGCGAGGGTCCTGTCAAAGTAAAGTTAAAGCGCCGCTGTGTGGCACTCTCTAATTCACTGACGTCCTGCAGGACCAAGGTGGGATAATCGGTGGGTATCTCTGGCGGCTCTGATGTCTCAATCCACAGGCTGTACTTCCGGGCCTTGTTCCAGCGATGGTTGTAGAGCGGCATCCCGCAGAACATTTCCTCATCGCAAAAGTCGCTCACCGGATGAGCCAGTCCTATGGCATTGATTTCATCTTAAAGAGTTTAAAGGATTAGAACAACTTTCTATAGGAATCGTAGTTTTAGTGCTTACCTCTTGCTATTTCAAAACGTCTGTCCTGGGGATAAACGTAAAGGCCGGACTCATCAATACGAGTGCTTCCATCGGCATTATGCAGCCGACGATGGGCATGCTGTGTTAAAGTTAATTTAATTATTTAAATTTGTATTATTTCATGGAGTAAAACTTACAATCAATGAATAGCGCTGTGGCGAGGTCTTCTCCTTGTAAGGGAAACCCGCATTTGTAACAGCAATAATGATGAAGAGAAGGGTTATGCCCAGGAAGCAAAGGACTATTGTTCTGGTCTTGCGGAAAAACATGATAAGTGGAACCTGTAAAATACAATATTAATTAAATAATTAATATTTCATTATTTTAAAGTTAAGCAAGAGTATTCAATTTAATGTTTCAGCATACTTTCAGGCTCATTTCAAACGACATTAAAAACCAAACTTACAATAAAGCCAGCAAACATAAGCGAGAACATCCAGACAAGTACTGCAATGACCAAATCCGGATTCATTGAAGATCCCGAACGTCCCTGCATTGGCATTAGGGTGGCCAAGGCCGTTGTGCACAGATATGTGAAGTAGACAAAGGGCAAAATTTGGCACACGGTCACAGCAATGGCAAACAAATAAGCTGTAATAGAAAAATTCAATTAATAACCCAACAAGATAAAGATTCTCTGATCACTTACCCTTGCGATGCCACTTGGTCACCAGGTTCACAATCAAAGCCACAATATCGAACAGCACACAAAGCATTATCAAATAAGCCGATCGAATACTCATTCCAGTCAGGATAAGCATTATCAGGATCAGGCAAACACAATGCGAGTGCATAAACAACTGAATGCGAAAGCCCAGGCCCAGGGGATCCCTCTTCGTCTTCTCCAGATACAGGGCCGGCAGAATGCTCATTCCAAATATTATCGGTGCCACATACAGGCCAAAGATGGTCCACGAAGAGGTGAACCAGGACATCGAACGATTCACACCATCCATGAAGACAGCGACCAAGAGTGCCAGGCCCATGGCCAGGATCAAGGACGTAAACTGTATGGCTATGGTTATGGAAAAGCGGAGCAGGACTCCCTTCCAGCTGCATCCCGATCGCAGGCACATAAAGTAAACCGAAATGCCGATACCTACGAGAGCTATCAGGGCCACCACCACGTTCACAATAATGCTCGTGGTCTGCGTATAGAATATCATGAACCAGCCCAGGAAGTCATAGAATACATTGTGTCCCTCGGAGTGAGCCTGTAAGGGAAATATATCTTACATTAAACCCAACTCTAGTTCAAGTTGTAAGAAACTTACGGCTGTGTCATCCACCTCCGGAGCATTGGCCAGAGCCCTTGCCAAGGATAGGACATTGTCGCCTGTGTGCTGGAAGGAGGCACGCGGAAAGGCATTGATCCTATCATATTTTGTGTGATACACATAGCCATTGAAGATGTAGGCCATGTCCAGGCCGGGAACTCCACCATAATCCCGGAAGATTCGGAAATCCGTATCGGAGGGGATGTAGCCAGCTTGGAAGAGTTCCTCGGCCAAGGTATTGGCAAAGGGATGAGGCACATTCCGGTAGTAATTCATCAGCCAAGGATGATTGGGTCCAGATTGGAACAATATCTCCCTACCCCCGCTGCCAGCCGAATCCAGGTTGATAAGAGCTCTATTTTGATGCAAATCATTAAAGTATTAGCCTCCTAAATTAATTCCAAGTAATACTCACTTGCAGTTCTTGGCCCACTTGTGTTGGGTGATGAAGGCATGCGAGGCCTGCAGGGGGTTCTCCTCGGCTCCGTTGAATAGAAAAACGATGGGATGGGCTAATGGTTCATCAGACTTGGCTATCACTCGCATCACCTCGAGCATGGTTACCACCATGGAACCATCATCGCCGGCTCCTGGACTTCCGGGCACCGAATCGTAGTGACTGTTGATCAGCAGGTAATTCTCGTTGGTGGTATTCCGCTCGGACAGCTTCACCACCACATTCTGTATGCCCTGGTACATATTGACCATCTCCCAGTGCATGTAGGCGCCGCTGGCCTGCTGGACATCCACCTCGATCTCCAGGCGTTCACTCATCTCTGCCTCCACCTTGGCCACCTCGGCGCGCAGGAACTCCACGGTGGTTTCCTCATTGGCCAAGCTGCCCACCACGCGTGGACCAATCCGGGTCAGCTCAATGAGCGTATCCTCGGCCCGTTGGGCAATAAAGGATCCTGGATGACTGGCCTCATCGCTACGCTGCAGTGGCTGTGGCATGTGATTCATCTGGGTGTTGACCAGCGAGAGGTAGAGCACCAGCCAGAAGCCGAAGAAGGCGGGTGCATAGTACCATTGCAGCTTCTTGGGCACCTCAAAGTCCACATCAATGTGGTATTTGGAGTTGAACTAAGGGGAGAAACATTAGTTTGATGAGTCTTTGAACTTTTCTTGATTCCTTCTCCTTAAGCTATAGGTACTTCCTTTCCGTTTTGAGAACAACCCGGATTAGTCAAGCCAATACTTATAGTATGACTTTATGTTCAATCAATATCTAATCTCCTACTGCATGTCTGGACGAATCCAAATTACCTGACCAAAAGCTGATATCTCACGTTTTCGGGGAACTAGCTTGGGGTAGCCTGGAACAATCCGGAAAGTTCACAACGTCCATGCCGAGTGAATTGAGTTTGGTTACTGAGCCGGCATATATGTATCATACCTATCAGATTCGACCGAGAACTTGGGGGATTTATTGTTTTACAATACCTGTACATGTGCTTAATCGATAAGCGTTTTTCTAGGCACGGTTTCCTTAATTTCTTTTTAATTTTTTTCATTTTGTCTAAACAATGGCCGACATTGAAATCGTGCCTCGTCGCGTGTTAACTTCATGATTCACGGGCGTGTGGTCAACGTGAGATTATTGAGGACCATAAACCCGCTGAAGTTGCGGTCATAAAACGATAACGCCCTAATAAATAAGTAACAGCACCTTTTATCGCTCGGACAAACTAAGAAATTCGCAATTTTCGCCATTAGGCGGCTTCTTTGAAGTATGTAATTCCAAGTAGGATTCTTAATCGATTTCTTATCTATAATAATTGTGGGGCTATATTTAACTATGTAATTTTGCTGAGTTTCCATGATAATGCATTGTACATTGACCCGAGGCGTTGATCTGGATTTTCATATTTTTTATGAACACTTCACTCTGGACAAATCTAAATTTTATAATCGTTTATTTAAATTCCTTGATTGCAGGCACATTTTTTAAATTGTTTCGATTAGATTGGTCTTAAAATAAACTTTAAGGAGTTGTACATTCTTCACTTATTGATAATGTTTTTTATTTATTTGCAGCAGGAGAATCGTAAAGGGGATTCCCCTAATGAACATGTTCCTTGTGTGGTTTGTTTTGAGAAATAATCCCTAAGGGACAACACTTTATCACATTCTTCACAAAATGTTCATATAAAAACTCGGCATAAGGAAGTGTATCATTTGTTACTATATAAATTACAACTTTCATTTCATTTTCTTATTATAATTGTTTTATCCTTTATACGTACACTCATTTTGGCAGGATTTTTTTTTACAACTGGTACACGATTATCACAGGTTTTGAATTATATGTTTTCGGAACAGGATTTGCACTTTAAGGATCACCGACTTTAGGATCACTACCGGACCGTCCCGGGCTTTTTGTCCTAAAGTTCGTCCACAACCGTGGACCTCCACCTACGAGGTACAATTGGGGCTTGTTTCGCTTTGGTCCCCCTAAGATATATAACGGTCTCTGGGAATTTTGCGGGGGAAATTATCGAACGTATCGGCACGGTGACTCTTCGATATCGGGGGGCAGGCAGCTGCTCGATAAACAAGTGTGTTATGACACCTTCGGGTTGAAATCGGGCGGGGATTTTATTAGATTTCTTGTTTTCGCAGTCGATGAGCTGCCACAGAAGTGGGGGCCCACGGCAATTGCTAACCGAGTTTTATCTTTATGACAAAACGAAATGTCCAGTTGTATCGTATCGTAAAAGGAACAGATATTGCCAGCAATTATTTAAGATACTCGCATTGGCGGCACTTGCGAATTAGAGAAGTTTGGAGTCATAAAATCCGCTGTCGTCACTTATACGATCTCCATAATATAGATTTCGATATTGGAATGTTTGGGTTTCCGTACAGCCCGAGATGTGTCTCTTTGCTAGCATTACCACCGACTGACTGGCATTAGACTCGAGCTCCCGGACGCACCCAGAGACGACCCCAAGCCAATCCGAGCTCCAGACCCACTTGTTGCGCCTTTGTTTTTTTTTTTACAGAGTTTTACTAATTAATTTGTGCCCGGGCTGTAGTACGATTGTCGCTGATTTCATTCCATTTTCGCTTATGTGTCATTCCACCTTTGTGTGCAGCATCGTTTGTCTCCCTTTTAAAGTACACAGAACGAAATATATAGTCTCTTTGATAGTGCCATCATTCATTCTTAGCTTTAGACATTTGAATAATATTTTAGACCAGATTTTATTTATACAATAAGGTGTTTATTGGGACTTGATGGGTTTTTAAGTTATATGCTTTGTACCAAATTAAACGGATATCTTTGCCTTTATTCTATATAAATAACAACTCAAGAGATACTCAGTATATTAAAAAAAAGATTATTAAATTTTAGTTGTATATATTGTTTAATATCTTAGAAAATATATATCATTAGCTTTTAATTTTCTGTGTAGTCGCGAATCCTCGCCTGGGTTTGGGGTTCCGCTGATTTTGCTTGATTAACAGATTGTTTACGTATTTGAATTGCTTTCGCATGTATTTCAGATTCACCTGTCTATTGAATTGCCGTTGTAGGTTGTTCCACCTGAGTGGATTCGATACCTGGGAAAACTGGCGGATGGCTATCAAATTATGTCAACCGTTTTCTCGCTCGACTGCACGGAATGTGGAGGAGCTACCTATGTATCTATGTATCTGTCAGTTCCAGATATGTATATATCTTAGCAAATAGGAATTCTGTGAACAAGTTTTGATAAGCATTACGTTGTTACTCATCTTCTGTATAAGAAGTCTAGTCATTTTTACCTACTAACACTAAGAATTAGACGAAAAATTCCCTTCTTAGAACTTTCCTTGTTGACTTTTATGATATCATTTAGTGCTTGTAATTACCTTATTAACCGCTGTCTTCTGTCAAAGCTACAATATGGTTCAATAAAGCTGATCGAAATTCCGGTGGTTGTTGTTAGGCCCCTAATCAGTCACTTTGTTTTGTGTAATTTCAAATTGTTTAGCTTGCAATCTTATCCATGGTGTAAAAGAAATAGCAAACAAACTTGAGAGTTCAAGAGGAGGGTTTGTTCATTATTAGTTCCACAAGTACTATATGTAAACAAAAACCTAATTAAACTTTAATAAAAGTTCTTTATAACCATAGCAAAGATTATTTGAATACAAATTTCCCAGGCAATGGAAAAAATTCAAATACCTAATTATCAGTTGATTTCTGCCAAAATAATAAGGTATTAATTTCGAGATTGAAGCTCGGATACGTCCAGCTGGAATGCCCAATTGTTCTTATCGGGAAAAAGATTGGTCGCCTTTGTGTAATTCCCGAAATGTTTAGATTACATTACCGCGGAATAAATATAAACAAATTTTTGGTATCTGAAGCCAGCGATTTTCTGTTGACTAAGGAATCTCAAGTGTCTCAAGTGGCATTGTGTCTGGCCATCGTCGTTATCTCTTCACCGAAGGCACTGTCACTGCTTTTCGCAACTCGAATGGCTTTCGAGGAATCCGTGAAATCACAGTGAACTCTCCCCTCTTCTAACAATAATGCCCACTAATCGCAGGCACTTAATCTCGATTACGGGCAATTACGAATGTAATCGCTAAGCCAATACGGATGAAACATTCGATGGTACGCTGCTCCTGGTCTGTGCTACCTGTCAAATTACGTGATTAGGCTGCGGTGTGTCCGTCTCTGATAACTCGATACTTGGTGCGAGTGATAAGCTCCCCTCTTCGTCTCTTGTGGGGCTGGAGCACCGAAATCCGCACACAAATCCACCAAGCGTAGGAGGCACGTATAAAATTGCGAGTGCCATTGTCCGGCGATTTAGTAGGCTTCCGTCTGGCGCGAGGTTACATTACGGGACACTGGCCACCAGTAGGAGGAGGAGCTTTTCCATAACCCCAAATTCCCCCAGTTTGGAGATTCACTGTAACTGTAATAGTACCTGTAACTGTAACTGGAAGTGTAGGAGAGCCATCAGGAGAGAGAGAAAGAGTGGAATAAACACAAGTGAGTGAAAGAGAGCTCTCTCTTGGATTCTACTGACCCCCAACCCAGTCTCCCCACTGCCAGAGAGAGAGACGCAGAGAGAGTGGAGGCCCTCTGTCGACTCTGTCGAGCAGCGCAGCAGCCGCAAACGATCGGCAACCGTTGAAGGGGACAGTTCTGTCGCTGCTCCTCCACTTCATCATCAGCTGATCCTCGCGTTTCCCATCGCACTGTGTCACATCGCTCGCCCACCAGTTTATTTTCGGTCTAGATGTGCCAATAAAGCCCGCGAGTGCCAACTATTTGTGCCGGTTAATCCATTCGTTCCTCTGGCTAAGAGCTAAAGAGAGAGAACTGACTTGACTCCTTCTTCTGCAGGCCGAAGGTGAGCGCAGAAGAACAGTTGCCAGGCTTCTTCTCTTCAGATCTTCAGATCTTCAGCTTTCTTCTTTCAACAAACAACCGCAAGTGCAGCCGCAACTTCCTTTCCTTTGGCAGGTTATTGACTCAAGGCCCTTCCAGCGTGTCGCGTTCTACGCTCTGCATTGTGTGTGTGATGTGTGTGTTTACATTCGAATGCCTTTTGCATTTGTATCTGCATTTGTATCTGTATCTGAATCTGTATCTGTGCCGGCGATTGTTTTCGTTTCAACTTCTTTGCCGTTGCGTTTGTCTGACTTTAGTCTTGGTCCAAAACAAATGCGGTTCTTGTCGCAAGTTGAGGTTGTTTTTATACCCTGGATATCAGAGAATGCTAAGGGTATATATGCGACTAGTGCCTGATTTTTTTTTTTAATAATATTAAAGAATTACTAGTGGATACATAGAAACTAGCAGTTGTTTTTCAAAAATTATAATCCTTTGTTAAACTCTGATCTTAAGACTCATCAAAAGTGATCTTTGATTCATTAGGATTGTGGGAAATTTTTCCTTACCCTAAATCAATTTCCTTAAGATACAGGTAACAGGTATCTTTAAGATCCAAAGATTTTCCATTTGTTTGTTTGCCTTTGCCGGCTTTGCTGACCCTTTGTTGTCACAGTTGATTGCCGACGCCTCTGCAGTCTGAAGTTTTGTTTTGGATTCTTTTTTCCTGCATTTTCCTAACATTTCCATTTCCCCTCTTATTCAAATTGTCTTTAAATAGTTCTGTCTGTCTTCCCCCCAACATTTTTTGTTCGTTATTAAGTGGGCGTGGTTCCCACACAGAGCGTTCTCTCTGTTTGTTTGTTTCTTTTGTTATTTTTTTGTGGCAAGTGATTAGTTCAATCGATAAGCGCCTTCAGATGGGAGGCGGGTCATCCCCACTTCACTTTTAATCGCTGAGAAGTTGCCTTCACGCTTGTCTGCTAGCCGCCGGCGTGGGTCACCTAGAAGTCAGTGGAAAATGGGTCGTTGCAGCACTGCAATCCAAATGGCATTTGCATGCAGTCGCGGAAAACGAAAAGAAAAGCGAAAAAATAAAAGAAAATATAAAGCATGTCGCTTAATTGCCTCAGTGGCCAGTACTATTTCTGCAGCTCTTAGTTGTTTCTAGGACACACTTGCCATAAGTTCCCATTTTAGTGGCCATTCATCTCGAAATCAACAAAATTCAAACAGTTTTGTGGGCATCATAAAAACCGAGAGTACTCATAAGTGGGCTTTTGCGACTGCTAATATTAAATAAAGTATCTAAAACGAATATTCTGGGATTAATGAGATCTAATTTATCAAAAAATCTTCAACAAGAATAATATATAGATCATTAACAATGTTTGAACAAGCGGTAGTTACATGATGTCATTTCTTTTAATTAATATGTTTTTCTATAAATTTCTTCTGAAATAATTGTTTTATTTTAATAAATATTTGCATTATTTTTTATATAATTATTTCCCTGAAAACAATTCAATGTCAACAAACTAATGAAAGTGTATTTTCTATTCGCTTCTGGGAAACAAACACACATTTGTTATTAAATATTTTCCCACATGAAAACTCAGAGTCGCATCACATGTGTGAACATTAAACGTTAATATGTATAATACCCCAGTTGGCTATAAATAAGAATGAAATACCGCTCAAAAAATTACAAAATGTGTCTCGTTCAATGCTGATTTGCTTCGGTTTCTATTCATTCAATTTGTTAGATTTCTACAAATGTCGAATATAAATATGGTCTCATTGTTTATTTTTTTAAAGCTGCATTATTTCAATGTCTTTGGGCCGAAATTTTGCGTCTGTCGATACTTTCCATTTAAACAACTGACTTTTATTTGAGGCTGCGAATGGCCAACAGATGTTATCCGGTTCTGGCTCTGTTTTTATATGGATTTTTTATACATTTTCCAAATACTATTTTGTTTATATAGAACCAAGCGAAGGAAGGTTAGTTCCGTGCCAATATTTTCCTATTTGACACGTTTTTGTGTAGTCTCTTCTACACCCAAAATTTCAAGTACCTCAGTCTACTTGCTTCATTTCCTGTGCCTACTTGACGAATGAATGATAAGTGTTATCTGCGGCAGATGCTTTGAATAATCACTTCTGGGACTCCGATAGTGGGAGTGGTAGGCAGCTCCGCTTCATTCATGTTTCGAGGTTTGTTTTTAGAGATCCGGAATCCGTTGTGCACTGACAGCCTTAAGTTGATCGCACTCGTTTATCACGGCACCTAATTATTTAATCGATGCTCGAGGCTCGAGTGCCTGCATTAACTTAACTTAACCCTTCCCCCTATCGCCCGATTAGCTGGTGACGCGACATATGTATATGTAGGAGCATATTATCCATTGACTTTATCAACCGAATGCGTCACAATAGTAATTCGGAGCATTTCAACTCAATTAGGCTGCGGAGGGCACTGACACTCTGCTTTATTTTCCGGTGACCAAATACAGAAACTAAGTATCTTACTCACTTGCAGGCCAAAATGAAATCAAAGTACGAGAACATGAAGATCATCTATAATCGGAGCAAGATCGGCTGGTACTGGGCCCCGCTGTTTGTGTCCTTCTGGTTCCTGCTCTTCTACGTAGTCGTAATACCCAGCTTCCATCGCATGCCAAAGCTGAAACCCTGGAGGATGAGCGACAGAATCCGGGACAGTTTATTGGGGAACGGGCGGAGAACACACTTTTGAGGCTCTCCAAGATCGGGCCCAAGGTGGTGGGCAGTGCGGCCAATGAACAGGTGGCCGTTCAGTTCCTGCTCAGCGAAATCAGGGATATAGAGGAGAGAGCACGAACGGATCTCTATGACATACAGAAGGATGTGCAGATTGCATCCGGCAATTACCTTCTCTGGTCCATGGTCAATATCTATCAGAGTGTCCAGAATGTGGTGGTGAAGGTGTCCCCCAAGAATGCCACCAGTGAGGCTGCCCTCTTGATCAACAGTCACTTTGATTCAGTGCCAGGCAGCTCAGGAGCTGGCGATGCGGGTATGATGTGTGTGATCATGCTGGAGGTGCTCCGGGTAATTACCGAGTTCGAGACGCCCCTCACCTACTCGGTGATCTTCCTGTTCAATGGAGCTGAGGAGAATCCTCTGCAGGGCAGTCATGCCTTTATCACCCAACATCCTTGGGCACCGAATGTGAAGTAAGTAGAGACAAACTATCTATAAATATTTTTAATTTAAAAATGCATTTAAATTTCCCATTAGAGCTGTAATGAACTTGGATTCAGCAGGCAGTGGAGGACGGGAAATCCTCTTTCAATCCGGACCTGATCACCCCTGGCTAATGAAGGTATGACTAAGCTTTCTTCCTGTTAAAACTTAATACTTTATCCCCTTCTTATCATTTTAGTATTACGGCAAGAACATAGTTCATCCATTTGCCTCGACTATCGGAGAGGAATTATTCCAGAATGGCTTCGTTCCCTCAGAGACCGATTATCGCGTGTTCCGCGACTTTGGCAATATACCAGGTAATATAAAATGAAGTGCAAAATACAGCTAATCTCTAATACATTGTGTTTCTCAGGTCTCGATATGGCGCAGACCTTGAATGGTTATGTGTACCACACTAAATACGATCGTTTTAATCTCATACCCCGCCGCACATACCAATTAACTGGTGAAAATGTCTTGGCTCTGGTCAAGGCTCTGGCGAATGCCGAGGAACTGGAGAATCCATCGGTGGGTTTAGATTGAAAATTGCATAAATATTCAATAATCTCTATATGCATTTTCTTTTTATATAGAAACACGCCGAGGGTCATATGATATTCTTTGACATGATGGGCTGGTTCTTTGTCTATTACCCAGAGGGCACGGGAGATATCATTAATATATCTGTGTGCGTCCTGGTCTGCATCACTATTGTGGGTTACATCTGGATTATGTCCAGCAGCACTGGCATGTTTAGGCGTCGCATTTGGGCCAAGTTTGGCATTCTTACGGCTCTTCAGGTGGCTGGAGTGGGTCTGGGCATTGTTCTGGTCATGTCAATAGCCTTGTTCCTGGATGCAGTGAACCTGCCGATGTCTTGGTTCTCGCAAAACTGGATGCTTTTTGGCCTGTACTTTTGTCCCATGATATTTGGCATGGGTATTGTGCCTGCCATATACTTTAGTCGCACCAAGGAGGTGAGTAGGAGAGCTCGTTTTTAGGGGAATTTGTTCTTAATATATTTTCTTCATCTAGCACGGCTTGCCTCTGGGCTATGGCATCCAGCTCCTGATGCACTCACATTGCCTCATCCTAACCGTTGTCACTGTGATAATGGTGAGCTACAGGATTCGCTCTGCCTTTATTATAATGCTGTGCATTGGCTTCTACACACTCTCCGTTCTGATTAACATGGTCACAAAGGCGCACAAGACAAGTGAGTATAGATGGTAGCCTGATCTTCTTACCTAATGTTGGCTAATATTTTGATCTTTTTAAGATTTCCTGTGGCTCATACCGCACTGCATCTGCCAGGTTCTGCCCTTCATGTTTTATACCTACTGCTGCTATGCCTTCTATGTGGTCTTTGTGCCAATGCAAGGACGGGAGTGCAATACCAATCCCGAGATCCTGATGGGTTTCTTTACGGCTTTGATGGTCCTACTGTTTGCACCCTTTCTGGTGCCTTTGTTCTGTTTGTTCCGCAAGTCCAAAACAATTATCTCAATGTTTGGAATCTTTACGATTGTATTTATCATATTTGCCGCCACACCAGTTGCCTTTCCTTATGCCGAGAAGACCGCCGCCCAGCGATTCTTTGCTGTGGTAAGTCTCCGTTAATTTAATTTAAAGAATTATATTTTAATGAGGAATTACTCCCACAGCACACGGCCCGTACTTTCCATAATGATGATGCTGCTAGCACTATTAGCCACACGGATTCGGGATACTTTGTCATGCCAGTGGATCGGCGTCCTCACACTGTGGATGATATACTCTTCGAGAACACCAACTATACCAAGGCGGAACGCTTGGACTGCGACTCGGAACTCATGTGTGGTTTTCCCATTTACAGCTCCCGTTGGTTAAATGCAGTGTAAGTTATCTTTAGTCATTTTACTCTTAAGATCTTAAGTCTTATATTTCTTGTTTAAAATAATTTCCAGTGACAACAGCTACTTTGTGCCTGGGCCAGAGCCCAGCAAGGGTTATATTCCTACTTTGACCATCTTGGATAAGACTAGTAAATCGGAGACCAATATAAGATTCGACCTGGAGATCTCAGGGCCTGATCATACGAGTATATTTATCCTGCCCCTAAACGATACCAAGCTGGTGGACTGGTCCTTTGTGAGGGATCCCCTGGATCAGAATGTGAAGCCTCCTTACTATGTGTACTGGTCGTACGCATTAGATCCCAAGCCTCTACAGTTTTCGCTGGAATTTGAGGTAATCAGGAGAAAAATCATATTTTATCTGAGGAAAACTTACTAGCTTTTCTTCTTACAGCACGATAATCCCGACTGGTCAGGAGGCACTTTCAAAATAGCTCTTATGGGCCACCGAATACATGACGACATGTTCATAACGGAAGACTTTAGGGAGTTCCTGGCCATGTTTCCACCCTGGGCACATGTCAGCTCCTGGCTTGGTTCCTACAACAGTTGGCAACTGTAAATAAGTCATTTTATAAGCTCAACTGAAGCCTTATTGTTGCCATGACACCACCTCAACTACTGTTATCATTGGTAATGCTGATTAATTCTTACCAATAGCCCTAATCGAACGAACAAACATCTTAACTTGTACTTGTATTTAAGATTAGACACCTCTGTAGTTAGTTACTACTATGTAATTTTATTTAAATACATTATAAATTATTTATTAAGGTAATTATAGAGTCCATACTCTCATCGTCGTCGTAGCCTAGACTATCCAGCTCTCGAGGGCCGAGAACCAATCGGTGGTGTACGTCCAGTCAGGGAAAGTGGCCAGGAACTCCTTGTAGTCCTCGGTGTAGTGCTCTGGATGGTATTCAAAGTGCTCGGTGACCACCAGCTTGAAGTACGGTCCATTGGTATTGCTCTCCTCGTGCTCAATCTCCACCCAAAACTCAAAGGGCTCTTCCATTAGCGAATAAATGTAATAGATCAGATAAGGTGGCTTGTGCCCCTCATCCAGAGGTGTTCGGTCAAAGGACCAGTTTGTGACTTTAACATTATCGAAAGGAGCTATGTAAATCATAACACGATCGCTAGACTTTAAGCTGTACTCGAAGCGAAGTTTGTTATTTGGCAGGGTTTCCTTGGATAGTTGTTTGAGATCTATCTCTACCGGTAGTACAGGTGGCGTGCTATAGATCCAACGAGCAGAGTCCCTGTGGGTTACATATAAAACAAGGTTAATCCTAGCCGAAGTAAAGGCTTCGATTCCAGACTCACTTCCATTCGATCCAACGACCACTGTAAAGGGGCAGACCGCAGAAGGGTTCGGCGGCACAGGTGGCCGCTGTCCAACTGTCAGGCTCCACATTCTTGAATGTGGTGTCATCCAGCTCGTGGATGCGAGTATCCACTGGCTGAATATAGTAACCAGAGTCCTGCTTGGTGGTACCATCCAGATTGTGGAAGGTTCGCAAAGTGTGCTGGAAAAGGAAAGGGTTGCTGCATTAAAAAACCCCTTAAAAGTCCTCTGACAGTTACTTACCAGTACATAATACCGCTGGGGTGCCACTTCCTTCACGAACGGAAAGCCTGCCGAAGTGGCAGCCATTATGATGAATATGATCGTAAGCACACCGAAGGAGGAGAAGATAATCTTGGGCTTACGGAACTTGTGCATTATGGGAATCTTGAATAGATAAAGTTAGATTATAATGTAGAAAAGATTATCACTAAGGTTAACTCACCACAAAACCAGCATAATTGATTCCAGTTGCAATGACAAACACGGAGACCATGATATCGGGACTGCTTTCGGGACCATCCCGACCCTGCATGGGCACAAAAGTCACGAGTGTGGCATAGCAGATATAGGTATAGAAACAGAAGGGCAGGATCTGGCACAGCAAGTGAACCGTCACAAAGTAGCTCTCTGAAAGAAAATAAAGCCATTAAATATTTCTTACTCCAAGCTTTATATCCGTAAACCTACTCTTCAGCGTCAGCTTGAGGACAATCTGCACCAGCACCGAAATGGCGTAGAAAAAGATGGCCACCATGGGGAAGTAGCTGGAGCGGATGCCCATGCTGGTTAGGATGATGCAGAGCAAGGCCAACAGGATGCAATGAGCGTGCATAAAACAGGCAATGGTCTGATTCAACTTCATGTTTGTCTTCCTCTTCGTATATCCAATATAAATCGAGGGTAGCAGTCCAAAGGCAAAGTACAGGGTGCAAAAGTACAAACCAAATGCCATCCATTTGCCATAGAACCAGGACTCGGCTAATCCTACGCCCTGCATGAAGACAGCCACCAGAATCGTCAGGCCGCAGGCCACCAGAAAGGTGCCTGCCTGCACCAGGAAGATGATGCCAAATCGCATGAACACCGCCTTTGGGGCATCCGCACCATTGTCCAGGGTCATGATCCAAACCGAGGTGCCAATGCAGACGCAGGCCGCCACGGAAACAACCCAATTGATGGCTATGCTCACAGATTCCGTGTAGGTCAGCATGAACCAGCCCAGGAAGTCGAAGTATACCGTATGACCCTTCTCGTGGGCGGCAGTGTCATCCAATTCTGGAGCATTGGCCAAAGCCCACACCAGGGGCAATACGTTCTCACCCGTCGACTGGTATGTGCCACGCTCCACATTCCGGAAATTGTCGAATTTGGTGTGGTAAACATATCCATTCATCACACTGGCCATATCCAGGCCGGGAACACCGCCATAATCGCGGAACACACGGAAGTCTGTGTCCGAGGGAATAAAGTTGTTCTGGAAAAGCTCTTCGGCCAGGGTTTGGGCATAGGGATGGGGCACATTCTGATGGTAGTACTTGGCCAGCCAAGGATGATTGGGTCCTGTCTGAAAGAGAACCTCACGTCCGCCAGCTCCAGTGGAGTCCAGGTTGATCAAGGCTCTAAAGGGAAATGATACGAGTGATGGATTAATTAAAAAGAAAAAAACTTCATGGACCTCTAGTTCTCTACTCACTTGCAGTTCTTGGCCCATTTGTGTTGGGTAATGAATCCATGGGAGCCCAGCATGCAGGCCTCTTCGGCACCATTGAACAGGAAGACCACGGGATGGGCTAGGGGTTTTTCCGAACGCGAGATCACTCGCAGGGTTTCCAGCATCACTACCACCATGACACCATCATCGCCGGCAGCAGGAGTTTGTGCTTCCGAATCGTAGTGGGAGTTTAGGAGCAGATAATTCGGGTTACTGGAACTCTTCTGGGAGATCTTCACCACCACATTGGAGAGGTTCCTGTAGGCAATGGTCATGTCCCAGAGATAGAAGCCTCCAGAGGCATACTGCTTGTCCACCTCGATATCATACAGATCCGTTCGAGCCTCGTCTTTAATCTTTTGGATTTCGCGAAGCAGGAAATCCACCACATGCACTTCGTTGTTAATGGAGCCGCTCATCTTGTTACCAATCGCAGAGTACTCCGCCAGTTGTCGCATAGCCCGCTCGCCAATGAACTCATCCGGATGCTGGGCCTCGTCCTTCATATACAACATCTTTGGATAGCTGTGGAAGCTGGGCAGGACGGCGGCATAAAAGAGGGCAAAGGCGGCGGCCGCATAGAGTGGAGCTCCATACCAGGGCCACTTTTTGTCCCTGGACTTGGCGCCATCCTTCTCGGCTGTGATGTCCAAGATGGAGAATGTCATCTAGAATAAGAGGGAGAATTCAGTTAAATAATTTCTATAGCATTCCTTCCTTCATTATGGAGAAAAATAAAGCATGCTTTTGGGAACTTTCCGAAAAACAACCATATAATAATTTACGATATTCGCAAATTGTTCCCACTTATACGATCTACGATTAGTATTAATCTAAAAATATTTCATATAATAAATGTGTTTTTTGAAAGTGATCGAAACCTTTTCAACGAATTGAAGTAATAAATGATTGCAAACATTTATTAAGTGAGGTGAAATAAACTTCGTGGGAGAGACTGTGAAAGGTCGTAAAGCAATTAGCACCCTAAAGAGCACTTAGCACTATGACCGGTGGAATTTCGAAGGCAACAACTAGAAAATGGTCTAAAAACAGAAAATCGATAACAGGGCCAGTACTCATTTTATGGCCGATATAAAGTTCATAATCTTTAAAGATACTTGAAGTAAGATCATGACATGTTCACTTTTCTACGATTCCAATCCCTTTAAGCCAAAATATGGTACTTCCGAGAACCGAACTTATCGGCAGACCCTTTCACTTTTTCAAGAGCATGTCTTATATTTCAAAAGAACACAATACAATTGCGGATTATATCACCATGAGGACACGGACACTCGCCGATCTTAATCAGTTTTTTGGTAGCTTTAAATTATGGTAACGCACTAACCTTCTGAATCGAACTGAAAATATATACAACCGCACCAGAGCCCAACCGTTGGGCAACTAAGACGCCTCGAGGCTGTTCCCCAGAATTAAGTAGGGCCAGGTTCGATCGCCATGGATCGCTTATCGGCGCCATGCCAGCGATAATAATTAAATATTATGATTATAATCAATGGGTTTAAGCGCATAAAACGATTACATCCAGCGATAGCCGCGATACCAGAAGCTGTTTGCTCTTAATAGCTTTTTATTAGGGAGCAGTTAACCCGATAATAGGGTGGGGTCCAAAATCTAAAAAATCTTTCTAATTAAGGATTAATCTACATATAACTAGGAGTCCGGTAATACGAAAAGTTCAGCTACCTTATCGGGGAACATAAATCGAAAACGTGTAAGTCTGATAACGATCAATAGAGCTTACAAATAGGACTTTGATTCCTTTAATCTTAATGGGATATATTCTTAAGAGAGAATTTCCTGATTCTGATGAAAATATTTTCCCAGACAACGAACTCTTATCAGTTTGCAAATTCATGAATCAAAAAGTAAAATGGAAAACCCCAAAAATCAATCCATAATTTATAGTAGCTTGTAGATTTTTGGCTGAGATTGGAACAAATGTCTGGAACTATATAAATTCATATTTCCAAACTGTTCTAAATTAGGCTGTTCAGTACCCCAAACTCTTATAATAAATATGTCTCAACAGGATGTCCTATATAAACAAAGGTATACAAGTACATATGATTTACCACAACAAAGATATATTGGTAAGTAAATAAAGCTGACTCCCACGTTCATTTAAGTCAATCCACTTCAGAGATAACTATCGCCACTCATGCTGATAAGCGTTCATCAAGAATTTGCTTATATTCAATTATCAAAATCTGCCAATCTGCCATTGAATCAGTCTGCATCACACATTAGGTGAATGGGACACGAGCACCTGCTGCCATTTCTCTCTCTCTGTTGGGGAATTCTTAGTGTGATTTTTTGAACTTGTACTTTTTTTTGCGATGACCATCGCTGCTGCACTATAAATTATAAGCTGATAAAGCCCCGACGCAGTCATAAAATTCCAGGTAATATGAAATCCGATAATCTACAAATCTACCATAGATGAACCGAAAGTAATCGTACACCTCGGAGAAATATGACTTCTGCCAGGAAGCCAAGTGTAAAATGTCATAATGACCACTACATTTTACTCTACTTTCAACACCTTTAAGTTGGCAATCGAAGCACTTTGATATTGCCCGCATAGCTTTTAGGATTAATTTTAATTCATTATTGATAAATAAAGAGGGGCCAATAGAGTTGAGTGACGGAAATCAATCATTGAAGCCTCATCATATCTCACAATCAAAGTTCACCGCAAGTAATTCCATATAAATGGCTTAACATTTAAGCTTTGTTTTTACTTAAACAAATACAAATTCTAGACAATTCACTTAACCTAGTAGATCCTGCTCTCGAAGGAGGCCGGCCAGGGTGTTGCGTCCACATATGCGGGGAAACTATCCAGGAACTTCTTAAAGTCCGGCGTCAACAAGTCCTTGTGATGGGTCCAGTGTCCACCCAGACCCAGCTCTACAGTGGATGAATTCCAATTTCCATTGGGTTTCTGATAGAACAAAATAGGCATAATTAGTAGGGAATCCTTAGCTGGTTAGCTTCCAAAAACTTACCTCCAGTTCTATCCAGAATTTAAGGGGATCTCCATTGACGCCCCACGAGAAGTACACAAAGTAAGGCGTCTCAAAGTTAAGACGTAAGGGAGCCTAGAGGTATAGGAAGATTATAAAATGGTTTTTAAGATTTTCTTCCTTCTCTTACTTTGTGGAAGGACCAGTCCTTTACACTGGCTCCGTTTAGGGGCTTAATAAACAAGGCCATGTGATTGGGACCGCTCAATTGCATCTCGTAGCGGATCTTGGTGGCTGTCAGCGGTTTCTTTGACAACACAATCACCGTGGGTACATCTTCGCCAAGAACTGGCTCCGAAGCGGGTATCCAGAGACTGTTCTTTCTGTTAAGGTTTAATATGGAGATGTTGAATACCTTAAGACTTTGTGAAATTAATGGTTAATTTACCTAGTCTTATGCCAACGCTGATTGTAAAGCGGTAAACCACAATTTATTTCCTTTTCGCAGTCAGCACCAATTCGTTGGGCCAACGTCATGTTAATTACAGCATCTAAAAATATTTGTAAAAAACATTTATAAATATCTATAAGGCTTGGAAAAAGTGTGGTTCACTTACTCTTGACACTATAAGTGCGTCTATCCTGGGGCATAATGAAGTATCCAGATTCCTGGCGGCGGATATTGTTCTCGGCATCGTGGAAAGTGCGTTTCGTGTGCTAATAACAAAGAGATTTTAATACAGTTTCAAATAAATAATTCCTTAATCCATACCAGCACTGCAAATCGTTGAACATTGGTAGCCGGACGATAGGGGAATCCTATGGGCGTCATGGCAATGATAAAGCACAATAAAGTGACGCCCAGCAGGGCGGTGATAATGGTCTTTGATTTGTTAAACAGCTGCAGAACGGGCACAACAAAGCCGCAGGTGAGGAAGCCCACAGCAACACTGAAAACAGCCACTGCTAGATCCGGATTAAGATTCTCGCCAAATCGTCCAAACATGGGAATAAAGGTGGTGAAGAATCCATGCGAGAAGTAGGCAAAGAACACAAACGGTGGCACAATGCAGACAATGTGAGGAATAACCCAGGCCACATCTACAAAATATAAACAACATATATAAAAATAAAAAATATAAACACAAATCTATATATAAATTACCCACCTTTGCTGTGCAACTTGGTTGCAATATTAATAATCAAACCCATGGTATAAAACAGACAACTAAGCATCAGAACGAAGACAGAACGCACTCCGCAAATTGTAAAGATCAGGGTGAGAATAGCCAGGAGCAGGCAATGGCAATGCAGCAGGATCTGCACACGCTGACCAATGGGCAGCTTATCCTGAAAAGGAAACAAGTTTATGAGCAATAATCTGGCAATCATCTCCTACTCTACTTACATGCTTAGTCCAGTGGAAGTACATGGCCGGCACTATGGCCAAGCCAAAGAAGAAGGTGGTGAAGTACAAGCCCAAAATGAGCCAGGAGTTTGTGAACCAGGACAAAGGTAGATGAACTGCATCCATGAACAGACCCAGAAGGATGGGTAAGACAGCTCCCACGACCACCGACAGAAGGTGCACAAAGAAGGTGTGCAGAACACGCTTGAGGATCTTCTCAAGTTTAATCCCAGAGCTGACAGACATCAGCTTGAAAGCGAAGCCACAGATACCTAAGGAGGCCAGGGCCACGATCACGTTCAGGATAACGCCCTCCGTTTCGGTGTAGAAGACCAGGAACCAGCCCATGACATCGAAGTAGATAGTGTGACCCTCAGCGTATTTCTATAGCATTAATCAAGAGATTAGTTTAAAGAGAATCGGTAAGAGTAAGGTTTCCACTCACCGAAGAATTCTCCAGCTCCGGAGAATTAGCAATCTCGCGAACCAGGGACAACAGGTTGTCGCCAGTGTGCTGAAGGCTACCCCTTGGGAAAATGTCTGCCTTGTCGTGACGCGTGTGGTAAACATAGCCGTTATAGGTGTAGGCCATATCCAAGCCGGGCACGGATCCGTGGTCTCGGAAAATGCGGAAATCAGTGTCCGAGGGTATGAAGTTATTCTGGAAGAGCTCCTCGCCCATGGTGGAAGCATACGGATGCTTGATGGCGCGTCGGTAGTTCTTCATAAGCCAGGGGTGATTGGGTCCCGATTGGAACAGGATCTCCCGACCGCCATTGCCGCAGGAATCCAGATTGATAAGAGCTCTGGTAAGTAGAGGAAACACTTAATTAAATACAAGAGAAATCCATAAGGGAGTGTAGAACTTACTTGCAGTACTTGGCCCACTTGTGCTGGGTAATGAAAGCATGCGAGGCCTGCAGGGGGTTCTCCTCGGCTCCATTGAACAGGAACACGACGGGGTTTTTCAATGGCTTGTCCGACTTGGCCAGCACTCGAAGAACCTCCATCATGGTGGCCACCATGGAACCGTCATCGCCAGCACCAGGTCCCGCAGGCACGGAATCGTAGTGACTGTTCACCAGTAGATAAGTTGTGCTATTGGTTCCCTTGGGACTGATCTTGACCACAATATTCTGGATGCTCTGGTACATGTTGACCATGGACCAGTGCACATAACTACCGGAGGCCACTTGTACATCTACCTCGATATCATTGGCCGTTCCCGAACGAATCTTCTGCATCTTTTGGGACAGTAACTTCAGAGCTG